CCCGGTGGTCCATAAAAACCAGTACCCCCTTTGGTGACTGGATAAGACTCAGGTGTGCTGCAAACAATTTCTGGTTCTGTCAACGGCAAGATCACCGCCTCTCTGAGTTCGTCTATGATGTCATGCAATCCACCAATGTCCTCAAACGTGACGGATATTTCTTCTGGAGTCACCAACGAGTTCAACAATGCTTTCTCGTACTGGTTGAACGACACTTCCTTCAAGTGCGGGTTGCTCGCTTGGATCTTCTTTAGCACACCACTGCCTTTCTTTTCACTCTCCTTGTTCTTGACGGTGCTGTCCAAGTAGTCGTTGAGAATCGTGTTGACAATGTAGTACACAGAGAGCCCTGCGCTGGCCAAGATCACTAGGTCGCCTAGAACTTTCAAGTCTACTTTGAACTTGCCAAAATCTATTTTGAATCCGTTAATCATGTTGGTTAATCTCGGTGTCTGCAGATGTAGTTGTGTGTTTCCCGAATGCAAATTTCACGGGTTTCAGCTCTTTCCATTTCGGTCGTTTTTTTTTTGTTTGCCAGTGCAAGACAGAGAGAGAAAGAGAGTCCCCATAATGTGTGTCCAATTTTTTGTTCATGCGTGCACTACTTTCATGGAAACAAGCAACAACATGTCAGGGATAATTCATCAGGTCTATTAATTCTAAAACAACTGATAAAGTTCAGATCTGATGGGAGTCAGCAAAATTGTAAATTCTTATTCAACAGGGGTTGAGGTATCTAAAGAATATTCTTTATATTGGAATTTCGACACGACCTATAATATCGCGACACAATATCTTTATAAATTATGCCACCTAGATTGTTATTACTTTTATATCTATCTTTTCTTTAATCAATCAATCTACTTTATATCTTTTATACTATATTAGAATATATTATATATACTCTACCACCCTATTATAGTTCAGTTATATTATATCTCCCCCTTCCGTTACCTAATTGAAGACTACCAAGAGGTATCCAGACTTAGGTGTTGTATTATCATAACCTAGGAAACCACAGGGTTGGGGATACGACGAAATTGACACTAAAATACATTATTGCTTGAGTCTGGACTCGTCGTGCACGCACGAGATCCACTCACCAACTCGTTAATCATTTATTAATCATGTAACTTCTTATATTACCCTGGGGTATTGTTCCATTTAATCTATATTATGTATATAAATAAAAAAAAAGCACCCCATTTTCTTTAAAACAAAGTTCATCCGGGAAAGACATACGGTGAAGGAGTACAGGCTGATGAAACCTAGCGGCTACACAAACACACATTTCTCCAATTTTTTTAACTAAATTGCACAATGCAAATAAGCCACCCCTTTGGGGAGAGGACATAACCGGAAAATTTGAACAATGTTCCGCTATGAATTAGTTGGACAAGAAAGCAAAACAATTATAAAATACGTTTGACTGGTTGTTCCCTCCAATGCTCAAAGATGCTCGGAATATTTGCAGTCAGATCGGAACAACTGGGCTCAGTGCCCCTAACAATACCTACTGGTTACCCCTTAAGCATATAACTGTTAAATAATAATAATAATATTGGTAATCATTAGAAAAGAAAAATAATACTTCTATTGTAAAGTGGATCTGCCCCTCCTCCACGCCTGTGGGCAAATTCAACAACTAAAATAACCCAACATCTCACAAAGACTCAGTTTCTCCGCAATGCAAGAGGAATAGACTAATCGAGAGCGTCACAATAACGCAACCAGCCAATAGGAGCATTCTCGCACAACACATTGAAATGTCACAAACGGATTTTTATCAGTAGACACGAGAGAGGAATGGGCGTACTTTACCAAAATGACTCTGAATTAAATTAATGCAGCTATGTGGAGAAGGACGTTACACAAACCGGAAAAACCAACAACAGAACAATGAAAGAAAGAAAGTCCTCACGGAGTGGAGGATTAAAACACGACGAGCCGAAAGGGCACTACGATGGGGTATGTACACATTTATCTGATTCACCACTGGTTGGTATCACTCTATGAGTCCGGGTTATGAAAAATTGGTCGAAAGTGCTCTTGCCAGGGGTGTGGGACGTGGCTGAAACTGAATCTCCCGCCTCCCTCCAGCGTCCTCCACTTTTCGTAGCCTCGTGTGCAGCTAAAATCAACAGAAAAGAAATGATGCTTTTCTTTTTTTTTTTGCTTTTTGCTTTTTGCTTTTCTCACCACAATTTTTCCGTACTGCCGCAAATTAAATTACACATAATCCAAAATTACTCCGGAATTTAGTTTAGTTATTCCAGGTTTAGATATTCCACCTGTGTGAAGAACTGGAGAAAACACGGAGCAAAAATTTTCTTTGTCTCCATCTCTGATCCATTAGCAATGTTGGAAACTAAGAGTATAAATACTGATGCCATTTTCCAGTTTGAAAAACCCATTCCACGTCTTCTTTTCTTTTCCTCATCTATTCAACTATTACAACTGCTACTACAACAACATCAACTAATAACAACAACAACAACATGTCTGCAGATTCCATTGAAAAGGCATCTGACATGTTTGCTGAAACAAACAACTCCTTTGACAAAGGTACCAAGCCAAAATACGAACACGACGAAGGGTTGGAGTTCGGTGAAGACTTTGATTTCGATGGTGAGTTTGCCAAGTACGCTGCCATGGGTGAAGCTGAAAAACAGTCCGGTACTTTCATGACCAACTTGAAGAGACTTGAGTTCCCTCTCCACATCAACCCAGACAAAATGGTCACCATTCTTGGTATTTTCGCTGCTGCCGCCGGTATCCTTTCCGGTCTTGATCAATCGCTTATCAGTGGTGCCCAGATTGGGATGGACAAAGCCTTGCATTTCAACAGCCACGAGAACTCGTTGGTGTCGTCCTTGATGCCTTTGGGTGCGGTTGCTGGGTCCATTCTCCTTACCCCGTTGCAAAAGCTTGGCCGTAAGAATGCCCTTATTGCTTCCTGTATCATGTACACCATTGGTGCCATCTTGTGTGCTGCATCTCCGATCCCTAAACACTTGGGTGACGGGAGCTACGACAACACCAGATCCAGAGACGTGATGTACGCCGGTCGTTTCCTTTTGGGTGTGGGTGTCGGTGTCGAAGGTGGTGGTGTCGGTGTGTACATTGCTGAGTCTGTTCCTAGTAAGAGAAGAGGGGGCATCACCTCCGGGTACCAGATGGCCATTGCGTTGGGTGAAATCATGGGTTATGCTGTTGCTGCGATCTTCTTCGAGGTCCATGCTGGCTGGCGTTACATGCTTGGTTCCTCGTTGGTCTTCTCCACTCTTTTGCTTATCGGTCTTTTGTTCTTGCCTGAGTCACCCCGTTACTTGGCCTTCAAAGGTAAGATTGGTGAAGCATTCAACGTGTTTGCCAGATTGAGAAACGTGGACGACAAATACAGCAAGATCGAGTTTGTGCAAATGATCCAGGCCGCTGAAGCCGAGCGTGAGTTGCGTCTCACCAAGAGCAGATTTGGTGTGTGGAGCGAGTTGTTCACTGTCCCAAGAAACCGCCGTGCTTTGGTCTACGGTGTCATGATGATCTCCTTGGGTCAGTTGACCGGTATCAATGCTGTCATGTATTACTTGTCCACCTTGATGATCAGAATCGGTTTCACCACCAAGAACGCCGTGTTCATGTCCCTTGTTGGTGGTGGTGCATTGTTCCTTGGTACCATTCCGGCCGTGTTGTACATGGACAGATTTGGTCGTCGTGTGTGGGGTTACAATCTTGTTGGTTTCTTCGTCGGGTTGGTCTTGGTTGGTGTCGGTTACTCGATCAACATTGAAACCAACTTGCCTGCCGCCGAGGGTGTGTATCTTACTGGTCTTATCTTGTACATGGGGTTCTTTGGTTCCTATGCCTGCTTGACCTGGGTTGTTCCGTCTGAGTCCTTCTCCATCGGTACCAGATCCCAAGGGATGACCATCTGTTCTGCCTTGTTGTACTTGTGGGCATTCACTGTCACCTACAACTTCAACCGTATGAAGGTTGCGTTCACTTACACCGGTTTGACTATTGGTTTCTATGGTGGTATCGCATTCCTTGGTTTCTTCTACCAAGTCATGTTCATGCCAGAAACTAAAGGTAAGACTTTGGAAGAAATCGATGCTATTTTCGAAAAACCATCCAGACAACTTGTCAAGGAAAACATTAGAGGATTAAAGAGATTCTGGGGTCGTTAGAGGCATCTAGAAACTCGGATCTGTATTTTATTCAATTCTTCACTGTATAGTGCTTTACATTCTTACATATTTAGTTTTATCTTTATTGTATAATATAATTTTTAAATAATATGATTAATGCTCCTTTTTTTATGTATATATAAATTATGTTGAAAGTAGATTGGTCTCTTTATTGGTTTACAGTGGGATTCGTAATTTGGCAACCATCGAGAAGACCTCGCTCCAAATCCGAAAAAAAAAAAAACTGAAAAATTGAATGCAAGATGACTTTATCTTCTCATACACAACCATTAACTAATGCTGATTTACAGAATTTTAGGTGGTCTTCACCTTTCGTCCATAGAACCTATCAATAAAGAAGTTGATTTAAAATCTGAATATGGAATCACTCATATTTTATCTATTGTACCTGGACCTATGAACGATTCATATTTGAAGGATTATACTTGGAAGCAAATTGAAGTTACTGATGAAGAATCAACTAACTTGGTTCCTTACTTTAAAGAGAGTTATGAATTCATTAATTCAGCGTTATTTAAAGATCCTAATGATAAAAAACATCAAGGAAATATCTTAGTTCATTGTTCTCAAGGTGTATCTAGATCAGTTTCATTTATAATTGCCTATTTGATGGAAAAATACAATTTAACATTTGATCAAGCTTTACATGCAGTTAAAAGGAAGTCCCCAGATGCTGAACCAAATCAAGGATTTATGGAACAATTAAAGTTATATAAAGAAATGGGATTTAAAATTGATGAAAATAATACAGATTATCAATCCCTTCTAAAGAAAATATCATTGAATCAAGACCCATCGGGTGAACAATTGAGAGAACTTATGATGTCTAAAACAGAATCAAATGAATCAAAAGAAAATTCAATTGCAAGTTCATTTGAACTTCGATGTAAGAGATGTCGTCAAGCTCTAGCTAATGACACTCATATTGAACAACATGAAGTTCCAGGGTTAGAGTCTCGTCAATCACAATTCATTAAGACTGCTCCAAATTCTAGAAGAATTATATCTGCTGAAAAGGCCAGTAACGTTTGTTCTCATTATTTCTTAAAAGAACCTGTTCGTTGGATGAAAGAAGAATTAGATAAATCTGAAATTGAAGGTAAATTTCAATGTCCGAAGTGTTCTTCCAAAGTCGGTGGTTATAGTTGGAGAGGTTCCAGATGTTCCTGTGGTAAATGGATGACACCAGCTATACATTTGCAAGATGCTAAAGTAGACTGTATAAAAAGAAACTATAATTAATTAATCAACAACCATATCTTGTTCAGAATAGTCATTCTCATTTTGTTCATCTATGCGTAGTAATGAACTATCAGTAGTTGTAGTAGCATTTGTAATAACCGTATGTCCAGTATTTGCACTTGAGTTGAATTGAGTATTAGTACTAGCTCCACTAGTACCACTGCCCATTAACATTACATTATGAGTTTCAGAATTTAAACTATGATCATCTTGATACTCAATTTCTGTAGCAGCCATAAAACCTTCATCATCCATAGTGGCTCCCACCCTTACTCTGAGACTATCTTCTTCGGGTTCATTGAGAAAATTTTCATTAATATCATCGACGTCGTCATCATCATCACTTGCAGAATACATATCATCAGCATTTAAAATTTGTGCGTCCAAATCAATTTCTGATTGTTGGTCACTTTGTGATTGAATTTGTTGTTGAATTGATACTGTACTTCCATTTACTCCTGTTACTGGATCATTTGAATTTTCAATAGCTGTTGCAGCATCACCTTCTCCTCCTTGTGAATTTATTGAATGTTCTTCCAGATTATAATAATTCTTCTCTAATTCAATTTCTTCTAATGTTTGAATAATTCCAATGGGACGTATTGTTGTATATCCAGTATTTCTAATTTTTGCCAACTGAGCTCTCTTGGATTGGGTTAATGGAGTATTTTCAAATATTTGTGAGTTTTTGGATGTTGAATTGATGGTATATTGCAAATGATATAGACTAGCTCCAGGGAAATCAGTAGAATATGCTGATAATGGAGGAGCATATAATTTATTCTTGATATCTTTATCTATTTTGTTGTTAGAATCTTGGGTGTTAGCAGGATCATTCCATAACTTATATAGATCATTTGAGAAAAGGTTAGGGGTATACATGAGTCGTGATGTTGTATGTGATACAATGGTTGTTTCAAAAGGAATTCCTTCAAAACAAAAACAAAAGAAAGAAAGAAAGAAAATAGAAGAGAGAGAAAAAAAATTACATGTCTATTACTCTTGATGCGTTGATGGACTATTTAATCACAACAGAACTAATCTTCATCATCAGTTAATACAAACTCATCTAATATCTTTTGCTTCTCTTCTGACTCATTTACGTAGAGATAATCCAAATTAGATTTACCTTCAATCGACCAGACAAATCCAGAATCCTGTTTAACTCCTCCTAAAGTGATAATACATCCAAAACAAATATTAAGTGGTGTACCATTGTCATTTTCAATAGGAACAGCTGCATTGTGCAAACTAGCTTTGTACATTTCAAGATATTCTTTTTCTTCTTCAGTTGTAATAGGAGCAGATTCATTAACAGTAATGGTTCTTAACCAAGTACTTGGATCTTGGTGAATATCAGCTCCACAAACTTGACAATGACACAATAATTCACCCTTTGGAGCACCTAATTTCTCACCAGTTTTAACAACGGTTGAAGCTGTTGATGCATATCCAGTGGCATCCAATTGTCTGAAATAATTTGTTGTTAAATCTCTAATGGTCAAATTTTTATTTATTTTTGATTTTTCAATAGTTGACTCAATGACAAATGCTTGCAATTCGGCCAATTTTATATATGCCGCAATTTCAGCATATAAAATCTCTCTTAATGGGAACATAACTTTAATTTCCTTTGAATCAATAGTTTCCACATGATCAGTAATAGCTTTATGAATTATTGATCCACGTCCTTTAACTGTTAATGCAATGATCTCATTTGCTAATCTAGTCATGCAATGTCCATACAAAATAGTTTGACAGCCTTCTTCTGCAGCAACACGTAAAATCAAATCTTCATAAACTATACTTAATAAATCTTCAGCTGATGATTTATTAGGACATTTCTTTAATAATTCAACGAGTGTCACATTCTTTGGATCAATGGATTTGATAGATGCAGTAAAACTTGGAGTTAGGGATATTTTATGTAACGTAGATTCATCAATATAAGAATTCAAAGATAAAATCTTCAAAGTTATATTAACTGGGCTAAATTTTTGTAAAAGTTTAGGAATAGTATCTTGAATCTTTTTATTTAATGAATCCATTTCACTTTCATCTAAATTAACCACAACAAGATCAAACCCTTGTTTTCCTTTATGTTGTTTATTTTGTCCTTCTAATAATGCACCAATAATATCTAATAATACTATAGATGATTCACCTCCAGATAAGGCTAGAAGTACTTTTTGAGTGCCATATAATTCTAAAGATTTACCAAATTTAACTTTATATCTTTCTTCATTAATTTGTTTTCTAAGTTTGCCTCTAATGAAAAAAATATAACAATCTTTACAAAAATCTTCAACTCTTGCATGAACAACTGCATTTTGAGTTTTACATTTTTGGCATAGTTTGGTTTCTGTTAAATAAGTTATTGCTTCTGGCATGGTTTATGATGTTAGGTAGTAAAGCGGGATGAGATAAAGATTTTCTAATTTTTCATATTTTCTTTTTTTTTTTCTTTTGTCTTCGCATTTGGCATTTAAAATCCGAGGAAGATGCATGAATTGAAATCTACTACCCAAGTTTGACATATTTTTAAACTTGGGAAACCTTTTAATCGATTCTATATAGAAATGTAGGATGTAATTCAGTCAAAAGTATTTGAGAATATACATTCAAGATGAATAGGTAACTATACAAACAATAGTAATAATAATTATAATAATAAAAAAAAAAGGAGTACAAACAACTAATGAGAATTCACAATCCAAATTGATCAAATAATCTTGGATTCACTTTCAATCAAACCAAGTAAAAATTCAACTTCAAGTCTCTTTCTTCCTTCAACAACCCAATCATTGGCCAATTTCCTACTCCAACCTTTCAAGTTGGCAGCTTCTTCAACAGCAACGTCTAATTCACCTCTAGCCAAGCTTGATTCAACTCTTCCAATAACAGACTCAATATCTTTACCGTCTTGTTTAACACCTTTAACTGGTAACAAAAGTTTAGAGAAAACAATAGATGCCAAGTGTCCTAATAAACCAGCGTTTGGTGGTAACAAAGAAGCAGATCTCAATTCAGGAGCCAATTGTTCCCAACGTGACAATAATTGAGCGTTGGTCAAAATAGAATGGGTGGATTCGTTCGAAAGCAATGGGGTCAAATCTTTTAAGGCTAATTTCAAGACTTCATCATCTGCAGCAATTTTACTCAATTCATCAACGTATGGTTTAATTGATTTTGGCTTTTCATTTGCAGCAGGAGCCAACAACAAAGACTTGAGTTTGGAAACAGCTTGTTGAATCAATGCTTTCTTGTGGTTGGAAACAATTTGAGTTTCGAAACCTTCAGCAAACTTTTCCAATTCAGTAAGACGATCATTCAATTTATCCAAGTTGGCTAATCTCCCATTTCTTTCTTCATTTAATTTTTCAGTAACTAATTTTTCAAAATTTTTGGTCTGTTCGATTCTAACCATTGACACAGCATTGGTAGCAGCTTGTGAAATGGCAGTTCTAGATGCTTGGATTTCTTGGTTTAATTTTTCATTCAATTTAGCTTCCAATTGTTGCTTTTCAGTGGTGAATTGGTGCAACAAATTTTCAGTCAATTCTAATTCTTTCTTGGTAAATGAAGAAAACAATTCGGTTTGAGAGACCTTCAATTTCTTTTGTAATTCTTCATCAAAAGATTTAGTTAATCCATTCAATTTAGAAGCTAATTGGCTAATACTGAAGTTGATAGATGCAATGAGTTTATCGTTCTTAGAAGCAAGAGTACTGGCATCGATAGTTTGAATAAAGTTGTTGAAAGAAGCAATAGTTTGCTTGACGGTTTCATCAACAGATGATCCAAGTTCGGAATTCAATTCAATCAATGGTAAATGTGGGACATCTTTTTTAACACTTTCGATTTCAACACCTTTTTGTAATTGTTCACTTGGAGTCAAATCGGTACCAGTTCTAGTAGCAGTGAATTTCTTCTTAGTTTCCTTAATGATGTCTTCACCTTTGTGTTCCAATTTCTGGGCAAGTTCATCAATTTCTTCCTTTGATGGTAACTTGACACTGCCAAACTTGCTTTTCAATTGATCCAAACCTTGTTGTAAATCATCGATAGAACCGGTTTCAATAAGTTCTAGTAATTCTTCATGGTATGGCAAGCGGTTATCAACGACAAAATCCATAACTTTATCATTTTTAGTGGCAGCATATAAAGTACCTCCATAAACGACTGATGCCAACAAAGTGGTCTTGAGAAGGAAACCAAACAATGAAAATCTCTTTGTCTTTGGTGGAGGTGGTGGAGTGGCCTTTGGTGGAGTCACTTTAGGTTGAGGTGGTGGGAGTTCACCTTCTGTGGCAACTGGTGGAGGAGTAACAACTACCTTTTGAGTGGTATTCAACCTAATGGAGGTGGTAGAAATACTACGGATAGCAGTAGATCTATTGGCATTACGGGCAGCAATTCTAATCATTTTTGTTTATATATCCGCCTAAATCTTCTTTGATTTTTCTTTTTTTTATTCAATTGAATAGAAACCCAAAATTAGAATAAATATATAAATTGCTATTGTAGAAGAAGTAGCTGTGGTTTACTTTACTTTTCTTAAAAAAAAAGGAAGAGGATTAAGATGATGTCTATTTAATAATGTGTAGAAATATTTTTGTCTTTCTCTCTCTCACTCTTTCGTTCTCTCTCCTCACTCTCACTGGTTGTTGTAGAATTTTCATTTGCTCACTGATTGGAAATTTTTTTTTTCTCTTTCTTCTTTAATTTCAACACAAAATACTAGTGGTCGTGTTAGTTGTTCAAGAACCTTCCAACAGTGGTAAATCTCACGCTTTCTCGACTTTAATCGAACAACAAGACCACGATAATAGATCCTGTCTTGGTGAGTCAATAATCATTTATACAACAAATGTCAATTAAACCTGTTTCAATTACTGTCCCACAACCTTCAACTCAAAGGGGGCAAGCCACTCATATTTCCTATGATCCTAAACATGAACGTTTGGCCTATGTCAATGGGAAATCAATTATTGTGAGACCAGTCGATTATAAATCGACTTCGCCTACAATTGTTTTCAGTAAACATATTTTCCCAACTACTGCAGTTAAATTTTCACCATCAGGTTTTTATATTGCTTCCGGTGATGAATCGGGTCAGATCAAGATTTGGGATGTTTCTCCTAAATCAGAACCAACTTTTGAGCAACCAATTATTAAAAGTGAATTTCAAGTCATGTCAGGTCCAATTAGATCAATTGCTTGGGATGCTGATAATTCCCGTATAATTGCTGTTGGTCAAGGTAAAGAAAAATTTGGACATGCTTTCTCTTGGGATTCCGGTAACTCCATTGGTGATATCCAAGGACATAGTTCTGCTATTAATGCAGTTGATATTAAACCTCAAAGACCATACCGTGCTGCAACTGTGGGTGATGATCATGCCATGGTTTTCTTCAATGGTCCTCCATTTAAGTTTGATAAGAGTTTAAGAGGCAAACACACTAATGTTGTTAGAGATGTCAAGTTCAGTCCAGATGGACAATATATTGTGTCTGTTGGATCTGATAGAGTGATTAATATTTATGAAGGAAAAACTGGGGAATTCATTAAAGGGATTGAAAAAGCTCATGAAGGTGGTATTTTTGCTGTCGCTTGGTTACCTGATTCCAAGTCTTTTATCACTGCTTCGGCTGATAATACATTGAAGAAATGGGATGTAGAAAGTGGTGAATCTGATCAAACTTATCAAGTCAGTAAGACTACAAGTGTTGCCAATCACCAAATTGGCTTAGCATTGACTAAAGATTATATTGTTTCCCTTTCATCCAACGGGAATTTGAATTATTTCAAGCACAGTGGGGAATTGGAACAAGTTGTTAAAGGACATCAATCCCCAATAACCAAAGTTGAACATACCAAAGGTACTATTTTCAGTGGTGGATCTGATGGTAAATTCTTTAAATGGCAAGTTGCCAAAGAAGGGTTGGAAGCTTTACCTGTATTACAAGATGATGATGAGCATACCAACTATATTGTTGATATTTTAACTGTTGATGATGTTACCTACACAACAGGGTGGGATGATACCTTGAAAGTTTGGAAAGAAGGTAAAGTAACCAAATCAGTTAAATTACCTGCTCAACCTAAACAATTGAGTAAAATTTCTGCTGGTGTGATTGTTTTATTTGAATCTCAATTACAATTATATTCAGATTTACTTGAATTGATTGCAGAAGAAAAGTTCAACTTTAATGCCACATGTATTGCTCCAATTGATGCTGATGGTCTGAAAGTTTTGGTCACCAATAACTCTACCAATACCATTGAAGAATTTGAAATTAATGGCGAAAATATCAGTAAATCTTCAAAGGAATTTCCTAAAATGCGTTCTCCACCAACATTAATTAGAGTTTCACCTGATGGAGAATATTTTGCTGTTGCTGATTCAGCTGGTAAGTACACTTTATTTAAAAGTTCTGATGGTAGTGTTGTTTCTACTCGTTGGGCATTCCATACCAGTAGAGTCTATGATGCTAAATGGACTCCAGATTCCAAATATTTGATCAGTGGTGGTTTAGATAGTGGATTATTTTTGTATTCTGTAGAAAGACCATCCAAAGTTATCAAATTTCCATTGGCACATGCATCAGGTGTTTCTAGTTTAGATTGGATTGAATTTGATTCAGATAAGAAATCAGGTACTTTCGTAACTTCCGGATTAGACGCCACTATTAGAACATGGGATGTTTCTATTTAGACAATTATAAAAATGAGTAATAGACAATTTTATTAGCAATTTTTTTTAAAGAAAAAACTTCACAAAACGCAACCAAAAAGCAACCAAAAAGCAACAAGAAAAATTGACCCTGTCGTTTAGCTGTTGGAGTGGATACAATTTATTATCAAATGTTCTTGCAATTCTATGATGTATCTCCTGATTAATATGTAATTAATTAATCATTATACAAAAAAAATTATCATCATCCCTTGATTGGCCAATTCTTTACTTTTTTTTTCTTTGCTTATCTGCATATTTAATTCTGTGTCGGCTCAGCTCTCTCATGAATTGTGTATCATCATTTGATGGATTTGTTGATTTATGTGTACAAATTGCTTCGGAGTTTTTTTTCCCATGTTGTACAGCTTTTTGCATGAGCGCATCAAAGATTTGCAACGCGCTGAATATTGAACCTAACCAAACTCTAATTTCGTCTTGAATTTTGTTTTCTCTCTCTCCGTTGATGCGAGCAAAATGTGCCCGATTTCACATGTGCTCAATTAAGAAAACAACTGTGATAGAATCAACTATGATAGAATCAGATAAATAAAACTCATTTATTTCATGAAATAAGAAATATATACTATGTATAAGTTTGTGTATATATATAAATATAAATAAGAGAATCAAAAAGAATAAAGGTAATAAAGACAAAGAATCATTCAGTGAGATTATAAATACACCATTAATAAATAATAAATAAAGAAATAGAAAATATCATTAAAATTCAAATCATTATTTTCCTTTAGTTCTTACCGATGTTTTTAACCAATTCAATGTATTTTTCGGTGGAGAAAGATTTTGGTCTTTCAATTGGCATACCCAAACCACGGTCCAAGATCAATTGTGGCAAGACACCGAAAGCTCTGGAAACACCAAACAAGACAGTGTAGAAGGATTCTTCAGTCAAACCGTAGTATTGTAACAAGACACCAGAGTGGGAGTCGACATTTGGCCATGGGTTCTTGGTCTTACCGTGTTTGGTCAAGACACCTGGAGCAACTTCGTAAATGTTAGAAACCAATTTGAACAATTCGTAATCTGGCATGTGTTTAAGAGCAAATTCTCTTTGAGCAGTGTATCTTGGATCGGTCTTTCTCAAGACAGCGTGACCGTAACCTGGAACAACTCTACCAGCATTCAAGGTTTCCCACAAGTATTTTTCAATGGCTTCTTTAGAGTAGTCACCGTTCAATTCTTCTCTCAATTTGAACAACCATTCCAAGACTTCTTGGTTAGCTCTACCATGCAATGGACCAGCCAAACCGTTCAAACCGGCAGCCAAGGACAAGAATGGGGAAGACAAAGCGGAACCAACCAAGTGGGTGGTGTGGGCAGAAACATTACCACCTTCGTGATCAGAGTGGATGGTAAGGTACAATCTCATCAATTCAACAAATTCCTTGTTTTCACCGAAACCCAACATACTGGCCAAGTTAGCACCGTAATCCAATTTAGAGTCAACTTGAGCTGGCAATTTACCGTCATGGAAAACGTTTCTGTAAATCTTAGCAGCAATGGTTGGCAATTTAGCCAATAATTCAATAGAATCTTCATAAGTGTATTTCCAGTATTCGGATTTGTGGACACCTTTAGCATAAGCTTTAGCAAATTGAGATTCAGATTCCAAAGCAGTAACGGCAATGGAGAATTGAGCCATTGGGTGCAAGTGGGATGGAGATCTGTCAATAAGTTCTTCAACGTGTTTTGGCAAGGCTGATCTAGCAGCAAATTCTTCGGAAAGAGCCTTGGTTTGAGCTTCAGTTGGAACTTCACCAGTCAACAACAACCAGAAAAGAGCTTCTGGTAATGGTTCTTCACCACCTGGGGCTTTTGGCAATTCCTTTTGGATATCTGGAATAGTTCTACCTCTGAAACGGATACCTTCGATTGGGTCCAAGACAGAACCTTCCCAGACTAAACCTTTGATACCTCTCATACCACCATAGGCTTGTTCTAACAAGACTTCACCAATGACGGTTTTACCGTAGTCTTTTTTCAATTGTTTAACTTCTTCAGCTTTGGCTGGCAAGATTTCTTCCAATCTTTGTTTCAAAGTTGGTTCAGCAGTGGCATAAGTTCTGACGGAGTTTCTTAAAGTGGACTTGGCAACGTTGGAAGAACGTTGAATTGATCTTAAGGCAGACATATTTGTGATTGAGAATAGTTGGAAACTAGGTTGATATTTTCAAACGATTCAAATTAAAATAATAAAAAAGAAGAAGAAGAATTAAAAGAAGGAGAAAACTTTTTCTTTTAAATATGTTTTTTTTTTTCAGAAAAATTGTGGGAAAGAAAATCAATTGGGATTTTATACTAAAATTTTTTTTTTTGTCTTTCTTCTTATTGATTGATGTGGGTGTGTCCCCTACAGTATGTAAAGGTTTTCTCTTTGTTCATAGGAGAAGTTTTGTGTCCGTCATGATTTTTTATTTTGCACTTGTGATTTTTACAAATTGTACACCAAGTTGAGTAGAAAAATAGAGAGTAACTCAGTGTGGAATAATTATTTACACTATGGAGAAAAATGTCCGACGGGAACTGCAGCATAGCAATCTGCCCAATCAAATTCCATAATTTCATACAATTCCCCTTTTGTGTCTAAAGATTACCTCATACGCAAAATGATCATACATGAACTTTACACAAAGGATTAAGTTCAACCTTCAAAACTCGGTTACAAAACAAAGAAAAATTTTTTTTATCCTCGGAGTTTTTTTTTTTTTTTATTTAATTTTAATTTTATTTTGCACTGCAACGATTGCTATAGAGATATAATTTTGACGCTAAAGAGTTGTCCGTTTAAATTCGTTCCGCTACATAATTAAACACAATTCAGAGAGAATTCAGCATTAATTAAATATCAACTATCCCGACCGTATCCCTTAAATGAAATGAAATAAAGATAAAAAAAGGAGAATAAAATTACTCATGAAACGTAACCTCAAAATGATATAATGAAAAGCAAAAAGACAGAAAAAAAAAAGACAAAGAAAACAATTACTCCGATGGACAAGATTATACTTGTAGAATAAAATAAATGAATTTCATTGATCCAATTCAAAATCCTCCAATTTGATTGGTCAATTCGCTCACAAATATTTCCCCAGATTTTCGGAGCCAGAAAGTAAAAGAAAAAAGAAAAATAACATTTTTGAACTTTCGCACACTCACTATTCACGCTTAAGCATTGTTCTATACATATTTTTATACCCGAATGCCCGCTTTCCATTTTCCTTTCAGAGCCATGGCTACACGCACTTGATATTCTGATTGTTTCCAGAGTTCTGGTATAGTAAAACAGTACAGTAAAATACAATACTTCCGTGACTATAAGTATAGACGAATCATATAGCGACTTGTTCTAAACCGACTTTTTTTTTTGGTTATTAAACTTTACAAAGAAAAAAAAATATAAACACCCACCACCCCCTTTTATTTGTTGTTGTTCCTTTTGGTATATTTCGGAGTTTCTTGCACATCACGTCTTGTATTATTTTTATCTACTTCTATTGATAAACCCACAGATCACAAAACACATACATAGACGATTAGAAGAATAGGAGACATGGACACAGAGAATGAGAGATTGTTATTCATTGAGCACTGGTATGCATTACCGCTATGAATTATCATTCTTTATATTTCGTGCACTATTAAATATATCAAAGATCTGGAGTTTCCCAAATAGTGGGACAGTTCTTGATTAAGTATTCACAAGGGTACTTTCTATGACGTGACCTCCTTAGCTCCATGAACAAGAGTTCTATATAAAACGATAAAACGAAAAAAAAAGTGTCTGAAATATTGCCAAAACAAGTAACTTAGTTGCAGACCTTAATCCCAGAAATTACGAAACCTTTTGTTATGTTCTTTTTACTTTTCAAATAATTTTGGCATATAAATATCTTTAGTAAAATATTTTGATACTTTTCATTCCTTTCCCCGGTGTTTACTGTATTAATTCTCTTATTGGTTACTCTAAGAAATACGTGGGAACTAAAAAAAAGAAATAATTAGATGTAAATATACCTAAAAATGAAACAAGTATCGAACGTTTCTTCTTCATTCTTACTATGGAATCAATCAATGAATGAATGAAAAACATCTGACATTTTGTGGGGGTGGGGGTGGGGCCCGATTTGTGGGGCTCGTTTTTATTAACTTCATGGAACAAAGGAATAAAGACTAACCACACACACACACACACACACTAGAAAAAAAAACCAAACCGTTTTAATTAATTTTCTTGTACTTGTTGTTGAGTCTGATTAGTTAATATTATGAATATTATAGATGATTGATGGGATTTAAGAACATAATTAAATTCGTTGGGCTGGATTTGTTGGTGATAATTTATAAATTGAAATAATCATAGAAATAAATAATTTATTGATGTAAATTTGTAAAATTTTGCTAATAAATAATTCGAAATGCACACCACAAGACTATGTACATTTAATGCTACCTAAAAGAAATAATCTAAATCGGATATACATATTCATAATGATTCAATAAGTTGGTATAATCTCTTAAATCAGTTCATTATCATTATGATTATCGTGTCAAAAAGATCCCTGGATTACAATTATTCAATATTTTTTTATATTAGGGCTTTAAAAGCAAAAGTTTTTTTTTGCCAATTCCATTTATGGAAATCGTGCCGCATTCCAGCCTTACTCTATACACACACTCACAGATCTGGAGTGCAGATGAGACAGAGCATAAAAGGAAAGAAAAAAATTTTTTTTTTTTTCACTTCTGATTATTTTACTTTTTTTTTTTTTTATTTCACTCATCTCTCTTTTTCTTATTCTTAGAGAATTATCAACCAATAGATAATATACATACTACTATATATCATCTTTTCTTTTTGACATAAAGAGTTAATCTCTTTAGTTAACTTTTGTAGAATCTATTACTGGGACTTTATCTCCGGTTGCATGCCATCATTTAGATGTACTCGGTAAACGAATCCCAAATATCAATTGAAACATCTTGCAGAAGGGTTAAGACCAATTATTTCTACGTTTTAACAATCCTTTTGAAGATGTTTTACATCATTTAAAAATTTTCTAACCTCTGGACCAATCGACGCGTGTGAGTCGGATATTTTACCAATTTTAGGAATTGCACATTTCGATTTAAATTCACAATATTGACATCTCAGAAAATCGTTGGTTGGTTCTGGATCCAATTTCCCATTCCAGAAATCACTGGCATGTATTGTTTCTGTTTCCAATTCACCATTATTATAATTGTACACCTTTGTATCTATGATCTTTCCGGTAAACGTGTTTCTATATTCAACTGTTGTTGTATCACCCAATCTGCTACCAAATATTTCATAAAACTGTGCAGATCTTGCTGCCAAGTATCTCAATGTTGGTGGAGTTTTCCATGTTTTCAACAATGGTAATAATAACTTATCATACTCTAATGAATCATAACCACCCAAGCTTTCAATAAACTTCAAATGTTGAGACGCTTGTTCCTGATGTTGAGCAAAATCTTTACCTAATACAAATAATTTGCCAAACTCATAATCTGAGTCTATCCTTTCCAGGTCAAATGGAGCAAATCCAATTGGCTTGCCATCTGCCAATTTTAAAAAATCATTGTAAAATAAATGATAATGTCTTCTGAGAATTCTAAACGTTGTTAGAACACTCAATGGTTTATCGACGTCAAGCCCTCTTCTTTTGGCATTTTCTAATAAACATCGATATGCAAAATTAGCATCTTTGCTAAGTAATTCAAAAAAATATCTATAATAAAAAGTTTGAAATTTAGCACTATCAAGAACAGACTTTTGCAGTGGTATTTGATAAACCATTCTTGTTTTCAAATCAGTGAATTTTAATTGAAATTCTGGATAGCATTGTATTATATTTTTAACATCATCGAAAAATCTTGATAAATCAACTAATGGAGTTTCATCAACTTGCTCATATTCAACATCAAGATATTTTTGAACTTCATCAAAAAGTGCAAAATCATCACTATTTTCAGGATTTTCAAATTGAATCTGATCAACAATACCACTGACTAAAACACTTGATGGATTTTTTATTTCTTGTTCATTTTCAACAAATGATTCTTTTTGTAAATTTAAATATCCATGTAAAATTACTTCTCTAGATTCAGAACAAACTATTAATGAATATAATCTTTCAATAATAGTTTCAGACCAATCAATTGCAATTGAATCATCAGGATTCATATCAAATATTCCATCATTATCAACCAAATCATACATTTCCATAATTTCTTCAGTATTGGATCTAATGAAATTTTCAATATCTTCTAAATCAATAACACCATGAAGTGCTTGTTCTAATTTTAAATGCAATTTAGTTCCTGCACTCATAGCTTTAGTTGGAGGAGTTCTTACTGATCCAGCAAAAACTCTATATAATTCTCTTAATTCACACCATCCTGAAATTAATAATTTCGTTACTGATAATCTTGGATTATTAATATATGAAATATCATCATTTTCAATTGATTGAAATTCAAATGGAGTATACTTTGTAGGATTAATAAATGGTAAATCATTTTTATGATAAAGATTCCAATGTTTATAAATATTCATTAATTGTTCATTTTTTAACATTGGTCTTGTTTCTTCATTTTTAGATATAACCATCAGTTGAATTAGTCGATTAACAATTTCTTGATCCAGTTGTGGTCCATTAATGTTTCTTTCATCAAGGTTGTCATCTATTGTTGTAATAGGTACATCTATTTCTGGGTTTCGAATTGATAGTAGGCCATGTTGATCTTCAAAAACGTGTTGAAAATTTCTAGTCAGTCTAGATAAATACCTTTTCAAAAAATTCAAACTCATATCATTGCTTAGACCAAAATTATAATTAGAATCAAAATACTTTTAGAATTTAAGGACTTTTCTATTGGTTTATATATGTATTACAGTTGATTGATTGATTGATTGAGATGCAGATCTGTCATATTATTTTTATTTTTTTTTTGTTTCACTTTCTACGGTTTGGCTTGTACGCGTTTGTATTATGTATCATAAATTATTTGACAAGACGAGTATCAAGCATGTATCACATTCGTTTACAATCTCTCGTTTTGTCGTTTATATTTATTACCACCTCCTCCTTGTAATTTCGATTTGATTACTAATCCACTAATGAGGATTAATACATCACGTTATTTAGAGGAAGTTCATCTTCAATGATGAGTAATCAGTATCACGCAATGGTAAATTATGACAATGTATATTCAATTTGCAACCCCCCTATCACTTTACATGAATTCTTTATCAGGAAAGAAGTATGAGTGTGATATTGTCTATAAACCTAATAATACATAAAGTCACACAAGCAAAAACAAAACAACCAACGAAGAACTAAAGTCAAAAATAAAAAAAATAAACTGCCCGTAACTAAACAAGAAACGAATGTCATTAAATTAAATAATTAATTAGAACCAAAAAAGGGATAAGAAAATGCAAACATAAAAACTCTAAACTAAATAAATAAAATACATCATTAAAATTGAATGTCATTACTGGACGAAGATGAAAGTCTAGTCAAACTAAACAATGAATCAACAATTGTCATATCTGAACTAGAAACAGTACGACTAATATTTAAAAAACTAGGAATTGAACGTATTGGAATGGTTGGTGATCCAAAATTACTAGTAATGCACGAGGAACAATTATCTAAATTGACCCCGGAATAACAACTCATGAAATCTTCTAAAGCTTCATCAATTGGAGTCATTGGCGCAATTGATGAAAAAGCATTATTCATCAGCGTGTCTAAAAAAAGACCTGAACTAGAACCATGTAATTTTCTCCTTTTTGGGGATGAAACTCCGGATGAAGATGAAGCTGGAGTAGTGGAGAAATAAGAAGCTGGATGGTTTCCAAATAATGATTTCACTTCAACCGGTGAGTCAGAAACCACGATTTCTGGAACCTGAAAATTTAAAGAAATACAATGTTGACAATAGCAAATGTTATAAGATTCACCGAATCTTTGTTGGTACAAATCAATTGTATCTTTAAAACTATTATCCAATTTTCCTTCATGTTTACCTTCTTCAATTAAGCAATGGCAAAGGGAATTCAAGTTATCGGAAATATAGCCCTGTAATGCCAATTTATGAGTTTGCCAAATCAATTCAATATCCAAGGTAGGAATCAAAGTCTGGTCTTTCAAAGTTGGCTCTGTTAACAAGGTGAAAAACTTGGAATATCTTGAACAAGATTCAGTTAAAAATTGATTAATATGTGGCGATTGCAACCAATTCATATTGTTCATTCTGGTGATAAATCTTTCTTGTTTCAAAACACTTTGCACCAAATCAAATCCCAATTCAACTTCACCGGAAATAGTCATACCAATTGGGTTAAATTGAAGATATCCCATTAGCAATTTACTGGATTCAGGGTTACCCAATTGACTAACCAATGATTTAATCATACCTCTCAAGTTTTCAAAATGGAAACTTTCCCAACTAGACTCCAATTTTAATGCAAGCTCAATACTCAAAGTAGTTGGGTTTCTGTTTCTTTGATCTGGTGGATTAACAACTTGGGAAAAATGTCTAAACAAACCATGTAAAAGACCAGTTCTTTTGACATCAGAAAATAATTGTAATTTTCTCAATTCATCATGGGTAATTATTTCAAAACAAGTACAATGACATTCAGAAATTTTGGCAAAAAAATTCATATTGCTTGTATGGAAATTTGCATCAACAAATCCAGTACTTTCACCATTAGAAAATGGTACTGATTCAGCAAGTTTATCATTACAATTTGGACAATAGATGTCAACATTCATTGGGTAAACTTTAATTTCACTAATTTCATAAATTAAAGCAAATGGTTGATTGGTGAATTTTTTAATCAAATCCAAGTAATTTTTCTTAAATTCTTTGGAAACTTTGTAATCAAATGTTCTATCATCAATAAACTGAACAATGTTATGTAATGGCAATGGGTAATTAGCAAACTGTAACATCCTAGTTCTTACCAAAGAATCATAAGCATCTTTAGTGTTTGCTGATAAAAAAGAATGCCAAACCATAATAACATCCAATGGAGGTAATAATTCATCCATCATGGAAATAAATTCTTGGTTCTTATCTGTACTAGCAGAATAAAGCATCAGTTCATTTGTTCCATTAGTTCCTTGAACTGGAATAGTCTTTTTCATAGCAGTAACAAAAACTAAAAATCGTCTAACGGCATTACTAACAAAAGCTTTCCAAAATTTAGCTGAATCAATGTTGGGACAAGATAATAGTACTTTCTTTTTCATAGCTGCTATAGCTCTTAAAAGCTTTAAATGGGCAATTACATCAATTGAATTAGGAGAACATTTAGTTTCCCTAGTGAAACCAAGGAAATTATCCCAATCACTTGATAGACCATTATCATAGGTTGTAATAAAGGAACAAGTATAACTTGTGAAGTCAAAGTTATTAGTAGAAGCAAGAATAGAAGAAAACTCATCAGATAAAGCAACAGTTGGTGATTTAGGTATACTAGTGTTTATATGTGGATTATATGTGAAACTCATTTGAAGTGGGTAGAGAAATGATAGAGACAAAAAATAAAATAAAAGAACCCACGAAAAGGAATTTTAATTTTTGAGATTGGGAACATGGATTGAAGGGAATTGAAGGTATATTTATATTTGATTCGTAATTAACAATTAACCATTGTGAATGTGTAAGTGTGTGTGTATGTGGAAACATATGAGGAATGAATATCAATGCAACTAAGATAATTTTTTTTTTTTTAATTTTATTTTTGAGGTTTTGAATAATTTGAATGACTTGTGTTGATATATTGTCTTCTTTACTTCATTGTCTATTGTTTTACTGTTTGTGTAACAAAGGAATATCCAGTAACCAAAAATCTTATCTTTAACACTTTTTGTGTTACCCTCGCCGCACGTGAATCAAGAAAGGTGTGACAATATATATATGTTCCTGTGTCATTGCACCAACGTTCTCCAACGACACACACCCCCTCGTTATATCATCAACAGAGGACCGTAAACAGCAGGGAACTGATAATATAATGAGGGGCATACCTTTTCAACCTCTTCAATTGTGTCAATTCCATCAATTGACCACTCAATTGACTCAATTGTTATCACTACATGAAATGCAAGAATTTGACTCGTCACCATGAGGTTTAGTTTTCGTTTTGATCGGATCTAACTAAGAAAGAAAAGGAAGTACATCTACCGTAAATCTGATTAAATTAAGAAGAAGTAAGAAAAAAAAAGCCCAGTTAATAACCGTTAAAGTCAATTAAAAGCGAAGCCCCTTCAAATGTGTTAGCCATTAATAACCGTCATTCTTTAAAAAGGTACATTCATTACACACTTGATAATAAGTAAAGCAAACAAACCTAAAAAAAGGAAAGTGTATTTATGCATAAGTCATTTTTTTTTCATTTTAAACAATTTTTCAAATTTACCAAAATATGTAATCACATTGTATGCTGATTGTTTGTTCTTTGGTTGTGTTGTGTACGTTTTTTTTGTATTTGAATGGGTTTCCCACCCTACAGCCACTTCATGACTCAGATGAGTTTAACTTTGTGTTTAGGTCCTCCCCCTCTAAATTACATATACAAACCTTTATTTAAATCCGTTTTTGGAGCAATAATAATCCCGAATGGGTTTATGAATAAATAAATTAATAAATAAATAAATAAAAATAATAGCACAGCCTCAACCATTTTTTGTTGAGAGTTAACTATGTTTCTATTAATCATTATAATAAAGTTTACTCTACTACTATTGTTTGATAACTACAGAGATCAAAGAGATAGGTCTGTTAGAAAAGATGTTCATCCTTCGTAGAGTTCAAGTTTGTCTGGGTAGAGTCAAGAATTTCATGAGCCCGACCAAAATAAAAATAAAACGAAGAAATATAACTACTGTACATTCTTTTTTTTTTATCTTTAACAATGACAAACCATTTCTTCTGTTACATTATTATATTATAATTCATTGTAAAGTATATGAACGTCCTATGTCCCTTCAATTACCGTATTCTACTTTCTCTTTCTCTTCCTTTTTAATTTCTTTTTTGTCTTCTTGACTTCTATAATTTCTTGTTTTCAACTCGCCGCTTATGTAAGCAGTATAATTACTTCGGATGTATGGAATGCTTTCCCCCAATTGAGGAAAATAAGCGATCATCATAATCATCATCGCGGACAACTGTTGTTAATGGTTAATCATGAGTTCATGGAACCTCCGACGGGATAATATTAGCTTTTGTAGAAGTATCTTATGACATCGGGTATCAATGGTTATGTGTATTCTCTTTTCTTTTTGACTATCTATTCACTATATACAAATGGTAAAAAAAAATAAAGTGATATAAAATCAAGTATGAAGTAAGATGGTCATTCAATACACATACGATGAAGGAATTGAACTCTGTTCAATTCAATTCACCTTAAGTTCCTTTCAAATGCAATTACAATTGGTTGGAAATGAATCAATACTCTCCCAGTTTTTTTCTTATTTTTATTTTATTTTTTTTTTTTTTTAGTCATGGAACACAGTCAAACATACTCTTTTTTGTTATTTTTGTGATGGTTCCAAGCACGTTTTGAAATTTTGCATCTAATTTAGGCGGTATTTTCGGTTTTCTGAAGAATCGTCACAAAGTGTATGTGGTTGAAATCAGAAATGGGGGGGGGGAGGGGGTATTCTGAATTATCTTTTTATTTTTGGTTCTTTTTTTTGCGGCCTAATGTATACCACGTTTCATTTTCAATGAATCTCTCTTTTTCTCACTCAAAGTGTATTGATTAGGTATATTGATCTTAGATGAATCACCAGATGATGGTGGTGCTGAAAACGCTTGATCAAAGTTATTTTGCATACCAGTTGGCGTGGAAGGAGTGGCTGCCCCATTGCTTTGGTTAGTATTGCTGTTGTTATTGTTGTTGGGAAGTGGGAATCCTGGGAAATATTCATCACCTGGAGTGGTGGCAGATAAAAATGGAGAATCCAAAGCAATTCCTCCGGCACTTCTTGGATTACCATTAGAAAACCCTTGCATCGAATTCATTGATTGAAGATTGGACATATCGGTATTGATATTAAGGGCATGTGGAAAATTATTGCCTCTGGACGAAGACCTTGATCTTTGTAAAAAATAAAACTCTTCGGATTCATATGAAGCTGGAATTGAATTTTGAACAACACTAAATGGTGGGGTAATAGCAGATGAAACAGATCCTTTGTGTGAAGTGGGTGGAGTGATATGATAATCCATCATCATGGAATTCAACTGTCCCACATTGGATGTGTTGGAATTGTTAAAGTTGTTGTTGTAGCTTGTTCTGTTGATCATTGATTGAGGAACATGGTCTTGCATGGATTGCAAAGAATCCGTACTGATATTGAAATCTGGATTTCCTACTGGTCGCAAGTTACTTATATTACCAACATGCAACCAATTATTTGAATTGTTTCTAGTCAAAGATTGTTTTCTCAAGTTAATTGAAGACGACCTCGATCTTGCCAAATTGACAGCACTGGAATTAGATGCATTGTAGTTTTGTAAGTTGGCTTCATTAAGGGACAAGTTTGACACTGAACTTCTGGTTGATGTGCCACTTACTTGAATTGATGTTGATTCTGGAAGCTTATTGTTTGAATTGGACCTACTATGACACAATTCTAATAATCTTTTTCTTATCAATTGCAAAATGATTGGCTGGTACTCATGACTCTTGAGACAATCTCTGTTTATGATATTGAACTGATCGTATTGTGGGGCATTGTTGGATGCAGTATTTTTTATCAATTCTTTAATGGTTTCATTTGCAACTCGACTCACCAATCCACTTGGAGGAATAGTACCCAGAAACGGTGTTGTAGTCGGCAGTGATAAAACATTGGAATATATAGTCAATAACACTTGATCAAAATGACTAGTAAAAAATAAAGTAAAATTCTTCTTGTAGAATCCATTTGGTTCATCTATATCGGTAAGAATATCGTCTGACTCATTGTCTCTTGGATTCTGGTATATTGAGTTCCCAGCCGGATTAAGCGAAAATTCCAGACCACTCATTTGTTGTTGTTGTTGTGGAACTATAGGAAAGAACTGTTGAGGGGCATCAAGGGGTGTCTTCATGGTTTGATCCACGGGTGTGAATGGTCTTGAATTGTTTCCGAACCCAACCCCTGGTGGTGGGAAATCGGTTTTGCTTAATTTAAGCAGCAAATTAAAGTTTTTGTTAATCATAATGCAAAATTTATGGTCTATAAATGTGTGTATAAGTTGTCAAGGATAATGTAGGTAATGTCTTAATTAAAGAAAGGGATGGTAAAATATAACTGAACAAAAATCTCAAATGAAACTTGTTATCAGTGGGATAATTGGTAGGCTTTTTTTAGAAGTTTTCTGTTGATAATTTTTTTTTTCTTTCCTTCCCTTTACGTAATTGCTGGTGGAAGTGCGTGTGGTGGAAGTAGTGTGTAGCGCGCACAAAATAAAATGAAAAAGGACGCGAGGATAAAATTGATGGCTTTGGGTCACTTGCCTCGGATATGCTGGTGGTGTGCGTGTAATTTAATTGATGAAAGGAAATATTAACTAATGAAAGACAAGGCGTGAATACTACTAGGTCTTTTTGTTTTTCTTATTGAGATTATATGATTTGGGAATAATTGTTCTTGCTAGTAGGGGACTCACTAATACAATATTCACTTATAGGAAAACGAGTAGTTGAGAAATTGGATTTGTAGTTGAAAGTCCTTGAATAAATGATGATGGTGATGATAATGTTGATATACTATATTGCCATCTACTAGTTGGAAAGAATCAATATTATAATAGGAGAATTTGAAAGGAATTATATGGTCAATTATGAAAACAAAAAAAACAAAAAATTATGAAACTCTTGTGAAACTATATTCCTTATATATATAAGATTGAGCGATTTAAAATAATATAAAAAAAAAGTACAAACTGATGATGAAATTAAATGTAACTGATTTTTTTGCTTTTTAGTTATTTTTTTTTTGTTTTTTTGGTTGTTGTTCCAGATATGAACCAGAACATATAACCCGCCTAATCAAAAAGTTTAGTTTTAAACGACTCCAGTTATTTAACAAAAAAGTAACTTGGGATTAAAAGGGGGTAGATGCAATTTAACACACTTCATTATTTGAATGAATAATAAAACTCAACAACAATAAGAAAATACTCTACATTTACTATTCAAGACGCGTCGTTACATTTTATTTCCTTTGTGTCATTTCTAAAAAATTCCAATTGTCAATGTTTAAAGAAAGAGAAGGTTTTATAATCATTTCAGTATTGAGCACTAAATACAAAGATAAAAAGAAAGAATAAAAAATCATCATTCTTTAGTTTCCCCTTTTAAAATACTTTAAAAGTTAAAGTGTGTTTGATTTTATTTGCTATATTCCTATAAAAATGCAATGGGGACATTTATGATTAGCGATGAACTCATTTTGCAGACCTAAATCCTTTCAAGTCAAACATAATGAAAACTCATCAGAGCAATCAAATTAAAACATCCATCCTCTCTTTCTCTCCCCTGACAGGGATCTCCTCACAACCGTGTCATAGTCAACCAATAAGGGCTTTCTTAACGACGGTCACAAATTATGATGCTGCATATAATGAACAACTACTGTATTGTTAGAGATGTAAAAAGTTGACTCTATTTCGTTAGTAATAATGGATGTATGTATGAAAAAAAAAGAGAACTAGAATAAACGTAAAAGTTTAAAATTAAAAAGACTAAAACAGGTAAAATAATGGTATTACTAAAAAAAATTCATCAATATTTATTCCCAAAAGGGTAAAATTCAGATTGCAGCTCATTAGGCACACTTGCACGACCATTTTTTTCCCATCAACATTCTCGTAGAACAAGTTGCATGCATGAAAAGTAATTAATGCCGAACTAGATCTTAAACAATAGAGACAATAAAAAAATAACTAAATCTTCTTTTATAACAAATCAGGAGAAGAAGAAGAAGAAGAAGAAGAATACAAAGAAGAAAATTAATCAGTCTATTAATCTAAAAATTTTACATCAAATTGTCTACATCATACGATGGTGGTTTTTTTTTGTTTGTTTGATTGATATTTGGGCTTTTCTATTATCGTTAAGCTTGTATATGTAGACATTTCGGCGAATTGATGTATATTTTGCACTGCCTAAAATTAAAATTGCAAATGAATATAAAAACTAAAATCTGAAAAGCAATACAAAAAGTAAAATTTTGACTGCACATTTACTGTATGGCAAATCCGGGGGGGAATAACAGCACTGGTCAGAACGTTTGAAGTGGGCTCTTGAACAATACAAATTGACAAAATTAAAACTTACAATCAATCGACACAACGAATCGCCATAAATCAATAAATAAATCAATAAATAAAAAATGGAGAAACTGTTCTATGAAGCCAAGAGTTAAATAAATTAATCATCTCCACTTTATTGTCTCTCTTTTTCTTTGTATGAATGTTCCAGTCTCATGATAAAAACCCCCGTAGCGGAAGAGAGGTGGGTACGACACGCCCTAGTTGTACGTTTTCTCTTTATTTCGTCCAACGATTGCAAAAATTATACGAAGGGTGAGCAGATAATAGAGGTGTATTTCCTATTATTAACCTAAATATATTACATAAAAATTAGACTATTCTCACCACCCAACTCCTCATTATCAACTAACATGTTTGGATTATTATCTTCGGCGAAAATCAGGTTATTCATCTCTGGTTGCACTTCTTCATTTTGTACCATTTGTTCATCTTCCTCTTCTTCAGATGATAAAACTGGTTCCTCCTCAGCCTTGCAAAATTTCGTTAAATCATCTTCCAATAAATTCTGATCATACTGTAAATTATAAGGTAATAATGTTGACAACTTCTCTAACGATGCCATCAAGTCTTTCTCACTATCGTTGGCATTGGCTTCTTCGGCTGTAACCTCACTCACAATATGGTCTGTCTTGTTCATGTGCTTCAAATGATTCTGTATCCTGTCCCAATTATTATGCTTCTCTTTTTTGTTCCCACTGGTATCGATGGGATGGAATTTATAATTATTCTGGTATTTTAGAAATTCTTTAACGATTATAGGGTCCGTATTCAAGAATTTCAAATCATGTCCCAATTTTAGATCTTTTTCAATCAAGTAATTAAACCAATTCAACTTATCTTTCTCAGTTATTATATCCTCATTTAGTTCATCTTCATCTACTTTTCGTTGTTGTTGATCATCATTTAACTTCAACTGATTGTAAAACTCTTGTCGTTCCTTATGTTTTCTTTTTCGTTTAGCCAAATCCGATTCCCCATCATCAATATCCAATTTTCTTTTTTCTATTAAATTTTTAATTAAATTATTGGGTAATTCGTTCAATTTTTTCTCAATGGCAAATTGTTCACTTCTGGCACACCATTCTTTAAGCGACTCAACAGACTTTGTATTATATTTACTTTCTTCAAAATACTTGTCATGAATTCTTGTCAGTTCTTTCACTTTAAAAACTCCTGTATTTATCAATGCCTGTGTTACATCTTGTATCTCTGGTGAATTAGATTTTGTTCTCAAATTACTACATTTAAGACTTTCTTTAATAGCGTTTTGGAAAACTTGTAAATACAAATCTGTGACCACGTTTAACGTTGATGGTTTACATTTATCAAATCCATTTGCTTTTAATATTTGTGCTACCGAAACCCTTAGTAGGGCAAAGTAAAACGAATCGTCCATTATGTTCTTGATGTTGTTGTTGCTGTGTGTGTCTTCTACTGTTTTGTTGATAGTGTTGAGCGAAAAATTTTGAGTGAGATTTTTTTTTTCGGCTGATGTTTCTCAAACATTCTCCGTAGTGTGTGAGCACCCACAACTTCTTTTTGCCTACAACTGTTCTAAATTCAATATCATCAACTGCTAACTCGTGGTATAACATAGAAGTCAATCTACTTTCAACATAATTTATATATACATAAAAAAAGGAGCATTAATCATATTATTTAAAAATTATATTATACAATAAAGATAAAACTAAATATGTAAGAATGTAAAGCACTATACAGTGAAGAATTGAATAAAATACAGATCCGAGTTTCTAGATGCCTCTAACGACCCCAGAATCTCTTTAATCCTCTAATGTTTTCCTTGACAAGTTGTCTGGATGGTTTTTCGAAAATAGCATCGATTTCTTCCAAAGTCTTACCTTTAGTTTCTGGCATGAACATGACTTGGTAGAAGAAACCAAGGAATGCGATACCACCATAGAAACCAATAGTCAAACCGGTGTAAGTGAACGCAACCTTCATACGGTTGAAGTTGTAGGTGACAGTGAATGCCCACAAGTACAACAAGGCAGAACAGATGGTCATCCCTTGGGATCTGGTACCGATGGAGAAGGACTCAGACGGAACAACCCAGGTCAAGCAGGCATAGGAACCAAAGAACCCCATGTACAAGATAAGACCAGTAAGATACACACCCTCGGCGGCAGGCAAGTTGGTTTCAATGTTGATCGAGTAACCGACACCAACCAAGACCAACCCGATAAAGAAACCAACAAGATTGTAACCCCACACACGACGACCAAATCTGTCCATGTACAACACGGCCGGAATGGTACCAAGGAACAATGCACCACCACCAACAAGGGACATGAACACGGCGTTCTTGGTGGTGAAACCGATTCTGATCATCAAGGTGGACAAGTAATACATGACAGCATTGATACCGGTCAACTGACCTAAGGAGATCATCATGACACCGTAGACCAAAGCACGGCGGTTTCTTGGGACAGTGAACAACTCGCTCCACACACCAAATCTGCTCTTGGTGAGACGCAACTCACGCTCGGCTTCAGCGGCCTGGATCATTTGCACAAACTCGATCTTGCTGTATTTGTCGTCCACGTTTCTCAATCTGGCAAACACGTTGAATGCTTCACCAATCTTACCTTTGAAGGCCAAGTAGCGGGGTGACTCAGGCAAGAACAAAAGACCGATAAGCAAAAGAGTGGAGAAGACCAACGAGGAACCAAGCATGTAACGCCAGCCAGCATGGACCTCGAAGAAGATCGCAGCAACAGCATAACCCATGATTTCACCCAACGCAATGGCCATCTGGTACCCGGAGGTGATGCCCCCTCTTCTCTTACTAGGAACAGACTCAGCAATGTACACACCGACACCACCACCTTCGACACCGACACCCACACCCAAAAGGAAACGACCGGCGTACATCACGTCTCTGGATCTGGTGTTGTCGTAGCTCCCGTCACCCAAGTGTTTAGGGATCGGAGATGCAGCACACAAGATGGCACCAATGGTGTACATGATACAGGAAGCAATAAGGGCATTCTTACGGCCAAGCTTTTGCAACGGGGTAAGGAGAATGGACCCAGCAACCGCACCCAAAGGCATCAAGGACGACACCAACGAGTTCTCGTGGCTGTTGAAATGCAAGGCTTTGTCCATCCCAATCTGGGCACCACTGATAAGCGATTGATCAAGACCGGAAAGGATACCGGCGGCAGCAGCGAAAATACCAAGAATGGTGACCATTTTGTCTGGGTTGATGTGGAGAGGGAACTCAAGTCTCTTCAAGTTGGTCATGAAAGTACCGGACTGTTTTTCAGCTTCACCCATGGCAGCGTACTTGGCAAACTCACCATCGAAATCAAAGTCTTCACCGAACTCCAACCCTTCGTCGTGTTCGTATTTTGGCTTGGTACCTTTGTCAAAGGAGTTGTTTGTTTCAGCAAACATGTCAGATGCCTTTTCAATGGAATCTGCAGACATGTTGTTGTTGTTGTTATTAGTTGATGTTGTTGTAGTAGCAGTTGTAATAGTTGAATAGATGAGGAAAAGAAAAGAAGACGTGGAATGGGTTTTTCAAACTGGAAAATGGCATCAGTATTTATACTCTTAGTTTCCAACATTGCTAATGGATCAGAGATGGAGACAAAGAAAATTTTTGCTCCGTGTTTTCTCCAGTTCTTCACACAGGTGGAATATCTAAACCTGGAATAACTAAACTAAATTCCGGAGTAATTTAGGATTATGTGTAATTTAATTTGCGGCAGTACGGAAAAATTGTGGTGAGAAAAGCAAAAAGCAAAAAGCAAAAAAAAAAAGAAAAGCATCATTTCTTTTCTGTTGATTTTAGCTGCACACAAGGCTACAAAAAAGTGGAGGACGCTGGAGGGAGGCGGGAGATTCAGTTTCAGCCACGTCCCACACCCCCGGCAAGAGCACTTTCGACCAATTTTTCATAACCCGGACTCATAGAGTGATACCAACCAGTGGTGAATCAGATAAATGTGTACATACCCCATCGTAGTGCCCTTTCGGCTCGTCGTGTTTTAATCCTCCACTCCGTGAGGACTTTCTTTCTTTCATTGTTCTGTTGTTGGTTTTTCCGGTTTGTGTAACGTCCTTCTCCACATAGCTGCATTAATTTAATTCAGAGTCATTTTGGTAAAGTACGCCCATTCCTCTCTCGTGTCTACTGATAAAAATCCGTTTGTGACATTTCAATGTGTTGTGCGAGAATGCTCCTATTGGCTGGTTGCGTTATTGTGACGCTCTCGATTAGTCTATTCCTCTTGCATTGCGGAGAAACTGAGTCTTTGTGAGATGTTGGGTTATTTTAGTTGTTGAATTTGCCCACAGGCGTGGAGGAGGGGCAGATCCACTTTACAATAGAAGTATTATTTTTCTTTTCTAATGATTACCAATATTATTATTATTATTTAACAGTTATATGCTTAAGGGGTAACCAGTAGGTATTGTTAGGGGCACTGAGCCCAGTTGTTCCGATCTGACTGCAAATATTCCGAGCATCTTTGAGCATTGGAGGGAACAACCAGTCAAACGTATTTTATAATTGTTTTGCTTTCTTGTCCAACTAATTCATAGCGGAACATTGTTCAAATTTTCCGGTTATGTCCTCTCCCCAAAGGGGTGGCTTATTTGCATTGTGCAATTTAGTTAAAAAAATTGGAGAAATGTGTGTTTGTGTAGCCGCTAGGTTTCATCAGCCTGTACTCCTTCACCGTATGTCTTTCCCGGATGAACTTTGTTTTAAAGAAAATGGGGTGCTTTTTTTTTATTTATATACATAATATAGATTAAATGGAACAATACCCCAAGGTAATATAAGAAGTTGCATGATTAATAAATGATTAACGAGTTGGTGAGTAGATCTCGTGCGTGCACGACGAGTCCAGACTCAAGCAATAATGTATTTTAGTGTCAATTTCGTCGTATCCCCAACCCTGTGGTTTCCTAGGTTATGATAATACAACACTTCAGTCTGGATACCTCTTGGTAGTCTTCAATTAGGTAACGGAAGGGGGAGATATAATATAACTGAACTATAATAGGGTGGTAGAGTATATATAATATATTCTAATATAGTATAAAAGATATAAAGTAGATTGATTGATTAAAGAAAAGATAGATATAAAAGTAATAACAATCTAGGTGGCATAATTTATAAAGATATTGTGTCGCGATATTATAGGTCGTGTCGAAATTCCAATATAAAGAATATTCTTTAGATACCTCAACCCCTGTTGAATAAGAATTTACAATTTTGCTGACTCCCATCAGATCTGAACTTTATCAGTTGTTTTAGAATTAATAGACCTGATGAATTATCCCTGACATGTTGTTGCTTGTTTCCATGAAAGTAGTGCACGCATGAACAAAAAATTGGACACACATTATGGGGACTCTCTTTCTCTCTCTGTCTTGCACTGGCAAACAAAAAAAAAACGACCGAAATGGAAAGAGCTGAAACCCGTGAAATTTGCATTCGGGAAACACACAACTACATCTGCAGACACCGAGATTAACCAACATGATTAACGGATTCAAAATAGATTTTGGCAAGTTCAAAGTAGACTTGAAAGTTCTAGGCGACCTAGTGATCTTGGCCAGCGCAGGGCTCTCTGTGTACTACATTGTCAACACGATTCTCAACGACTACTTGGACAGCACCGTCAAGAACAAGGAGAGTGAAAAGAAAGGCAGTGGTGTGCTAAAGAAGATCCAAGCGAGCAACCCGCACTTGAAGGAAGTGTCGTTCAACCAGTACGAGAAAGCATTGTTGAACTCGTTGGTGACTCCAGAAGAAATATCCGTCACGTTTGAGGACATTGGTGGATTGCATGACATCATAGACGAACTCAGAGAGGCGGTGATCTTGCCGTTGACAGAACCAGAATTGTTTGCAGCACACCTGAGTCTTATCCAGTCACCAAAGGGGGTATTGTTTTATGGACCACCGGGGTGTGGTAAAACCATGTTGGCCAAAGCCATTGCCAAGGAGAGCGGAGCATTCTTTTTGCTGATCAGAATGTCGAGCATCATGGATAAGTGGTATGGTGAGTCGAACAAGATCACCGATGCGATCTTCTCGTTGGCCAACAAGTTGCAGCCATGCATTATTTTTATTGATGAGATTGACTCGTTCTTGCGAGACCGTTCGTCGACAGATCATGAGGTGAGTGCAATGTTGAAAGCCGAGTTTATGACCTTGTGGGATGGGTTAAAGTCGAATGGACAGATCATGGTGTTGGGCGCCACTAATAGAAAGAATGATATCGACGAGGCGTTTTTGAGAAGAATGCCAAAGACATTTGCCATTGGCAAGCCTGATGCGTCACAGAGAACATCGATCTTGAACAAGATATTGAAGGATGCCAAATTGGACGAGCAGGACTTTGATTTAGAAACGATTGTTGCCAACACACGAGGATACAGTGGGTCTGACCTTAGGGAGATGTGTCGTGAGGCAGCCATCATACCGGTGAGAGAGTACATCAAGGAGAACTACAACTACAAGAGCGGGAAATTGAGCCGAGACGACAACGACAACTTGCCTGTGAGACCCCTCAGGACGTCAGACTTTGTCAAAACAGCAGACTCTATTCCAAGTGTAGCTGTCGACTAGTGTAAGTGCGTGTGTGTATGTTTGTATATATGTATAGAAATATAAACTGACTGATTTCTCAGCTAGACACTATTGGGGTAGTGCGTGTGTGCACAATATGTGTAACGATGAGTGGTAGACGTCTTCTGGTCTGTGGTAGAGAAAAGAGAAAAAAAATTTTTCATGTTCTTGCAACTTTTCTTCTTCTTCTTGAACCACAACAACCACAACAACCACAGACTAGTGTATATGGACAACTGAATATACATTACTTATCTTTTGCAACCCACATGTACATCTCTGATTTTACCAACGGCCTCTTCGAAGATCCTTATACCTTTTTCTCGGTGGTATAATGATTCAAAGCGAGGCCTAAAGCGACATTCACGACTAATTTGGCTTCTTCTCTTACAGTATTCACAAGGAAAAATATAGTAATACGCTATGGGAGTCGAAACTGGTAACGTTATATTACTGGCTGATAATTAGTTTGAGACATCTTATTAGTATTGAGCGATAGCAATGGTTGCTCTTGATCCGTTATTCCGTTATTCCACTGTTGCGCAATCCAACTCACACCAGAAAAAAAAATAGCAATAAACATCTGGTTCCACTTCTTTGCCTTCTTTTCTTCTTTCTACATACTCTACATAAAATGTTAGTTCAGCTAGTGAGACGGCCAATTGCATGGCGTCCGCTACTATATCCCACATCCCAATTGAGGTTCTACTCGACGGATCTTGAAAAGTTAAAGAAGGAGTCAGACACCACGGAATCTGATAATTCTGCCTCCACCACCGGAGTAATTGATAAGAAACATAGTGAGGTGTTGTTGTACTACGACCACATCTACCCATTTACCGTCTCACACAATCGACTCGCACAGTACTTGTCCAGGTTCACATTCCCATGGGTCAGAAAGTTTGATGATGAGAAATTGAAACAGAAGGTATGGAATTTGTCGACACCTTTACCAGCTGGATCCACTATCACCGAGTTTGTTTCATTGAAGAGAGACTCTGGAGTCTTTGTCAAGTTCAGCTACCCGCCTGATGTGGAGGCCACGAAGTTCATTGAGGAGATTCGCCAGAACGTACGCAACAATGATGAGAAAAGAAGCAATGCTAATGTTGTATCTCGTATGTTGAGTTATGTGTGGGGCACCGCTCCAAACGTGTATTCTGTCAAAGGTGTGCCGTGGATTGAGGATATGAAACGGTTCCCTAGCACCAAGATCTCCGTCAAGTTTGAAGGGGACCCGTTGACGGAAGAAGAGTTGTATGTGTTGTTCAGACGGTACGGGTTGATTAACGATATCCAGCCTGGTCCAAGCGAAGCGTTTATCTACTTCCATAGCATGTCGGCTGCTGTTTGTGCCAAACACTGTATCACGGGTATGCTGTTGAATGGCGGCAAAACTGTTCTCCACATCCAGTTTGTTCCTATTCCTAGAAACAACTTCTTAGCGAATGTGCTTTCCAACCATACGAAGATTGCTATTCCAATATTGATTGCCCTCTTGGCCACATTTGCCGTTTTGATTTTTGATCCCATCAGAGAATGGTTTATTGAGTACAAGATACTCCACAGTGGTAAGACGTTTGAGCAGATCAAGCAGAACAGATGGTTCAAGTACTTGTACGTGCCTTACAGGACAATCGTGGACTGGATGTACAGTGGGTATGACTATATCGACCAGCAAATACACGAGGTGGCCCGTGTTACAACCAATGGTGGTTCATCGGACGGTGAGGAAGACGATGGAAGTGGAGATGGCCCGTCTGTGCGTGACATGCAGAAGGAGAGCAGCATGTTCTGGATCGAGAGGTACGAGAAGTCTAAGCAGTTGCAATTATGGATCATGGAGAATGCCAACACTTTTATCGTAGTCAAGGGACCACAGGGGTCTGGTAAGGAGGAATTTGTGTTGGACCACACGTTGAGCAGAGACGACAAGTTGAACAAGAAGGTGTTGGTCGTTGAATGTGACAAATTGGGCAAATCTCGATCAGACAACAACTTGATCGATACAGCAGCTACACAGCTCGGGTATTTCCCAGTGTTCACATGGACCAACACGGTTTCCAGGTTTGTTGATTTGGGGGTCCAGGGGTTGACGGGACAAAAGTCTGGTTTGAGCGAGAGCAAGGAGACACAGATCAAGAACATGTTCCTGTTGGCAACACAAGCCATCCGCAAGATCACCAACAGTGAGTACAAGAAGTATGTCAAGAGTGTGGAGCGCCGAAACAAGAGATTGAAGGATGACGAGAAGCTTGAAATACTCCGTGAAGAGGACTTTTTACAACAGCGACCAGAATCGAAACCGGTCATTGTGTTGAACCAGTTTGCTCGCCGTGCAGATGTCCGGCTGAACGACTTTGTTTACCCGTTGTTAGCTGAGTGGGCATCGGGGTTGGTGCAGAACAACATTGCGCATGTGATCATTTTGACAGCCGACATTGGGTCTGTCCAACTTTTGAACGATGCTTTGCCCAACCAGGTGTTTAAGGATATTTCGTTGTCGGATGCATCAATGACAAGCTCGAAACAGTATGTTTGTGATGCTCTCAAGATCAAGGACACGGGTCCTTTAGATGCCTGTCTTAAGCCGCTCGGGGGCAGAATGTTGGACTTGCAGTCGTTTATCAGACGGTTGAAGTCAGGAGAGAGTCCGGAACAAGCCGTCCATGAAATGATCACACAAGCGGCTGAATTGATCACCACTTTCTTTTTAAGCAGCCACCACAAGTTTGGGGCTGGGGACAGCACATGGAACGCTGCTCAGGTGTGGTTGATCATGAAATTGTTGACCCAGTGTGAGACAATCAACTTCCTAGAGTTGGTGAAACTGCCATTGTTCAAGGCCAACAAGGAGACCATAGAGACATTGACGACATTGGAGAAGTATGATCTCATTTCACTTCAGCGTGACAAGGGGGTGTTGTCCAAGATCTCGACCGGAAGACCGTTGTTCAAGGCTGCGTTTGAGAATATCATTGGTGACAGACGTATCTGGCAGTTGTATGAGACTGATTACATCACAGCCTTGATTGGTGTTGAAGTGACCAAGATCCAGAAGATGGAGGACGAGTTGGAGAAGATTTACAAGATTGGCAAAGTAGACGGCAGAATAGAGTATTTGTCAAAGAAGATCGAAGCATCCAGTGCCAAGATCGTAGAGTATGAAAAGAAGGCGGCAGAGGTAGCAGCCGACAGCCAATCAAAGAACACATCGTTTCTTGGGATAAAGTTCTAAGACTCCGTGTGTATCTGTCTATATATATATATATATATATTCAATCTAGTAACTTATTTTCGAGAATTTCGTAGACCATTCTTCTTCTGATCACTTTCATGTCGTTTTGACTGTACCCTAATGGCTTGTTCTCTGCGATATATCTAGCAGCAGTACAGGTGAACACACCACAGTCTGATCCATTCTTCTGTTGAGGGCTCTTGACGTGTGGGATTAGTTCATATGTGATTTTGTCACGGTTCAATCTGTTGGCTTCTCCGTCCATGTATATAGCTAAGTTCTGCACGGCACGGGGGTTTCCCACTGTATTCAAGGAATCATAATAGGAAATGGTTTTTTCAAGATTATCGATAACTGCTAATGCCCAATGAGTGTTGGATATATTCACGGGCACCAATACCTTGGACTTTTCAAACAAGTTGACTTTTTTCCTCCTTGCCCATCTCTGCACACCGGTGTATCCCTTACTTTCCAACGCGGTGTAGAAATGCGTTGTCCATCCAAAAATGTCTGGGTGTGCATTCATGATCAAATTGAAATAATAATCAATTACATTATCATTCAACCAGCTTGGCTCTCTTAGAGTTTGCAAGTCCAGCGTGGTGATATCAATCTGGTAATTGGAGTTGACAACTTTGGCTCTTTGTCTCCAGATACTGGTGACTTGTGACAACTGATCTGCCGCCAATGGTTTGATCAAACTAACTGACTCAAGTCGTTTCTTGGTTATCAATTCTTGCAATTTGTCATGGCTTTGTTGGTATACCGATGAAATCTTATCAATGTATAAGTTGGAGATGAAGTTGTCAACCAATGAGTACGAATGAATAGACATTGGTTTGGTAGGTACATAGTAGTCTAGAATAGATTGTTGGTATGGAGTGGTCGGTGTGTCAAGCAAGCTTGGTGAATCTTCATCCACCTCCCCAATGTACTGCGAAGATTCAGTAGGAACATATGAGTACTTTATTGGTTTCGCTATGGACAAGTCGGTACCATATTGATATGAAGTAGTTGATGATCTGGCTGTTGGTTGAACTACAGGTGCGATAACTGGTTTTGGTGACACATACCTGCCGTCACTTTCGTCAACCAAGAAGCTATTCCGACGATGTTGTCTGAGCAAGTGATAGTCATTTGCAATCTTGACGCCAATTATTTCGATATCTGAATCTGAAGTGATGTTGTTATGATTTCCTTCGTCTTCTTCATCATGTTCCGGGAGATGTATCAGAGAAGTGACAAACAATGATAGTATTAATGTTTTGATATATGCTATAACATTGTAAATGATTGATGGTTGAAGTTCATCGGGTCGTTTGATTATCTCTTTATCGTTAAATTCTAACCTTTCGTGGGATAGTAGTGGGTTATCCATTGGTGGAAATATGTTGTGAATGAAAGAAGTGAAGATGCTGGTTGTAAATTTTTTTTTCTTTGCTCTGCCATTATGGAGTAACGCGTATAGATCACGGATTTCTAAATACTGTATGTGATTTGTATTTCACTCGTTATACACATTTTTATTGATGAGAGACACATTCTTGCGTATGCTCTTACATCAAATTTTGAAACATTATCACTCTCTTATGCCATTGGGAATTAGAATTTTGGGATCTATGAATTTGCTGTATCTCTTTGTGAACTCGCCTTTTAAATGGTCCTTTAATTTGACCATCAGGTTTCCGAAAGTAGCAGAGCAGGATGTACACTTAAACGGCGTGTTCTTGATAATGGATTCATTAACTTCCTTTGATCGTTCATGCGAAATAAATTTAGACTGCGTTTCATTTAAACTTGAGTGATCAGACTCCTCATCATCCGATTCTTCTCTAAATTTTGAAAGATGCCAATACTCAGCATTTTTTAATGGGTCTAGTTCTTGAAATGGAACGAAAAATTTTGTTGTGAATGAATTATAATGTTTCTTATTTTTTAATCTGACTGAATGAAAATCCTGTGTGATTACATGTATGTGGAGATTGCTCAAAGAGGGGATACTATGAATCCCGGCCCTAATGAAATTATTTCTAAATTCGCCTAACTGAGATTTATCTTTCATGTTAGACACTTTAAATAGCTCATCAATAATCATATCCTTCGCCTTTTCGACATAAGACAGAATTAATTCATATAGTTCCTCCCCTGTGTATTCATTGTAGTTTCTATTAAATGCATCTAGTGGGTGAGTTTTGGAAACTTTGGGATTTCTAGGGATAACCAATAAATGGCGAATGGCTTTTGGGAATAAATCTTTGATAATAATAACATTATCGTCATAATACTGAACTATATCATGTTTCTCAGGATGATCAATATATTTTTGAATGGCATCTCTAAAACTCATTTTGAATTTTATGTGAATAAAATGTGGTGAGGAAAACTTGAGTAATTTTTTTTATTTATTTTTTTTTTTTTTTTTTTACATTTCGTCATACCATAGAACTTTTATAATCTCTACATGTTATTAATCTATAATCTACTTAATCCAGTCATGTCATGTTAAGCTTTTCTCTTTTTGATTTTGCTTGGATCTGGAACGCTGGTACTTTCAGCAGATGCGTCGGTTTCCTTTTCGTCGGTAGGTTCTTCACCCTTCTTGGACAATTCTTCGTTTGTTTGCAATTTGACCTTTTGCAATTCATTAATAAACCAAAATACAGTACCATATAACAATGTAGCTATCACCAACAAGTTAATGAAATGAATTGATTTCGTAAGAACGATTAAAACAATGAGCGAAATGATCAATAATATGAAAGAAGCGTGTGTGGCAGTGATCAATGCCGGAGTAGTTCCTGGGGTAAACACCGATTCCCATAATTCAACAAAAAAGGACATGATCTTTATGTTTCACAGGTATATGATGTATAGAAGTTAGTACGTAGCTTTGATTTTTAACACACTATTGATATGTAGTATGATCCCAGAGCCTGAAAAAAAAAGAAAATAAAAAGAAAAAAAATCTTCAAATCCAGTTAACCAGTAAGTTTAATTATATACAGGAAAACTTAATGTTGCACACCATCTAAGGAAGTACCAAATGACTTATAACGTCCATTATATTAGTATGACCCTGACCAAGTCTCCACAGGATACATTATTGTCATGAATAAACAATCACTGAATCACAAACATAATCATAATAAATCACAAATGAAACAGGAATCATAACTTAATACTACTGAAGTTTCCCGGCTGCTACTCATTATTTGATGAAAATGAGAGAAACAGAAGAATTACATTATTTGTAATTGTAATATATATGGATTATTGCACGTTGGTGAAAATTATAGCCAACTGCGTGAAAATACGTAATTGGGCATATTTGCTTGATATTTTGTTGCATACACAAATACAAGTACACTCTATAATTGTCTTATTTCCTATGCATATGGTAGCACTGAACATATAAAGCATAACAAAAAATGCCTACACAAATACCCCAAAAAAAACTCAACTATAAAAGAACAAAAAACAATTTTCAAAATAAAAACTATTTTACACCACTTTCTTTTTCTTTTTCTTTTCTTTTATTGTTTCATCAACAAATAATATCAATCATTTTGTATAGGATATCATTTATATCAAGTGTGTATCAATTGACGTGTTTTATTCATGGCTGCAAATACTAACTTCAATATTAGGAAGTACAATCCATTATCTATAACAAGTTTACAAAGAAACAAAGGTTATATGTTCCCCATTTGTGGTTTGTTTATGTTCCCCAGTGGTTGTTGCTTGTGTCACTTGGTTAAGTCATTGTAAACAAAGTCATCAGTTGATAGCTCCTTTAGTATCATGCACAAACATAAGAAGAACCTTCCAAATAAGATAGCAACTTGGGAACACGCGCTATCTTGAACCTTACAAGAGGAATCAACATATACAAAAAAAAGGGGCAATGTTGATTAGTGAAGGTTCTTCAAAAGATAGTGACCGGTCATCACTATCTTTAAAAGCAACTCATCGGGGTAGGCTAGTGGAATATCCTGATGAGTAGTAGTGGTGGTTTAGTGCAAACCACACTTGTAGAGGATCAGGTATATGGGGCGACAATCGACCAGTCCCCTTCCCTCCTAGTTCATCCTCTATCTATTCTCCCTTGGGTCAGTAGGGGGACGCGATATGGCAACTCAAGAAGAGGACCATAGACGGGCTGGGTCGGCCCCACACATACAGATGTGGGCCCAGTTCGTCCCTCTCCTTTTAATTAGGAGTGGTGATAAGTGGAGGGGAGGAGCCAACCCATCATCGCCTGGCTCTTTCCACCACTTTCACATTTGACATGCCGGAACGGACCGTACTTATACCCATTGTTTAATGTAAGTCGATGATAAATTATATACTCTTGTATTTACTTCTATAGGCTTATAAGAGAATAAACAAGGTGAGCAAGACCTAAAATTTACTGCTAAAAAAACAGTGTAGTGAGAGGCGCAGAAAGAGAGGATTCGATACAGATATCACAAAACATCACAAGTGTCACATTATTTGCAATTGTAATCTTCTATTACAGAAGTTTGGATAAATGTTTCCACCTAAAGTTACAATCTATCAAAAAGTTACCTTGAAGCAAATTCTCAATTAAATATATATATAACGAAAGAAACAACTAAACACTTGTTCTAAATATCTAAGAGGTATTGAAATTATTCAATCGACTTGGGCATGAATTAATTTTCGCGTTGTTTCATATCTTTGTAATTGTTGAAATTATTGAGTTTCTTGTTAAAAATGTAAAAATTTCATTGTAAATCATGTCAAACTTTAAAATTGGACCACTATATAATAATTTACCTTATCATTTTATGATAGATTAGAAAGGTTTGAGTTATTCATGACATTAATCTGACCTCAACAACCGACGTATAAAAAGCAATATCACGTGATAGAATTAATATTGCTCCAATTGCACGACTTTTTTTTTTCTCTCTTTCTGTCCAACTGATTGAATTTTTTTTTTCTTTTGGTTCAATCAAAAAATACAGTTTTAACTGTTGAAGGCAAACCAACTTTAGAATTTATATCTCAATAGATAGTTTTAATAAAAAGAAAGTAGATCAATAAAAAAATATGTTTCAAGCCGACGATACTTTTATCAGTGATGATGAAGAGGAATACTGGTATGTTTATAATCTTTTTATTGTTTGATATTTATTGAATTTCATTTTACTAACAAATTTTTTTCTTCTTGATTTGTTATACAGCCCATTATGTGTTGAAGAAATGGATATTTCCGATAAGAATTTCAAACCTTGTCCTTGTGGTTATCAGATTTGTCAATTCTGTTATAATAATATAAGACAAAATCCCGAACTTAATGGCAGATGTCCAGGATGTAGAAGATTATATGATGATGAGAGTGTTGAGTATAAGACCGTCAGTGCTGAGGAATACAAGTTGATGCAATTGAAGAAAGAGAAACGTGAACGTGAAAAGAAGCAGAAAGAGAAGGAGAAGAAAGAAATGGAGATGGCCAACAAGAAACACTTGGCTGGATTAAGAGTTGTTCAGAAAAATTTGGTTTACGTCACGGGTTTGAACCCTCCATGTAATCCAGATGATTTGCATTCTGTATTGAGATCAGATAAATATTTTGGTCAATATGGTAAGATCTCAAAGATAGTCATCAACAAAAAGTCTCCAAATCCACAGACAACTTCTCATCATCATCAAAATCCAGGATTGGTAGTTTATGTCACATTTGCTAGAAAAGAAGATGCGTTGAGATGTATTACTGAATTGGATGGATCATTATGTGATGGAAGAGTCTTGCGAGCCGCTCATGGTACCACAAAGTATTGTTCTTCCTATTTGAGGGGCCATCCATGTCCAAATCCAAATTGTATGTTTTTGCATGAACCAGGTGAAGAGGCTGATTCATATACCAGAAAGGATTTGTCTACTCAACAAGGAATCAAGATGGGTATGACTACAGGAAGCCATACTACTTCATTTGGAGAAGATTCTGATCATTTGGGACATCAACTTTCTGACGATGAGCTGCAACCACATTCTTCTATGCAACACCAACAAGCTTCCCATGAAGTACACAGAGAGCATTTACCGTCCACTGCTCATTGGGCTACTACTGGTACAACATCTGGAAGTAATTCACCATCGGTTAACAATAACATTCCATTGGCTAATTCTGCAGCATTCCCAACATTAGGTGAGATTGCACGTGATATGAAACAACAGCAAAAGAAAGAAGTAAAACCACGTGTTAAGGCAGCCAAGTCAAATAATGTTCCAACATCTGATGATATCGACTTGGATGATAATTCTGTTTTGAAATTTGCAGAATCTACTTCCGAACAATTGAGAGATTTGGATGATGTTAGAAATGTTCGTTTTAAGAGTTTTGATACCGGGAAAATTTTACCATTGTTCAATTTTAGGGGTGATTTCACGAATGACATCAAACCAGAGGATGAGAAAGTTATTGCTCGTCAAGTTATTGAAAGGTTCCTTTTGAGACCAATTAAGAACTACCATTTGGCTTATCAAAACCACCCAATTATGCAGCAGCAAGCAATGTTGCAACGTCAACAACAGGTCCAACAACGTACCCCTGGGTTGCAAGCCGCTCAATTGCAGCAACAAAAGAACGAAGAGCAGCAAAAGCAAGCACAACAACAACTTTTATTACTTCAATTGCAGCATCAGCAACAACTTCAACAGCAACAACAACAACTTCAACAGCAACAGCAACAATCACAATTGGCTAACCAATTGAATACCTTGAAAGTTGCAGATCGCTTAAATACTTCAACACCACCACCCCCAGGATTGTTTACAGCTAAAGTTGCTGGAGCTCCAGCCGAAGTCGCTAGTACTGTTGGTGCTGGAAATCCATCATCTAGCTCTCAATTGTTAACCCAATTGATGAGTGGAAAGAGATAGAAATAGGTTATTCAATTTTTTTTATTACATTATATTATTATGTATTATTATCATTAATATTCTCACAATTCAGGTATACACATGTAGATTATTCTCTATTGGTAATTTTCTGGAGGTTCAGTTATGCTTCCATATGTTCTTTGGAATATTTCACGAAGCCATATACCGCAAGTAACAGCATATTCTGGGACCGGTGGAGTTGATGGATCTTTATTTAATTTCAACTCATTCTGGATAAGCTCAGCTTGTTTTTCTATACTAGGATGATTTGGATGTTTTAAATAAGCTTCATCAAAGGCTTCTCTGAAACCATACCCCTCACCGTCAATATAGTGCAACAACAAATACCTGGCAAAATGATTTGAACAATTGCGATGAAACTCGTCTCGGATATGTGAGCTAATATATTGGACTTTGTCTTTGATGAACGGTGAATCAACATTACTGGCTTCAAATACAATTTGGGTAGCTCTTTTAGACCAGATCATTCCTCTTGGCAGTGGTAATACTTCATTACTAGAGGGTGGAACAGCAATCTTGGTACGAACAATTGCATTACGTGGTTCAGATTTTAAAGTGACCAGGTTGCCTGAATCAAAATTACTTCCTTGAATCAATCTACCACCTTCTTTTGCATTTTCAAACAATTCCCTTCGCACAATTGCTAATCTTGATGCATTCTCAGTTAGATATGCAAGACTTGTATCATCCTCTGCTATCTTGATCAACTCCTCAATTTCTGCCATTTCATCCTTCTCAGCTTTGGTTAATGGTTTCTTAGATGTTTCAATATAGGATTTATAAACCTGAAACTCATATACTAATTCATCTAAATGCTTCAACATGTTAAACACATTGACTAATCCGGCGTAATCTTCTTCACCTTTAAAGGCATCTTTCAAACTGAGATATTGTTGAGTAAGAGTTTGCTTTCTATCCAAATAAGCAGCAATTTTCCTAGCAGATGACATAGTGTAGATTTTTGTGTAGTTGGCTATTAGAGAAAGTAATTAGAAGCCGTATAGTATCTTGATTATTGTTTGTGTTTCAGGATTTTTTTTTTTTTTTTCTTGTTTGTTTTGGTTTCAGTTGGGTTTTCTCAAGCGTTATTGAAATCGATGAAAATGTCTTGTTGACGCACTCCCTCTACCCCACCAAAACCTACACCGGACACTATTAGTTTTTTCAGTTGGACTCTAATTTTTCTATTTACAAGAACTCTAACTATAAACAGGAGTATTTGATTTATGTCGATCCATTGACGACATCTTCACACTTTCCACATAATTTGTTTTCAGCCGGAGAAGTAAATTTCCAGCATCTTGGACATTTACAGTTTTGAGAATGTTGAACTTTAATCAGCACAGTTTCACCATTCAATTCATATTTGGAATCAAGCTCACCGTCAATCAATTTAACACTTGATACTAGAAACAAGTCATCGAGGTATGATTCATTTGCCTTCAAAAATTGGAATATTTTGGAGTCATTCTTGGCTGACAATAAAATCTCAAGTTCTAATTTATTCTTGAATACTTTCTGTTCTTTTAATTTTTCAATTATTTTAAATACCTCATCTCTCAATTCAAAAAAGAAAGCAAATGTCTCATTAAGTGGATTGTTATGATAAACTTCAGGTAATTCGTGAAATTCGGAATCAACTTTGAATACAGAATCTTCAGATAAATTGGCTATTTTGGAATATTCTGACCATACTTCTTGTGTTAATAAGGGCTGAATAGGGGCCAATAATGCTAAATAGGTTTTCATAATTTCATTAAGTACTGTTTGTATGGATCTTCTTCTCAAGGAATCTACCTTATCAGTGTAAAGACAATCTTTGGAAACATCAAAATAGATAGCACTCAATACTGAATTTACATGGGTATTGATTGCTGCAACAACACGTGAAAAATTGAACTCGTCGTAAAATCCCACACAAGAACTTTTCAATTCATACAAGGAATGTAAGATATACTTGTCCAAGTCACTCAATTGTTCATAGGCAACCGGTTCAACAAAATCATGGAGATTACCTAACAAATACTTGAAAGTGATTCTATATTTTTTCCCAACTTCAGATACTCTTGTTAAAACTTCAGGTGTGAAGCTAACATCTTGTCTGTAGTTGGATGATGCAACCCACAAACGCAAACCATCAGTACCAAGATATGGAGTCAATGGCTTTTTGCACCCTTCAATGGCTTCTTTAGGAGAGAATACATTTCCAATTGATTTCGACATCTTTTGACCCTTTCCATCGGTAATGAAACCATGAGTAATGACAGTTTTAAACGGAGCAACCGATTTGAAGGATGTACCCTTATTTCCAGAATATATTATTTTATTTAAGAGTGATGATTGGAACCAACCACGATGTTGATCACTTCCTTCCAAGTAGACATCAGCAAGTGGTGCTTCTGATTCAGCACATTCCTCTAAATTCGACTTTAATGTACTCCATGATGTACCAGAGTCAAACCAAACATCCATTGTGTCTTTACCCTTATAATACCCAGTTCCATCCATTTCGACTGGTAACCATCTAGAAACGTCTTCATCTTCAGTCACAAACCATTCATCAGTACCATACATCTCAAGCTTGTTGACTATGTGATTTATGACAGTTGGATCTAAAATTGGCTTACCGGTATCTTTTTCATACACAATTGGAAGCGGAACACCCCAAACTCTTTGACGTGAGATACACCACTCATTTCTATTTTCAACAAACAGGGTTAATCTGTTACTTCCAGATTCGGGGTAAAAATTGACTTTTGAAAGCGCTTCTATGGCATAAGGCTTTATTTTCTCAACATTGACAAACCACTGTGGTGTAGCTCTTTGAATTACTGGAGTTTTAGATCTCCAATCATATGGATAAGAATGGGCAAATTTTTTGTTCATATGAAAAAGCATGCCATTCTCCTCCAAAATGTTTGCACATAACACATTGGTTCTGATTTCTGTTACTTTTACATCTCCTAATTTCTTAAACCCTGGGGCCAATGCATTGACAATATACTTTCCTTGGTTATCCACTGCAGAATCCATAACTAACTCGTTCTTCTTTCCAACAAGATAATCTTCTCGTCCATGGGAGGGAGCATTATGGACTAATCCAGTACCTGCAGTTTCAACGACATGGTCTCCATGTAACACTGGACGTTTGATTGAATCTTCAGCGGCTGGGTTAATGTAATCATTACCTTCAACAACAGAACCCGGAAATTCAATATCCAATAACTGATACAGGTCGTCGATTTTCAAGACATCTTCAGCTAATGACTTTGCAACTACCAAGGTTTCTTTCCCATCCAGGAGCAAAGTATAAATCATATCCCTGTTGATACAGATGGCTTTATTTGCAGGAATTGTCCAAGGGGTAGATGTCCAAATCAATAATTTCAAATCTCCTTGTTTAACATTGTAACCCTTAGAATTGACATAGTCATAAAGTTTATCACTAGTGACTGGAAATTTAACATGTATGGCAACAGATTTATGTTTGTCATTATATTCCAATTCTGCTTCAGCCAACGCCGTTTGTGTTTCACACCCCCACCATACAGGTTTTAATTGTTGAGATAACAACCCATTTTCAATTAATTTGACAAATATCTTCAACTGATTAATTTCATAATTGTGGTCCATTGTTATATAAGGGTTTTCAAAGTTAGCCATAATGGCATACTCTTTGAACTGCTCTCTTTGTCTGTCAATCATTGTTTTGGCCCATTCTCGACACGCTTTTCTAATTTCCACTGCAGAACTAAACTTCTTACCCAAAGATTCAACTTTCATTTCAATTGGTAGTCCATGACAATCCCATCCGGGACGATAGTTGATGAGCTTGTCCTTGAAAATTAACTGGTAACGGTTGATGATATCCTTAGTGATCTTATTCAAGGCATGTCCCAAATGCAAATCACCGTTGGCATAAGGAGGTCCATCATGTAGAACAAACTCGAGTTTTCCACTTTTTGCAGATCGTTGCCATTCATATAAATCTTGAGACAGTTGTTTAATCAAAGATTCTCTTGCATCACCTCTTGGAATCTTTGGTCCAAATGGAGTTTTTGGAAGTAACAAAGTCTTGGAGAAACTTTGTTTGTTTAACAATGCCAGATTCGTGCAAAACTTTCGAATTTGAGGCTTGAATCGTAGCATAGTTGAATACTTTGGGTAAACTTGTGGATTGATCCTGTTAAAATTTTTTTCTTCTAGGGTTTAGATGAAAAAAAAAACGAACCATAAAATGAAAAAAGAAAACCATTGTCAACAATTTGATTAAGAACGAGATCTGCAAGCGACAATCAAAAAAAAAACATAAGAAAAACAAAACGTTCTTATTTTGTCTTGAAAGCCCGCACTACTACTAAAGATAAACAACACGTACCAATTCCTGTTCGTTGAGTGAAACATGTCAAAGGAACTCACTGTATTTATTTTAGATGCATCCAAATCAATGGGTCATACCAGCCCTGAAGAAACCAAGTCCGATTTCCAAAGAGCGTTAAGGTATACGTTCGGGTATTTTATACAGCACTTGGTCAAGAATAGAAAGTCAGACCGGTTTGCATTGATCTTGTTTTCAGGTGGGTCAATTGATGTATTTTATGAAAATTCTCCTTTGACTTTATCTAAAGTACGAACATATTACACTCACAGTGTGAAATTCCATAAAGAAGACAGAGGAGAAGTCGAGAAATATAGTCTAGTTGACGCGTTATGTAAAGCGTTCGAATTATTTAGCCGCAACATTCACCTTAAGTTTACCAGAAATTTATACTTATTTACAAATGGCCTATTATCAGTAAGAGATTCACAAAAGGTTTTGGTTTTCAAAGAGATGTTGGTGAGTAATCAAATAAACACATTGTTGGTTTTATTTAGTAATCGAGAGAACCAAACCACAGAAGCAATATTGGGCTATTTAACACAACAATTGAAGAACACTAAAAAAATTGATTTTGACGAATTGGTAAATTCTGGGCCGCCGCTAAAATTGATTGCTACCAGGTGTATCTCTGAAGCTACGTTAGGGCTTGGAATAGTTGAAGATATGATGGATGGTATCGGTAATGCAATTCAGTTTCACGTGCAAGCTTTTCCAGGAGTAAAAGTACAGAATCAAATTCATGGTAACTCATACTACCTTGTTCCAGATCTGGACGACGTAGTAAAAGTAGAAACTTCAGTGCTGCACTATATTAAGAAAACTTCTGGTTTTGATGACGAAGATGAGGAAGAAGAAGAAGATGCTGTTACCAAGGAAACAGACTCACAAAGTAAACTGGAAAAAGAGAAAATATCCGTAAATAAATCAGATTGTATTCCAGGATTTAAGTATTCTCACAGAGATGTCTTAGCGATTAGTTCAGAATTGGAAGAGGCGACTACTTTAGAAACATCACCAATTCTTAGCATTCTTGGATTCTATGAAAAGGACAAGTTTCCTTTTGCTTATTTCACAGATGAATGCACATATATCGTTCCACATCTGCAATATCATGAACATAATCGCCTTGGATACAGTTCGCTAGTAAAATCTATGATTGATTTGAATTACTTGGCGTTAGTTCGGTTTGTCGCCAAAGAGAACACCGAGGTTCAAATCTGCGTTGCGTTCCCACGACAGGTTACACTAGGAAAGCAACAAGGAAACATTCTAGTGTTGTCCAGGGTAGCCATGAAGGAGGATGAAAAAATTGGGCATTTTCCCAAATTGGAAGAAGCAAAGGATAAAACCGTCGATGATTTGATGGAACAGTTTATAAAGGGTAAGAAATTGCGGTCAGATTCCCATTTTGACCCGAATACACTTGATAATCTTAAAATAGGGCTCACACAATCCGAACCAGCGAAGTGCTCCTATAACCGAGAAAACAAGTATTGATGATATATTGTTATCGATGAACCCAGCTACTAAACGATTTAATTATTACTTGGAAAAAATTCTCTTTGAGTCGCTTATGCTGACAAATCCTTTAGGTGAGTTTCTTCAAGAAGAGAAGTTTGTGGAGCGGTACCTTTCTGCTGGCGAGAAGGATGTACTTTTTAACTTGGATTCTATATTAGACAGTCACTCAGATTTCCTATTTACAGATGCCCATCAGCATGCCAGCGATATTTCACTTAAGCTACAGGCCAAATTGGACGTCAAATATAAACTCCAAGCAAACCTTGAAAAGAAAAAGCGTTCCTATAAGACAGCATTCGCTGCCCAACCAAACGATGGCAAGTTTGACGAATACTTTGACATTGAGGACTTGTTAGCCGGTTAAAGTTTAAAGAGTCTATTCCTCAGATCAAATTCCCTGTCTTTAGCTGTTCTCTTTCTGTGTTTAGCAGTAGATGTACCATCTTCACCAAATCTATCTGTAAGTCTCTTTTGAACATTGGTAGCACTTATTCTTTCCTTTTCTTCCTCAATAATATCCGAAAATGATTTCGCCTTATCCTGCTTGATAGCCTCAACATCAAACAATCCACGATACTTGTTTGATTTGGCATTCTTCCATTTGCTTACCCAGTGGATCGCTAAACCATCCTCGTCATATTTCCTATTCTTCTTACCCGTAGTTCTTCTTTGTTCTATGTTGTCTAAAAGTTCGTAGATATCATTAGTTGGATGATCAATATATTCTGCATACAACTTACCTGAAGGGTCTTGCAAATTTAACACAAACAATAAATAGTCTGCCAAAACAACGGGATCAATAAACGAATCATGAATACAACCCACCAATCCTAATGCTAACATAGTCTCCACATTCTTAGCAGTGGGCAAGAAAACTCCCGGTGTATCATAAACCATGATATCCGGATCACGAGAAAGTCGAATGATTTCACTAGTATTCCTAGTAACACCTGGTTGATTTCCTGTTCGAGCAACTTTTTTAATTTTTGAAGAAATAGCATAATCACCATCGCTTAATCCGACTTGTCGTAATGTATTAACAAGTGTCGACTTCCCAACATTTGGCATACCGATAATCATAGATCTTAACCCTAATGGAGGTGGTTGCTCCATACTATTGTACAATTTTTTGATTTCGCTGATAACCCGTTTACCATCTTTTTGGCTTCGACAATCAATAAACATGTAATCTTCATTCTTCAGTTTGTGCCATTTATCAAGCACTCTTGTTTTCAAAATAGATAAATCTTTCTTACTGTACAATATAAGTTTCTTTTTACCCACTAATACTCTATCAAATAAAACATTGGTTGTTGCAAGGGGAGCACGACAATCTCGCACTTCAATCACCATATCTAATTGAGGGGCAAGATGACCAAATTTAGAAAGAGCTTTCTGGTGATGACCTTTAAAATTGTTTAATGGGATGTTATAGTTTGGAAATACTTTCCTAGGAACAAACGACATGTTGATTGTATTATGGATGTATAAAATACTAGGGAAATTCAAACGATACTTAATGAGTTCAGAGAATAATTATACAGTAGCAATGCTCACTCTTGTTAGTTTAAATTTTTCACATCATCACCAACAAACAAAAAATATAGGGTGAAAAAAAAAAATATTTATTCATAAAAAAAAAAAAAAGAATAAAATAATCATTAGACTTATATAGTTTGAAAGTAAAGGAAACATTTAGATCAACCTATAAGCCATGCCTTTAGTTATATTTACCGGTTTTCCAAGTTCTGGTAAAACCAAATGGGCCAAATCATTACAATCCGAGTTGGAAAAGAGAATTGCAAATGCCAAAGAAAACTCTGAACCAGGACACAATTATAATGTCATATACCATTCCGATGAGACATTAGGTATTGATCATGACATTTATCATGACTCGAATAAAGAAAAGCTTGCAAGAGGGTCACAGATTTCCATTGTTAAAAGGGATATATCAAGAAATAACATTGTCATTTTGGATGCTTTATCATATATCAAAGGATTCAGATATCAACTTTACTGTGAAGCCAAAGGTAATGTTACTCCTCATTGTGTGATACATGTCATTGCTCCCATTGAAGAATGTATTAAATGGAATGAAGAAAAGAAGGAAAATAAGTGGGATCCTGTATTAATGAAACAACTTGAAATGAGATACGAGGAACCAAACGCGGATACCAAGTGGGATTCTCCATTGTTTAGCATTCTTTCCCAAGATCCAAATGAAAAACTTCCTATGGATGATATTTGGAATGCTTTGGTCTTGAAGAAAGCTGCTCCACCTAATGCTGCAACTTTAGTAAAACCAACATCCGGAAATTCATTTTTACAAGAGTTGGATAAAAAGACACAGGAAGTTGTTTCCCAAATCCTCCAACAACAACAAATTACATCCGGTGATGTGGTGATACAGGATGGATTGGTTGTATCAATTCCTACAGGTACTGTTAGTACAGCTCAATTGCAAAGAATTAGAAGATCGTACATTGGTCTCAATAGAATGAGATCCATCGAGATTGATAGAATAATTCCATTATTTGTTGAATACCTTAATAGAAGCCTAAACAATGATGATTAGTTCATCTTTTAAAATACACATCACCTTTTTCTTTGATTCTTCCATTTAAAATGTACCTTACCATTGGAGTCAGTTATTTTCTTTTTGTTTCCCTTTTTCATTTTCTCTAAATTATTTGTCATTATCGATTCAACTTCACGCAACTCTTGTTCCTTCTTTAATCGTCTTTGCAATAACTTATATTGTTTTAATTTTTTCATATCAAGTGCATTCTTTTCTTCAAGGTCTAAATCATTCAGCTTTAATAGACCAGAATTATCATACAATTGGTTTAAACGGAGCCTATTTTCTCTGTTATCCACCAAAGATTCATCAGTATTAAAGAAAACTTCTGGTTTGAATGATTCTTGGTCCTCTATGGAGTCAACAAATACAGTGTGATTCCCCAGACCGGCAAACAACTTGCCTTGTTTTTCCTTTTCAATCTTGTTCTTCTCACTCAAACGCATAGTTCGTATATAATTAACATCTTGAGTCTTCAATAATTTAGCTTGATCAACAGATAAAACTTCGTTTCCTCTATCAGCAATTAAAACACCCGAATCATCGGTACGTTTTTTTGTCATGGCATGGTAGTATTCATCTGGGTTGTGTAACTTTGCCTTCTCTTTCAATGCTTTCAATGCTGCTTGTTTCTTGTGGTAATCCGCAGCTCTCAATCTGTAATCTTTCTTCTTTTCCAACAAACCATACCTGGCTCGGCTCTCAATTTGTGATCTTTCTCTGTGCTGTTTCTTCTGCACATTATGAACTAACTTGGCCATTTTTGATGTATAATTGTAGTTTTGATATAGAAAAAGTTATAATGTTTAGGAGAAAGATGAGCATCTCATTCATAATGGTATAATTTTTTTTTCTTCCTTTCAGATTATTACAAGTAGTGTAGAAGGATCAAAATCTGGGTAAAGTTTTTCACGTTGATTTTTTTTTTTTTTTTTTGTTTGGTTTCTTGCTTTCTGTATACACTGTTAATACCCAAAGCATCACGAATAATTCCTATATACGATAAATAAAATGATTGCAAGGGGGAGAGTATTAAATGATACTGCTTTAAAAAGTAAAGCAATGTTTGGTTTTACTGTGTTGAAGCTTGTCAGTCGACACATTCATCATACCCCAATAATATTCCAGGAAAAGAAGGATGCACAAGTGGATCTTGGTGTACCATGGTACTTAAGACAGGAGAACTCACCACCAGTCGAAGAGATTAAGAAAGTAGAGATACCAGAATTGCCTGAGTCAGCTCCAGGATCCTTGTCTGAGCTTGTTCATTTAATTGCCGAAGAATATGGTATAGTTGATGTTGAAGTGTTTGATTTGGCTACTTTGCCTGAGGATCACCCAAAAAGTGTTGATGTACAAAGCTACGATAAGTACATTATCTTAGGTACAGGTAAATCCGAAAAACATCTTTACAAGGCTGCGTATGAGTTGAAACAATATATCAAACACCATCATGATTGTATGCCAGTAATTGAAGGTATGGTGTCAAATTCTATAGGTAAAGTTGCAAGAAGGAGATTAGCAAAGAGAGTTAGCAGGGGCCCTCCAGCCACACATAGTACATATGGAATTGGTGCCAATACTTGGGTTAGCTGTGATACTGGAGTTGACGGAATCACTATCCATATGTTGACCAAAGAAAGAAGACAAGAAATGAACTTGGAGCAACTTTATTCTGACGCCCCAGATTACGAATCCAATAGGTACACTAATAATATTGATGACGATGATATTTTTTACGGAATCAAGAGAGGATTCCACACTTCAACAAGAGTATTCAATAAAGCAGATCAATTAAAGGTAGTTTACGATGAACTTCTTGAAAACGGGAAAACAAAGTCTCTTGCAAAGTTCAAGGCTCAATTTGACAACTTATTCAGTGGTGCCTCTGTTGAAGAATATAACAGAAAAGTAGATTTCTACAAAGTCATTAGTTTGATGGATGAACAACTTGTAACAGCAGAACAGGTTGAATGCATCTTCAAAGATAAATATTCTTCATTATTATTGGCTCAAGAACAGGGTATTGATTGGCACATGGAAGTGACTAATGATATTATTAAATACATGGAATTGTTAGCAGATGTTGGTGATCAATACACACCTGCTCAAAAATTGAACAAATTGTCCGAATTTGTTTCAGACATGACTAATTTTACGGGTGATTCAGTGCAGTTGTTTTCCATTGACAAGTTCAATGCACTTTTATGGAATCTTACTACCAAATCAACTTTCAACCAGTTGGATTCTGCAGGCATACGCGAAGTCATCAATACCAAGGGCAAATTTGAACCCGTTGTTGGCAAAGTTGAACAAGATGCTAAAATTGAAAGATGTGTTAAAGAATTAACAAGGAGATCTCTTCCTAAGGAAGTGTTCCCGCTTTGGTTTCGAGAGCAAATGATGTACACCTATGGTCAGACAGGAGCGTGGGATAAGTTCTGGAAAGAATTTCAATCTCTTGTACAATCTATTGGTTCAAGTAAAGACCGTGTTTATTTCTGGGTTACAACCCTCATATTTTTATCAAAAGTGAACAACAGAGATGCTTTAAGAACGTACTTTACCAAGTATTGGAGTAGTCCATCGGGATATTCATTTTTGAAGGATTTTGAAAAGAATGATAATCGATTTAATTCTGACAACGAAAGGATTGTTTTTAAAAGAACCGTCCAAGATATTCAAAATTCATATGGATCATCCCCATGGAAAGACGAAGCTGTTGAATTTGTAGAAAACTTGTAAATAGGTGTATCGCTACCAATCGCGATACTACAAATCTTGATTTTTATTTATACGCGTTTTTTTTCTCCTTGTGAGTAAACATGTAGAGAGAAAAAGAGGAAGAAAAAAAAATGTGAAATCACCAAATTTGTTGCGCGTTCACGGTTCCATCACTTTTTAACAAAAATTATTCTTGCAAACTATCCTTCGTATCTGTTGTTAGCAAAACTAAGATATAAGATGGAAGTCATTGAAATTAAACAAAAGATTAAAGAATGGGAGTACTCGTTTCGAGAAAAACATAATAAACCACCTTCAAAATCTGATATCAAGGAGAATTCAGAGATCCATAAATTGTACTCATTATACCGAGCTATCAAGCAGGGAAAACAACCCAAACAAACATCCAAGAGTGATCCTGCTCCTGAATCCCCAATTAAGAAGAATGTTTTTGATTCTAAAGAGGAATTGGGGCCAACTCCTCAAGCAAATGGAAGGGTGATGTCAATATTTGATTTCAAGTTGACACCACCTGAGTCATCACCTTTGAAAAAGAAATCTACCAACACCAGTATATTTTCATCACCCCAAAAGATGTCCATGCCACCACCAGATTCCCCTGTAAAGAGAATAACAACAGAGACACCGACAAAGAATAGAATCAGATCTTTTGCCACTCCAACAAAACCCAGATCAATTGATTTTTCAATGTTCTCCCCAGGTTATAGAAATCAAAACCCTCTGACACCCTTGTCAGGATTAAATAATAGCACAGTTGTGGATTTCCAAGTGTCGCCATCTCCATTGAAGCCTCTCCGAGGTATAGGGAAAAAGTTAGCTGATTTGTATAAAAGTGCAATTGAAGAAGCGGAAAATTTAGAAACCAATGAATTTGATGAAGAAGTCATTGAAGAGGAAGCAGCCCACCACGAAGAACATGGAGTAGGTGAAGATAGTGAAGATGAAGACAACAAAGAAAATAGAAAGGGATTCAAACGAAAGAAAACTCAAAAACGACAGACCAAGAGAGTGAAAATGGCACCGCGACCTGTTCTCGAAAACTCATCATTGGATGATGTGAACATTCAAGAAAAAGTATCAAAGATGGAAGAAGAAGAACGAAAGCATATTGAAGCTTATATTAACTCAGATGAGGAATATGATATTGAAGATGAAGTAAACTCATTAGTACCCGAAAGCCCTATCAAGAAGACCCGAAAACCAATTGCTAATAATTATCAAAGACTAAAGATCAATGATCCAAGAGCAAAGCGTTTCAAACAAAGAATGAGAAGACGATGATTTTGGCAACTGTATAGATATATACCCGATATCATGATCTAATTAATTAACGTAGCTATCAAATCGGAAGCATCTTCCTTTGAAAATTGAACTCTATTTTTTATTTGTAGTTCGTTACTTTCAATTGGCTTTGGTGAATCACCAGTAGTAAAATAAATTGGCTTCTCCCATTTAAGTCTATCCTTATCGTAATCCCATATCAGATCATTAGCATTTGCTGCTTGTTGTTTCTTTTCTTTGATTGTATCCTCTAATTGTTTCTCATCTGTAGATATATCTTCCTTATGAGATACAAACTTTTCAATCATGGTTACTTTACCATCTTTAATTGACATTTCCACGGTACGCTCTCCACGTGATTTCCTATCCCTATTAAATTGATTTTCTCTCATTAATCTTTGCTGTTTCTTAAGATTTAATGCTCTTTCTTCAGGAGTCAACCAAAGCGATTGTGAAGGCATTTCAAAATCAGAGGCATTATCTATAATTCTTGTTCTTTCGGCACCCGTTGCTTGATAGTCCAATAATGTTTCTAATCTTTCTTTAGCCCTTTCTAAGTCCGCATCTGATTTCTTTGGATTTTGGGATTGTTCTTCCTTGGCAATACTTTCTGCTTCTCTAGTCTTTCTAAGTTCCTCCTCCGCCAACTTGAATGCCCTATCTTGAGCTTCCCAGAACTTCTCTCCTGTATTCATTTTTACAACAATTTTCTTTTTAGTTTTCTTTTGGGTTGGTACATCTGCTTGCTGTTTACGATTTGCCAAATCTTGTTTTTCTTGTTCTAGTAATTTGATTATGGCATCTTTATCCTTTGCAGGTATTATATCTGCTCCACAAAATGAGCATGGTTGCATTCCTTCTTTAGTGCAGATAATCTTACCACAATTTAAGCAGTTTGGTGCAATTTCAAACAAGGGATGTCTCCTTGCCATACAATTACAAACTCTTCTTACCAGAGTATCAAAAGTGGCAGAATCGTTCGTTTCAAGTTCATTAAGAATTGTTTCAATGTCTTGTAAGTTAACTAAATTCTTCTTCTTGGTTTGTTTATCTACCGGATCTGGTGATGTCAGCTTCGATTTGAGTAGTTGAGATGTGGTAGTTGATTTATTTCTAGACATGCTTTCGTTATTAGTTAAAGGCTAGTTATTAATATGACTCAGTCAAAAGGAACGATCAAAGTACAACTCAAAAGAAAAATTTAACAAGAGAAGTAGTCAATGGGAAGCAAGACTTTCGCAAAGGAAAAAGAAACAGAAAAAAAAAAATATCAAACAAGTCATCTTGCAACAATAACACAACCTGACCATCAACTACAATAAGCAGCAAGCATGTCCTCCACAAATCCAAATGAAGAAGCTTTGAAGTTGAAGTATAAAGAAATTGCTGAATTAAAAGCAGCAATAGCTCAAAAACAGGCATTAAAGAAAAGACAGGAAGTCCATGCGGCAAGAATTCAAAAACGTTCCCAATATAACAATCCACGTAATTCATATTCTCAATCAAGAAAGTTTGGAAATTTGAAGTTAGTAATGAATAACGGATCACAGGTGAATGGAAGCAGTTCAGAAACTACTTCTGAGGGATATGTGAGTGTAAATTCATCTAGTGGAAAGACGTTGTACAACGTTAATGTTTACCATCAGGAGGCAGAAAGATTGAAGATGAAGATTGAATTAAAGAAACAACAAGTAAAGGAAGCTAAGAGAATAAGAAGACTAAAAGCTAAAATAGCTCGAGACAGAACCAAATATATTGGATGTGATCGAATCAAAATAAATGGTGATAAATATTCTGTTGTTAAAGGGGGTTACAGATTGATCCCAACAACAATGTTTCAAGTTACTAACCCAGACACTTGTGTCTGGAACGGAATAAATTATAAGAGGGTTGAAACAACTGGTGTATTCAAACCTGTCAAAAAATCAACCAAGAGCAAGTATGTATCAATTTATGATGATCCACATTTTCCAGAGTATCATATTTACTAACATTGTTTAACAAGACGTACTAGAGAAGTTTGCAAGTATTTTCAAAATACAGGTATGTATATTTTTTGATTTTCTTGTTCCATATATATCTTTTGGTTTTTTTTATTATTATTTTTTTTTTCTTTAACAAGAAAGATTGAGTGTTTCATTTTACTAACGTTGATAAAATTACTTTCGGATCTTTCAAATTCTATTAGGAATGTGTGAGAAAGGTTCATTGTGCAAATATGTTCATGACAAGGATATGATCAGGATATGTCCTTTATTTTTAGCTGGAAAATGTTACGGTAGAGATTGTTTGCTTTCCCATACACCAAATGATTGTAATACTCCTGTTTGTCGATATTATTTGGATAGAACATGTACTAATTCAAATTGTAAATATCGCCACTTCAAGCCAGACCATTATGATGATCCAAATTATGAAATTTTGACTTGCAGACCATTTGCAATCACAGGATATTGTGCACGAGGTAAGAAGTGTCCATTTTTACATTTACCGAGTTGTCCTGATTTTGAAGAAGACAACTACTGTCGATATGGTAGAGAATGCTCCTTACCTCATAGATTCACATTAAGGGTACAAGAGCAAATTGCAACACGATCTAATAAATACGTCAGAGATGAAACTGTCATTTCAGAGGAAGTCACACCTTCTCCACAAAAGATTGTTATTAGCAGCTATACTGTTGATCCAAAGCTACTTTTTGCAGTTGATCTGACTGGAAATTACCAATACTATATCGACAATGAAGGGAATCAAACATCAAACGATCTGAAGGAATTTTTGATTGAATTGTCTGAATCCGAAGACAATGAGGATGATTTTGATTCAGAAAGTGACAATCCCGAAGAAGATGACTGCGAAGGTGATGATTTAGAACTTAATGGTGACTACGTAGGTGTATAAAGTTCTATATAGGAATAGAAAACCCCAATGCACGAAGTATAATCTGTATACTTTTCAAGAATAGCACCACTTAAAACGCAAGATTCAAGCAAATATACCGCCGTATTTTTCAGGAAAATTTTTATGCAATCAACTAGCCGACAAACACACGGCAACATCTTCAAAAACAGTTGAGCAATCACTAGATTCTCGAAATAAAAGGTATCTACATCTCGTAACCATAAGCCTTCTGCGAAATTGGTTAATATTTTGTTCTCCGTCTCTCTTTTACAGACCACCTAGGGAGGGGACAATGCATGGGATGCTAAAACATAAAATGCAAGCAATTGTGCTTATCGTGATCAATGTAACAGTATCCATCTTCAAGAGTATAAATGGAAAAGAAAGAAGTGGTGGCTTTTTGTTTTGGTTAGCCATTGGAAGGTGAAAAATCAACTGAGACAACACAAAAGTATGTAAAGATAAAACCAATCAGTGTATAGTAAAAATTAACCACATCTTTACAACTGATAAGACAAATACAATATCATCATTACATTTACACTTGGGTGTGTATGTGTGTGTTTGTGATGGGAGTAGCTGGTGATATATCGTTATCACACAATAGATTGACGAAATAATGTAAGTTGTGGTGGATGGTAGACAACCCACACATAAACTTGATAGAACAAATGTGTTCTCTAATTTGAGTAAGGGGAGGTGAAGCTAGTAAATTAAACAAATGGGAAGGGAAAAAAGAAGAAATTATTGTTGCAAAAGTGGTTTATTCTCTCTGTTTTAAATGGTTTTTTTTTTTTTCTTGTTGTTAGATCACCCACACAACTTATAAACACATACACACCTAAGAAGAGGGAATTTTTTTTAAAAAAAAAGCATTTAAATCATCAACAATACCCGCCATCATCGTATTATTGAGATAATTAAATAAGGATCAGATTTATATCAATAGTATTTGAAACTCAAGCATTTGAATATTTACTTAGTTTCTTCATATTATTCTCAATTTAAATGATGTCAAAACACAATTCATTTCCTCTTGATTGTGACTCTCCACCAAAAAATCTTACGGTCCATTCTTATCAAAGAAGTTATCAAACAATCAGTAGTTTGGGTAATGGGAGCTTTGGTACTGTTGAATTGGCAAAATTCAAATTCCAAAAGTTTGATCTTTTGAATATGCATGAAGATAAAGCGGGTACATTATTGTACCCATTAGAAGATTCTAAATTCAATCAATCAAATCTTGTTGCCATTAAAACTATGAAGAAGAAGTTACTGCTCTTACTGGAATATGCCAATGTCAAAGAGGTGAAATTCATCTTGTCAATTCCATCACATCCTTGTTTGGTGCAAATTTTCGAAATGTTTATTGATGATGTTAATTATCAATTGCATATATCCATGGAAGCATTGAATCAAAATTTGTATCAATTAATCAAAAGTAGACGAAATATCAAGTTTTCACCAGTGACTTTGAAAAGCATTTTGAGCCAGTTACTATGTGCCATAAAACATATTCACAAATGGAACTATTTCCACCGTGATGTCAAACCAGAAAATATATTAGTGATTCCAACATTACATTTTTATGGATCTAAAGCTTCAGTACCACCATATCGTAAAAATGATAATTTTATTGTCAAATTAGGTGACTATGGTTTGGCCAGACATGTTTCAAATACGAAACCATATACCGCATATGTGTCCACAAGATGGTATCGTTCTCCTGAAATTTTACTTAGACAGAAATGGTATTCCAGACCAATTGATATTTGGGCGTTTGGTGCTGTTGCTGTTGAAATTGCTAATTTTGTTCCCTTGTTTCCTGGATCTAACGAGTTTGATCAAATTTGGAAGATATTGAGAATCCTTGGTTCCCCTTATGTACCTGAACCAAATACAATCAATGCTAATTATGTTGTGCCATTAGGCGGATACTGGAACGATGCTGTATATTTAGCCAACAAACTTGGATTGAAATTACCAGCAGAGCCAGGAATGAATATTGAGGATGTGGTGCAACACCCTGATGGAAATGCTTTACAGGATGTAATTCAAGGTTGTTTGAAATGGGATCCCTTAGCTAGAGCTGATGCAAATGAACTTGCTAAAATGCCATACTTTAAGGAAACTATAAAAATGATGGATAGTCACTTTGAAGGTGAAACATTATCTGTCAATGCCACTTTGAACAAATTAGTTGGAATTCCCAATTCTCCTTCAAGAAAACTAATGGCCCCTGCTAAAACCCAAAGAAATGTATCGATGCTTGATGAGTTCCCAATATACCAAGATTTGGATGACGGGTACGAAAATTATTTTGATGAATATATTGGTATTGACCAAGGAGAGGAAAATAGTGAAGGGATAGACGGCTATAAACTTATTTCTCATCCATGGATGTCAAAAGTTAAAGATTTTATCGGTACTAGAGAGTCTGAGAAGGAACCTCGTAGTGTTGGTGTTAATGGAACAAGTGGTGATAAAAAGAAATCAAATCAAGTCGGGGGCACAAAAAGATCATTCACCACTTTTTCTATGGAAAGTGAAGAGATTGCTAATTTATAGATTCCAAGTTTAATTGCTTCAATTTCCGGTTAATAACGGTGTATATTATAGAGTTTTTGTATGTGAGTCCTGCAAAAGTGAGTCACTGGGTTTTCAAGATGGGGATTTGGAAGTAGAGCAATAAATATAATTGTAAAATATAATAAATGTATACTAGATTATGTTACCTATAACAAAAGACAAACTACCCCCTTAGGTTGCTCAAAGACCAAAAACAATCTTTTCAGCAGAAACTTTACTATCTCTGGACAATTTCAATGCTTCGTCAGCAGCACTTAAACCACCATCTACTTTTCTAAGTTTAGTATGTTTAAGCTTGTTGATAATAGTAGGAACAACCTCTTCCCACCATTTAGTATGTTCTTCTAAAAGTTCAGGAGTTTGATAGAATACATTACCAAAAAGATCCTTTTCTTTGATGACACTAAGGTAAGCCAAAGTAGTACCAAATTTAACAGTACCGTCTCTGCTTGGATCAGTTTTAATTGAATCGGCATTTAAGCTCAACAAGTTATCTAAGTAAACTTCTGGAGAACCTTCAGTTGCATCATAAACAGTTTGATAAGTACTTTTATCTGAAATAGTATCAAGAGCAAACTTAACTTTACCAATGGCTTTGATCTTGTTAACAACATCAGGATCATTATAATCAACAACGTGATCAGCACCCAAATCTTTCAAATATTGATGATTCTTTGGTGAAGCAGTAGCAATGACATTCAACTTGTAAACCAATTTAGCAACTTGGATAGCCAAAACACCGGTAGCAGTAGCACCACCCCAAATTAAAATTGAATCACCTGGATTTGAAAACTTATCAAGTTTCAAGTAATGTGAAAAGGATTGTGCAACAGTACATAAACCCAAAGTGATACTTGCTGCACCTTCATAGGAATCAATTACAGATGCCTCAGTTTTGGCCGGGTTATCTAAACTGTGATCATATTTAATAGTTCCACCAGGGTATGCAACAACATATTCTGCAAAAGCTCCTGAGTCTGGGGAAACATTTCCCATGACGAATGAACTGACAACATCACCTTTTTTAAAGTTTGTAACATTAGATCCAACTTCTTCAACAACACCACTGACATCACTTCCAATGACATCACCAGGTTTACTCAATTTGTAAACAATGTGTTTCCAATCAGTTGGGTTAATGGCATATGCTTTACTTTTGATCAAAATTTGATCATCATTGATGGATGGCTTTGGGATATCTTTAACTTCCGCTAATTTGGATAATTCTCCTTCTGGAACAACGGCTGCTTTCATGATTATTAAGTAATTGAAATAATAGATTAAATATGTACTGTGATTACAATTAAAAGTATATATAAGTAGAATATATGAAAATGAGATTCAAAGTTGGAGACATTGATTCCCTTTTAAATATTTCATTTAATTTTGAATTAATTTTTTTTTTCTTAAAAAGAAAAGCATACACATTATTGTGTACGAAATTTGTTGGCACAAATATCCATGGAATTTGTAAGCAAAACTCCGAAATGGATATTTGTCATCCCCCCGAAATTTGGATTTTCATCCGAGATTAGAAATCCATACATACTCTGCAATTGAACGTATAGTTTCTAAATTTGAAATATTATTTCATGAATTAAAAGGAAACATCTTCTTTTAGATTTACCCCCCAATACGAATCCCGTTTTATTTTATAGTGCTTGATTATTATTACAATTATTATTTCATGTCCATGTGTGGATTTGCTTGATTTTGCAGTTTCTATTGTTTCTTTTTTTTTTTTTATTGTTTTTCTTCCCCCATTTTTGCTCCCTGTGGTAAAGTTACCAGCCCTGGCAAGATATTTCAAGTTACAGAAACCAAAATTTATGGTTAGAATAGTTACATCATAGGGAGTCTAAAAAAATTCTTGAATTCAACTTTCTACTACAATGATTTAGTTTTATTCACCCAACATGTAGATTTCCTAGAATTATAAATACTCGTTTATTGATTGAGTGCAGTGCACTACCTACCATAGCAATAACACAGAATACTGCAACGAGTAACAAACCATTTACAATTGTGTAAGCGGGATTTCTTGAACGAATTGCATGCAGAGTGTCTAAATCCTGCAGGACAAGATTGAAACAATGGACAACGGAATTATGGTTGGATTGTGGTTTACATACTCCGGATATATGACATGCGTTTCTTAACAAAGCCTTTATTTAAGGAGGAGTAGAGTATTCGTTGCTCTACCAACAAAACCTAAAAATGACATGATACTACCTTCCTGTTTTGTTTTGTCTTCTTTTTGTTTGTTCTTTATCAGATGAATGCTACTGATACGATAACCCTCTCCCCAATATTTGGCTATAATCGGCGTTAAGAATTTGTGTATTGTTTCGAATTACGGTTTCTGAACTACAATTGATTATGAAACAGCAACTTAGAGAATAAAATATCACACCCAACTAATAAGTGGAGTGATACAGAGATTCTGATAATAAGTACGAGATGGTGAGATCATCATGCTATTATTAATAAATGGAATATTTAGGTATATAGAATTCCGCCCCCGATTAGTATAGTACATCAATATTAAATCGGACAGAAAAAAAAACTTAACGCTCATAAGTTCTTCCGAAGAAATTGTATTACAAATCACATGGATAAACTGAATAAACATCGGGTTTCTGCGATTCTGATTAGTAATATCGATATATCTGAACTATTTCCTCTCTCTCTCTGTGTGTGTGTGTGTTTCTAAGTATATACAAGATTCCCGTCTCAGATGAATTGCCTTCTTTTATCCTTAAGTAAGTAACAAACACCTGACGCAATGATACTGACTCCTAACATGAGTACTAACATCATATTTGAATCTCTAAACAACCTTGCCTCGTCAGCAGGCCAACCAGAATATAAAGCATAAGTAGCTGTTACAGTCCCTAAATTACCCAAACCACTGACTAAAGCAGCACTAACTGCACTACCTACATCACCATAATCTTTGGCAAAAATCTCAGAAGACCATGACATACAAATTGGAACAGTTGGACCCAAACCAAATCCTGCAATTAACAAGCCCGCATACTTGTTCCATGGTCCATGGGCATAAGTTGTCACCAACATACCAGTGATAATGATCATACATGCAAAACTGAAAATAACAGGACGTAAATTTCTAAATTTATCAGCAAATGGAGTCATGATTAAAATCCCACCAAGATCAAACAACCAAATTGGAGCATATAATAAAGAGACATTGACTGAAGATAAAGAAGGGTTTTGTACTGAGATAATAACAGATCCAAAAACAGCTAATCCCATACCAGTTCCAACAACACCGAAATACATGATGATAATTGGCCAAATTCGAATATCTGTAATAATACGGAAAATATCTCTCCAACCCCAAGTGACCAATTTACTTCTTTTCCCCATATCACGACGATGTAATTCTCTATCTTTGTTGTTTAATGGATATGGAGGAGTTAAATATTTTCTGTAGAATCTCATCAATGTATTTGTTGGTTCAGATTTGACTGCAAATGGTCTATCTGGTAGCCACCATAACAATGAAATACCAACAGCAATCGTTACAACACCATAAATTAAATACATCCATTGCCATCCATAGTATCCTTTAACTCCATCCATTCTTTGAACACCAGCACTTATCAACCCAGCAGCCGCGGCAGAGATTTGAGCAGCAGTGAAATAATAACCAATACGACGAGTCATAATTTCATTAGGATACCATAATGAAATATAATATGTCATACCTGGCCAAATACCAGCACCAACAATACCACTAACAACACGAATAACAATTAAACCCGCAGTATTATGTAAAATATGATAAAAACAATAAACAACACCAACAGTAATAACAATTCTAGCTAACCAAGTTTGAGGAGATACTTTAGTCATGATTAAATTCATAGGAAGATCAAATACAATAAAAGCAACAGTTTCTAAAGACAGAGCAAGGGATAAATCATGAGTCGATAATTTCAAATATTGAATCAATGAATGTCCTTGTTCTCTATTCATAGTTAATGTTAAACCATATGAAAGACTACATAACATGGTAAAAAAATAAAGACACCATAAAGCAGGAATGATTCTAAAATCAAGTTTTAAGTAAATTTTATTTAGTTGATGATGATCTAAATAATCTTCATCTCCTAAACTTTGAACTTGGATTTCTTCATCTTGAAGTGATTTGTGTTCTTGATCAGTATGTGCAACAGACATTATTGTTGATTTAAGGGTTATAAATGAAAAAAAAAAAAAATAAAAGAAAAAAAGGCTTCTTCATTTGAGAAAAAATGATTAGTTTAAATAGTTTTACATTATCATGGCTTAATTCCTCTGCATCTTAGTATATCTTTGAAAAGTTTTGTTGAGATGGGGTTATTTACCTTAGGCGTGGATTATTTTCCGTGGTTAATTTAAGAGAATAAAAATTTTGACAATGATTCGCAGTCATTTTGTTGTAGTTCATTTTGGCACATGAATCATCAAGAGTCATAAAAAAAAACTATGCACAATAGGAAAAAAAAATGATTATGAGTACCAACAGAAATGAAGTGCATGAAGACTAAAGTATAACAATTTGAAATGATTGAGTTATTATTGGCTTAAAATGTGTTGATTTAATTAATAGTCAGAATAGTGGCTTGGTGTTGATGTTGGGTGAATTGTATTGGATTATGAAATATCTTTTGTATTTTGTAGGGCGATAAGGGATTTGCAACCATGGAACAATAATTCCCAAGATGACCCAATACCCATAGAATTACTCAATCATAGATCCCAAAATAAGAAAACTGAATGTGACTTTCTAATTGCAATTATACCGTATGATTATTCTGATATATTGAATGTATCTTTTTTTGTACAATAAGAGAATTTTTCAATAAAAATTTGTTGAAAATTCCCATCAAACTTTTCCTTTAGAAAAAATTATGAAAATATTAACAGTATTATACGCACGTTATGAATCTACTTGAATTATAAATTAAAAACAGTCTAAACTAGGACTCTTTAAGTATCTCTAACTTGTCTAACTCTATCTTTGATTAAGTAACAAACACCAGATGCAATGATACTAACACCCAACATAAGCACCAACATCATATTGGAATATTTAAATAATCTAGCTCTATCTTCTGGCCAACCAGAATATAATGCATAAGTAGCAGTAACTGAACCCAAATTACCCAAACCACTAACTAAAGCAGCACTAACTGCACTACCAACGTCACCATATCTATTAGCAAAGATTTCTCCTGACCATGACATACAAATTGGAACAGTTGGACCTAAACCGAAACCAGCAATTAATAAACCAGCATATTTATTCCATGGACCATGAGCAAATGTAGTAACAAACATACCTGCCATGATAATCATACATGCAAAACTGAAAATCACAGGACGTAATTTCTTGTATCTATCAGCAAATGGGGTCATGATTAAAATCCCACCAAGATCAAACAACCAAATTGGAGCATATAACAATGAAACTTGAATTGAGGTCAATTTTGGATTATTAACAGCAATAATAGTAGAGCCAAAAACAGCTAAACCAAAGCCAGTACCAACAACACCAAAGTACATAATAATAATTGGCCAAATACGTAAATCAGTAATGATTTGAACAATATCTTTCCAACCCCAAGTTAATAATTTATATCTATGTTCTAAATCAAGACGATGTAATTCTCTATCGTGTTCATTTAATGGATGTGGAGTAGTGAAAAATTTACGGTAAAATTTTTTAATAGTATTTGTAGATTCAGATTTAATAGCAAATGGACGATCTGGTAACCACCATAATAATGAAATACCAACAGCAATGGTAATAACCCCATAAATTAAATACATCCATTGCCAACCATAAAATCCATGAACACCATCAATTCTTTGAACCCCTGCACTGACTAAACCAGCTACTGCGGCTGAAATTTGCGCGGCAGTGAAATAATAACCGATACGACGTGTCAGTCTATCATTTGGATACCATAAAGAAACATAATAACTTAAACCTGGCCAAGTACCTGCACCAACCATACCGCTAATAAATCTAAGAGCAATTAAACTACCATGATTTTTTAAAGCTGAATAACAAGTATAAACTAAACCAACAGTTATAACAATTCTGGCTAACCAAGATTGTGGAGAAACTTTAGTCATGATTAAATTCATAGGAACATCAAAAATAATATAACCAACATAATATAAAGCAGAAGCTGTAGATAATTGTTTAGATGTTAAATTCAATGATTGGGTTAAAGAATGACCTTGAGCTCTATTCATAGTTAATGTAACACCATAACAACTTGAACCAAAAGAAGTTAAAAAATAAAGACACCATAAAGCAGGAATTATTCTAAAATCCAATTTCATATAAACTTTATCTAATTCATGTTGATCTAATTGAGAAGCTGCTTCTTGATTATCGATTTGATATTCTTCTACATCAAGGGTCTTATATGATCTTCTTGATTCGGGATCGGATTCTGTTTCAGGAACCGCAACTGTAGTGTTCTTATTTTCTATAGTTGACATTCTTCACTATTAGTAATGTTGTATATGAAAGCAAAATTGATAGAATTGGTGGAAAAAAAATCTTCAAAGAAAACAACAGGAAATTCAAGTTCCTTTATATAATTGCAAAATGAAAAAAAAAAAAAAAGAATAACAGTTCTGAAACTCCGAGTAATAAAATTATTTAGTGTTAGATTTAATTTTTTTTTCCCTTTTTCTTTTTGTTAGTCAAATTGCCCATAAAAATCCCCATTTTGCATCCATGCACACATAGTTAAGACCATAAATTGGATGACTACGAGTCATCAATAATCGCATTTCTGAGATGGAAATCAAAAAAAAAAAAATCTTGACTCACCATCATCACAGGACTCATATGGTTACATCAGATTGAAAAGATTGAGCTAACCACAAAATGTAAATTACGTGCAACTTTAATCCAATAACAATCACACGAGGGACTTTAATCTAAAAATGTTTGAAAACGCCGTATACAAGAGGAAGTTTTCTTTTGATGCATTTTTTTTTTTTCATTATTGACTCTAGGATCTCTATAAACTTTCTAATCTAAATCCAATTCACACAAGGTTTTAATTCTATCAATTGTAATTTTTGCAAATTGTTCACTTTGAGTAACACAAAAACTATGAGAGATAGGATTTTCCTCATCATTACATATTTCACATACTGTTACTTTATCATCATGATATCTATCAATTAAAAAATCTCTAGTTTCATCATTTACCCAATGATCAGTTTTTGCAAAAAATAACCAATTTTTTATACCCAATTTATCTGAATTTTTAAAATACCAATCATTCACATCAATATCAAATGCAATATGTTTCATTTCTTCTTGAGCCATGGTTAATGCTTGATTAATCACAGTTTCAGATTGAACAATTTTATAGACTCCTTCAATTGAATTTTCATAACTACTGATATCAATGTCTTTATTTCCAATTTTACTTGTAACTAATTGATATTTGATTAATGTACGTATAACAAAATCAGGAAGAAACCCAACTATAAAACTCAACCATAATGCAATTGGAATAATTGGGATATTCCACTTCATCAATGTGGTTAATTTTTGTCCGCTTGAAGATCCAGCAATATCAGTAATAGTAGGTGTTATAAATCCACTAAATTTAACATTAAATCCATCTTTTAATGATCCATCTTTATATAATTTTGAAAGTGCTCTTTGATACACAAAAGATCCCATTGAATGATGCAAAAAATAAAAATTTGGTACAATTCCTTGTTCATTTTTACTCAAGATCATTTGTTTTAATATATCATATTTATGATCAATTTGAAATTCCAAATTATATGTCTTGGTTGATTTAGATTTGAGAAATCCAGCATGTCCTATACATAATATTTCAAAATTTGGGAATTTTTCATGAATGAAATCAAGATACGATATATAAAAATCAACTAATCCAGGATTTCCAGGTATTAAAATAAGTATATCTTTTGCTGGTTTTATTGTTTTTGATGGTTTATGATAAACAGGAGTTTTAGGGGTTGTATTTATATAAGTAACAGACATTTTCTTTAGATGATTATAGCAAGCCTGTCTAAACATCCACTAAGGAGACAAAAAAAAAAACACGTGGAAGGAAAAGTTGCTGATTTTAATATTTGACCCAAACTGAGATTTCATTACTTTTTTTTTTTCGATTCATTGTTTGTCGTAGTTTGTACCGGTTTGTCTGCGAAGAACGGATATTACAAGAAATCTCCGCTACCACGATAACGGATTAATTTTAAGTTTATTACTTTTTGTTGTATTCCATGCCTACAACGTAGAAAATCCTATACACTTTCTTTTTTATGAACTTCCTTAACCTGAAGGAACTTAATTCTGTTTATAAGTTGTCTATCTTTAACACCCATTTTCGTAAAATATATTAAACTTGTAATGAGAAGTGATATCAAGAACTTTTTCACCAAGATCGTCGGAATTATGAAGATTTTTTTCATAATAGTTAAGATTACCAAACTTATCCAACAATACAACTGTCTGAGTCCTAGTACCGTAGTATTTACCAATGGAAAGACAATCGTCTTGTAATTCATGATTCTGATACCTAATTAATGGTGGAATGAATATGGAGTATTTTAAGTATTCAAATTTCTTATCAAAATCGTTCCCCTCAGCAATTTCTTCAGGGAATGTATTGTGCGACAATATTTTGAAACAATGTTCAACCAACTTGTCTTGACTATAATTCTTTTTAATGGACTCATTGATTAAGTTGGACAATAAAGATTCTCCTAACTTGACTTTATCCCATGGTTTATTGTACAAAGAATTGGACATACCAAATGTTGTTTTATGGGGGATATCGTTAGTATCACCGACTAACCCATCACTGGTTTCCTTAATTTGAAACACTTTCCCTTGATCTCCTCTATTACTAAGAATATTCAAATGATGAATCTTTCCCGTGGTTGGATTAACTGCTAGTTTACCATACATTAAAGAGAATCCCCCAATCTTGGATAAATCAATAGTGGCTCTTCCATCTCTAAATGATGCAGCAAGATTATTCTTCCATTCTGTATCCAGCTCATTACCACAGAGATAGTCTAATGGCAATATTCCTCGAGACACTTCACTCAATGCTTCTATTGAATTAATAATTGTTAGTAACAGTTATTCAGGAATTGAAAATTTTCATGTGGAGTTACAACACACGAACAAACTTGAACCACGTTAGTGGTAATAGTGGCAAATGATACTAAAATTAAACATACCCATATCATTTTCTTCTCGATAATTGACCAATACTGCTATTTTCCCATTGGTAGTTACCCCTATCCAGGTACCATGTTCTTGTCTTGCAAGATCTAGAGGGGATAATAATTTCACGTCGTTCCCAATATCTCGAAAATTCGCAGGCATGGTTGGACGTTTGTAGAATTCATCTCGATTTGAAAGCAAGACAAATGGATAATCAGGATGGTTTGTAGTTGCTAATACAATACACATTTTAACTGGTGGCTAGTTTTCGTTGAGTTTAGTTGGCTTTTATAAATTTTATTTTAATTATTATTATATGTGAGTTGTCAGATAGGAGGATAGAAAGAGTGAGAGAAATTGAATCTTAATAAACAATTTTTTTTTGTGTGGGGACTGGAAAGGTAGCTCGTGCTAGGCACGAAAATTAAGTGGAGTACGAGACTCGCATGAGTTTATTACCTTCGGGAGTACATAAAGAAGTGGATGACACATTAAACTATTGGCCTCTAAAACATGCGGCAAATGCAAGATCCATCTCGATTCATACATGATTGGCATCGAGAAACTTAAGACAATTCATTACTGAATCGATATGAACTGGGAAATGGCACAATATCTTGAACCATTCTAACAAAGAAAGAAAAAAAATCAGATCCTTGCTTATTCAAAGTGACATTCCGATCTTAAATACCAATGTTAAACGACTTACATATATAGAAGTTGATTTGGAAGAGCTAATAACCACTCACTTAGATGATTGGCTCTATATGTTACAATAAATAGGTTGCAAGAGTCATTTGTTTGCATTCGTAACCATAATAAAATGTGCAGGAAAGATGCTAATAGATAATAAATTAAGGAGCGAACAGAGATTGATAAGCTAATTGAGCATTTAAATATGTAATGAGCTATAAACTGTAATTGTAAAATTAGGTTCATAATTTTGAAGCCGTGGGAAGGAGATAACCTCTTGATTTCCTAAACTGGCATTATTAGTGCATTTCCCCGTGAATGATTACTTTTTTCTTTTCTGGCTGTCTATTGTTCCCTGAGTGTGTGTGTGTATGCTGGTGCGGGCTAGAGAGAGAAATAGGGGGAAAGAAGTTTCTTGTGGTGCTGATGTCAACTAAAGAAAGGCGTAGGAGGGCCGTGTCGCAGGGATTAAAAATGTTAAACTTTTGATCTCTTGGATTAAATGCCAAAAGAGAGAAAAAAAATCAGTGACACTTGTTTGTTGAGAGGTGACAGAATTATTCTTTGTTTTGCAAAAGACAGGTGGTTATGTGATTATAGTAATACATATAACCAATGTTTGCCACATTCTTTTCTCCCATATGGTCCGAGAAATTGTCATTTATATTTAACCACAACCACTATAATCAATTAAAGATAATAATAATAGGAATTTTGCTTACCGGAAATGTGTATAAATCAATTGACATACTGAGACAGCCAACAACAATTTCATAAAATAAAAATGTGTGATTAAAAATTATCGCTGCTTTTCTTTTTCTCGTTGGTGATTTGTTTTGCGAAACTAAATTACATGAATTAGAAAAAAAAAAAAGCGTGATCACTTTGGAATTAAAAGAGAAAAAAAAAAAAGAAAAAGAAAATGCTCTACCGCGATAGCTAAGGCGAGTGTCGCATTAACTTGGGTCGACTTATATGTCTTGACCTATGTAACCAACAGAATTTTTTTGATTTTTGATTTTTGATTTCTCTCACTGTGTGTAGTCCAGGTAATAAACCCAAAAAAAAAAAAAAAAAAAAAAAAAAAAAAATTGACCTGCTATCTGACAATATAAAAAATATTTTCAAATCATTCATTTTTTTTAAAAAAAAGAAATAGTCCCGTCTTCGCCATTTTTTTCCCTTAGTTAAACGTCAAATAAAAAGGAGGACAATAAAATCAATTTACTAAGTTTACTTCTTCCTCCTTTTATCTTTCTTTATATAAAATTCATTTCCACGTACTTATTTATTCTTCAAATTAGAAAAAATAATAATAAAGAAAAAAAAAGAAAAGAGGCAAAGTAGACCCAAGTTAAGGTAGTATTGTATCTGACTTCTCCCTCCACCTCCAAACAAACAAACACAAGCAAAAAAAAGAAAGAAAGAAAGAAAGAAAAACAGTATATTGAATGCATATTTTCATCTAGATTCACAAAAAAAAATTTTTTTTTTTCAATTTTCTGTAATATCACAACTTTTCCCACCATTATTAGATCAATTATTCAAAGATAGTTTCCTTTCTATTCCAACCCTTGTATCGATCGTTATTAATATTTTAATCAACTATCTTGAATAAACTCCCTCCGTTTTCTCAATCATAATGGAATCAATATCGTTTACATTCAACTATGATAAAAATTCAGATCAATCTCTAATAAAGTTATGGAAACTTACAAATGATAAAGTCCTATGTACACCACTACAATCAAGTAAAAGACTAGGAAACAGGTCTTGGAGATTAATCAGTCATAGAATATTACATCACTCAAAAGCAGACACCTCCAGAAAATTCAGTCTAGCTGATTTGGATTCAAGTCACAGCTTATCCAATCTACAGGATTTAAAACCAAGCAGGCCTTCGTTATTTAGTCATACTTCCAACTTGAGTTTATATACAAGAAAGAGATCAACACAAACCAGTCTAGAATCGGCTAGTTTTGCGTTTACCAAACAACGAGAAGAAAATGGCAGCAGCTGCGAAATTCTAAATGTTATTCAAGATGAAGATGAATCAGAGGATGACAACTTATCTGATGTATCCGACATATCTGAAATATCAGAGTTCTCAGAAGAAGAAGAAGAAGAAGAAGAAGAAGAAGAAGAAGATTATGAAGAAGATAGCAACAACGATGACGACGACGAAGTGACTGATAATAGTAAGAATAATCAACAGACAAGTACAGAAAATGCAAATGCCACTAGTCAACTTGATAATAAGGAACATACAGAAAGTAATAATGTCACAGCCAATAATACACTTCCAAAAACCCCCGAAACTAGGCAAGGACCACCACCTGCATCGGGAAACAACATTCATCGCCGGTCTCTTGATGACAGAATATCTCCTAGGAACGTCAATCACAAACGAGAACCTTCAATGACAAAATTCTATATTGCAAATTCCCCATCTCCTACTCAGAAGAAAGAAATTGATGATAAGGCGAATGAGAAACTACTGCAACAAAAATCGCTTGATTTCCAGAATGGAGAGCAAGAATCTAGACCTACAGGAAGACAAGGTTCATTGTTCAACAATTTCCAGTTCAAGGAAAAATCAGTTCAAGTGAATGAGGATGAAAGTGAAGAATACGACGACGTGGAGGAAGATGACGATAGTTACGATTCAACGGATATTTCTGAAGATGATGCTGAACTTAGTGAGGTTGAAGAAGACGAAGAACAACACCATGACAATGAACTACCACAACAGCAATCCAGCAAGAATAATTCTTCATCTAAGGAAAACAAAGCTTCTGTATCCGCTGCTAATGATAATGAAAGTGATTGGCTTTCAGTAAGTACTGATTCGGTACAATCAAATGTTCCTATTGTTAAGAACCTTAAGCCACAAACCCAACCAATGAATTTCCCAAAGGTTGATCCATCTTCTTCAGCATCTTTGGCAACCATTCCAATTGAGATCAGCGACAGTCAAACTAATATTGCACTGATAAAGAGACCAAAATCGCTATTATCCAACTTGTTTTTAAATCAACTAGCAACTACGAGTACAGAACCTCCTATCAAGCATCAATCACTTCTGACTAGTTCCATCCGTGAAAAACCTACTTTGCAAAGATCAAGAACTACAGGGATAATTACTGTTGATAGAGAAGTAAAACGTCCATCCATTATTTTCACTAGAAAATTTCCTTCAGTGGCAGATATCAATATTCCACCACTAACTCCAACCGATAGCAACTCTGTTGCTCCTCAAACTCCTTTGACAAAACAAAGAAGCATTGTTGGAATTTCAGATATTAATGTTTCCATTAAACCCACAGAAGAGAAAACATGGTCAGAAGATGGATCAGTTTCTGCATCTGCTTCATTATTATCTACAAGTTTGAGCAAAATGACTAGATCTTCATCACATCATTCAATTAAGAATTTGTTATCCAAGTCGTCTTTGAATATCACCAAAATATACCATACAAATAAACCAAGACACAGAGATAACAATGTCTTCCACAAACGTAATGATGAATTGACAAAACCAGATTCATCACTTGGTCACTTGAAACATTCGCCAAGTTCCTTGACTTCAGCTTCATCAATATTGATGGTTTCTCAAAAATCTTCATCAACTCCACCTCCTCCAGTGCTTCCTAGAGTTACTACTACGGAACATGAAATTCAAAGTGATTTGTTGAATACTGAAGAGTTGAGTAAATCATTAAAGGATTCAATTTTAATCGATAACAAATTAGGTAAAATTGCCATGCCTGAAAAAGTGATTGATGCCGGAAGTTTTCTAAGACGTGAAAGTAGATTGGCAGACAGTGATGATTTTGATGACTACCATGCAAAAGGTTGGTAATGTACTATATTTAAAGCTATGACATTATCCCCGTTTTCATTTTCTTCTTTTTCATTTTTTCTAAGTTCTGATTGACTTCCCGTGTTTTATTTTTTTTTTTAATTTTTTTTTTTTTGCAAGTTTGATTTTATGTAGATAAGATTTCATTTAGCTATATATTTATTTATTAGTAATTTCTTTTACATTACAACATCCCGAAAAAGTTTTATAATATACAATTATGGTAGATATCATTAACAGTATGTATTTGTCTTTGGTTTTTGGTTGTCAGTTTGATAGTTGAACTGTACCTATTTCTCTTTTTTCTTTTTGCGACCAAATGGATTGATGATTAGGCGTTGAAAGACAAGAAGAAGAAAAAAAAAATTTTTTCTATATAGTAAGAACCTTTCTTTGAAGCAGTAATCACCTACAGCGTTAGCAATGAAAACATGTTACTATGAATTATTAGAAGTATCATCTGATGCTACCGAAACAGAATTGAAAAAGGCGTACCGTAAAAAAGCCTTACAACTTCATCCAGATAAAAATCCAGATAATATTGAAGAAGCAAATCATAAATTTTCATTAGTACGAGCAGCATATGAAGTATTAAGTGATCCTCAAGAAAGAGCATGGTATGATAGTCATAAGAATTCAATTTTAAATGATGAAGAAGAAGAAATTATTGAAGGTGAATCATATTTACCATCTTTATCAACAGAAGAAATTTATCGTTTTTTCAATCCGGGAATGTATACTAATATGGATGATTCAATATCTGGATTTTATGCTGTTGTTAGTAGGATCTTTGAAAGATTAGCTCATGAAGAAGTGCAACATGGGAAATATAATAAAGTTCCAGGATTTGAAAAATATAAAGATGATGAAGCAAATAGTGCTACTGATGAATCATATTTAAAATATCCTCGTTTTGGAAATAGTAAAAGTTCATATGTTGATAATGTTCGAAATTTTTATAATGTTTGGGGATCTTTCCAGACTGCTAAAAATTTTAATTGGAAAGATGAATATAGATATCTGCATGCACCTGATAGAAGAACTCGAAGGTTGATGGAACGTGAAAATAAAAAAGTTCGTGATGATGCAAGAAAAGATTATAATGAAGCCATTAAGAAATATGTTAATTTTATTAAAAAAAGAGATCCAAGAGTTAAATCTGGACAAGAAGAATTACAAAAATTAACCAAAAAGAAACAATTGGAAGAATATCAAAATCAAATCCGACAACAAAATTTGAATAAATTAAAAAATATGAATGATTTTAATGAACAGGATTGGCAAAAATTAGATCCTGAAGAATTAAAAGAATTGGAAGAGTTGTTGGAAAATGAATATGATGAAAGTACTGATTCCGAATTTGATGAATTTGAAGACAATGAAGATATGGAAATTCATGAATTTGAATGTATTGTATGTGATAAAGTATTCAAAAATGAACAACAGTTTAAAATCCATGAAGATTCTAAGAAACATAAGAAGAATGTACGTCAATTACAATGGGAAATGAAACAGGAAGGTATTGATTTGGGTATTGATAAACACGATGAAGATGATTTGAGTGCTTTTGAAACTGCATCAAGCAATTTCCTGGATGATGATGACCTCGATGAAGACGAAGAGGATAAAATAGAATCAGATGAACTACTAAATGAAGAAGAAGAAGAGGACTCAGTAGCTACACCAATAGATAACTCCATTGATATTGATAATTTAGAAGTTGATGATGATATCGATGAAGAAGAACCGGCACCAGTATCTTCAACCAAGCGTAAAGATGAAGATGAAGAAGAAAAAGAACTAAATCCATTAGAAGCAGATTTGGCAAAGCTCATGGGTAAAGCCAAACTTGATAGTGGAGATGAGGAAGAAGATGATTGGCTGATGGATAATAAAAAGAAATCTAAAAAAAATAAAAAGAAAAAGAATGCCACACCATCCAAAGAGTCCACTCCTGTTCCTGAATCAATAACAAAATCAAAAGGTACTGAAAAATGTTCAGTTTGTGGATTAAGTTTTGAATCTAGAAACCAACTTTTCAATCATGTTAAAGCTGAAGGTCATGCTGCTCCGCCGCCTAAATCAAAATCAAAAAAGAAAAACAAACGTAAGTAAGTATGTTATAAGATATATATATAGAGACATTATATTTACTTGATACCTGTTTTAGTAATTTTAACTTTTGCAACAATAGGTTGATTAATACCTTTATTCCCATCAACACCTAAACCTTGACCTTGAACCCAACCTAATTTTTGTAACATTTGTCTACCTAAATTAGATTCTCCAATTTCTGGAGCTTCAGCACCAACAATATCACCTTCTTTAAATCTAGTTTGACTTGAACCACCACAGCTTTTATGAGGATTCTTTTTCTCTCCTTTTTTAGCATATTGAGGTTTTTTATCAATTCTATGGAAAATTGGTCGACCTCGAAGAATTTTATCAATAAGATCATAATTTGGATAATTTTTAAATGTACCTTTATTTTTAACAATTTTCAAATATTTCCTTACTCCTTGTTTACCTGCTTTAAGAACAGACATATGATAACAATCAGCCAATTTTTGAATTGTTTTATGTCCATGTGTATCTAAAGTTGGGAAACTCATTGATTCTCGTGATTCGTCTTTTAATAATTGTTCAAATTCGGATTTTATTTGTCTGATAGTAATACTAACGGGATATTTTATCAACATGTCATTTCTTAAAATAGCTTCTTCTAAACGTTGATCATCACGTTCATGTTTCTTCTTTTTCTTATTGGCTTTAAAAGTTTGAAGTTGTCTAGATAATGATTCTTGAAGTTCTTCATCAATATCTAAATCATCAAAAGTTCTTCTATATTTGGCAGGGGTATTTCTTGAAAAATCACGATCTTCAAATGGAATCAAACCTTGCGTACTTGCCTTAGAATAAGCAATCAAGTCTTCTAAATTTTCATCCAGATCATAATCATAATCATCTTGATCAGGATCCATTTCCTCCTCATCATCATCTTCTTCTTCTTCACTATCAGTATCAGATATATAAACCTCTGGTTCAGATTCAGATTCTGGTTCATCAACCATTCCTTTTGTTATAAATGACAAAAATTTCTTCAACCTATGTTCTTTAACTCCATTACTTAATGCATAATCAATGACTTCACTTTCATCAATCCATAAAAATTCATCATTTAATCCAGTTAAATCTAAACATTTAAGATGATATTGATTATTTAATCCAAATCGAACATTTGAAACTTCAATTTTTGAAACATCGAATTCATAATCTTCTTCTAAAAATCCATATTCTGGTTCCTCTTCTTTCTCTGGTTCAGGTTCTTCTTCCAATGGTGAACTTGTTCGTTGTTTTAGTATCAGTGATTTAGCATTAAACGACTCGACTTTAGTGCTTGGTAAATCTATTATAATATCCAAAGGTTCAATAGTTGTATTTGATATGGTTACTTCTTGATGTTCTTCTATAATTTTATCATCCAGTTCATCAACTGGTTCAGCTTCTGCTTGTTCCTCTGGCTCTTCTTCCGATTCTTCTTCGGGTACGGCTTCCTCTTCAAGCACCTCATCTCCACCCACTTCTTCCTCTTCAGGCATATCATTGATTGCTTTTTCAAATTGATCAAGCTTTTCACTAATGACATTATTCAACTCTTCTTCATCCCAATCTTCGCCACTTTCAGATGTCTCAGAAAAATCTTGAACTTCTTTCACAATCTCATCAAGTGTTTTTCTTGGTTGCTCTTGTTCATCATCTTCCTCTGAATCCTCTAACGATATACTTTGTACACCAACGTCAAGCTCTTCATTCATCCTATTCTGTTTGGCCAATTTATAAAGAATAATATTTGGATCGTACACTTCTTTAGCCTTGACAAATTCAACTGGTCGATCTCTTAGTTTTCTCAGCATAAGATCATCATGATGTGATTCAGTATATGCTATCTCTTCAAATAAGTGACGCTGCTCATATTTTCTTCTTCCCATGTTAGAAGCTAATTCAGTCATACTTGTAGGGATGTATACATTATCATCATCCATTAGTTCACCATATTGAGTTGAATAAGAACGTGGTGATTTCCTTTTATTTCCTCTTGTTTTCTTTTTGTTGAAAGTACCACCTCCAATTCTTCCCTTATGGTTACCTCTTCCACCTCCACCTCTTCTTGTAGATCCTCTTTTAGGCATTACTGATAAGTATGTGTCTTGTAGTAATAGTGAAATGATCAATAGAACTGAAAAGAAAAATCGATGATGCTTCTACAATTTCCAGGTTTGTTTCGCGTGCCAGATGGCGGCAGAGAATGAATTTTAAAAGACTCATTTCCAACAGAAAAACAAAAGATAAACCAAGCAACACAACGACAACACGGTGCGACCCCCTCGGAAGTATAGTTATCGTTTGGAGTGTAAAAACCCACTTCTTTTGTTTGCCAACTCTTTTTTTTTTGTCTCCTTCAGGTTGCTTACTTCTTATCAACTTACGACAGAATTTAACTATTTTCGTTGATATTATCGCAGAAACCCATCACAAACAACTAGAATGCAAGACGAATCCACGGATAAGAACGCAAATAAATCACCTCCACAATCACAGGATAGTGTTGAGGAAGTGGATACCGTATTGGGTCGATTCAGTTTATTTGTTAAAGACTTATCACAAGGATTTAGCAATCCAAGTAGAGACGGAACGCCTTCAGAAGAACCGGCAACATTAGTGGATACCCCACAACCAGTTATTGTATTAGGACAAGAATTTAAGAATGAACAAGAGGCAATAGTATTTATAGAATCCAGACTTTGGCTATCTTATCGTTGTGGATTTGATCCAATACCAAAAGCAGAAGATGGACCTCAACCAATACAATTTTTCCCGTCTATTATCTTTAACAAGACCACTATATACTCCAATTTTGCAAATTTAAAAAGTTTATTTGATAAGGAGAATTTTACCTCAGATGCTGGATGGGGATGTATGATTAGAACGTCGCAAAATTTATTAGCCAATACTTTATTACAATTATTACCTCCCGATTCAAAGCAAGATGTTATTGGTCTATTTCAAGATAATCAAAGTTCGCCATTTTCGATTCATAACTTTATTAAAGTTGCAGGCGAACTGCCTTTGCAGGTTAAACCTGGTCAATGGTTTGGTCCCAACGCCGCTTCATTATCAATCAAAAGACTTACTGATACGTTACAGGATAAAGAGATCAAAGGAGTGAAATACCCCAAAGTGTTTATCAGTGAGAATAGTGACTTGTATGATGGTGAAATTAACGAGATTCTTAGTGAAGAAGGTAGAAGTGTTTTGGTTTTGTTTCCTATTCGATTGGGCATTGATAAAGTCAATTCGTATTACTACGATAGTATATTCCAAGTATTGAAATCAAAATTCAGTTGTGGTATTTCTGGAGGTAAACCTTCATCGAGCTTTTACTTTTTAGGATACGACAATTCAGATCTTATCTATTTTGATCCACATTTACCTCAATTGGTTGAAAATCCTATCAATATTGAAAGCTATCACACTAGGAATTATAACAGATTGAATATCAGTTTATTGGATCCCTCTATGATGATAGGTATATTGCTTCGGTCTATGGATGATTACCTAGAGTTTAAAACAAGTTGTATCGGTAACAATAATAAGATTGTTCATTTCCATCCTCATGTATCACCATTGCAACAGCAGCAAGATAATTTGATCAATCAATCATGGGAAGAAGTACAAGACGAGGATGAAGACTTTGTTAATTTGAATGTCAGCAAAGTTGAAGTTGCCGAAGAAGAAACTGAAGACGAAGAAGGTGTTAAGGTGGATCTGCCGAAACAACTGGATGAATTTATTGATCTTGGTAAACAGGAACAAAGTTAATAGTCGTGCACTTTTGCAACGTCTTCTTAGTTATCAAGTACAAATATATATTTTTTTTTTTCCTCGTCCTGTTTTGGTGATAGTTTTTTTTTTTTTTATTTATTTATTTTATTTTAAGAAATACTTTCCTTCTTATTTGCCTCTGTGAATTAGTTACACCTATAATCATCAATGTCAAAACGTATTGAAGATAGTCTCAAGATATGTACAGTATGTGCATCCAACAATAATAGATCAATGGAATCTCATAAACAATTACAAGATGCTGGGTATGATGTTCACTCATTTGGTACAGGTACTAAAGTCAGACTTCCTGGTCCAAGTATAGATAGACCGAATGTATATGATTTTGGAACCCCATATAAGAACATGTATGATGATTTAACTAGTCAAGATTGTCGAAAGTTATATGAAACCAATGGTGTGATTCTGATGTTGAGCAGAAACATGCAAGTCAAGAAAGCACCTGAAAAATGGCACAATAATGCCACATCGGGTAAATTTGATTTAGTTATAACATGTGAAGAGAGATGTTTTGATAGTGTGATTGAAGATTTGATGCATAGAGAATATGACAAAGAGGCAGCTGATCATGATGATATCAGAAGATTGGTACATATAATTAATGTGGATATTAAAGATGATAATGAAAATGCTATCATGGGAGGTAAAGGTATATTGAAATTGGTTAATATGATCCATGATTTCAAAAGGAAAAAACAACAGGAACTAGGTGATGAAGTGGAAGATGAGCTGCATTTGATTTTAGAAGATCAAATGATGGGTATATTGACTGAATGGCAAAAGGAACATGTCCATTTGCCAACTCTATATAGTGTTTCATACTATTAAAACTAATAACATGTATACATATGAATAAAAAGTTTAAAGATTATAAATTTCTGCTTATGAATTGTATTGTACTGTAGTTGGTGAAACCTCTTCGCTAAACACTTGCAAACTGGAAAAAAAAATTGTGAAAAAAAAAAATAAGAATACAAACATTCCTATTCTTTATCAAACTTCCCTACATTGAAGATGTCTGATATCAATAAAAGACAATTCAACAAGAAGAAGACTAGATTATACAATAGTCGAAATATCAAAAGTCAAAATTTAGAACCATCATATGATCGACAACAAAAAGTTCTTGATGTAAATCAATTCATTCAATCTAGAGATTATGAGATCAAATCATTTGAGCAATCCCAATTAAATTCAAAAAATGCAGCTGCTACACGTGTATTTCAAGCATTGCCACGTATATTACGTAGAAGAGCAGCATCACATAATGTTAAACGTATTCCCAAAAGATTAAGATCTAAAGCCAAAAGAGAAATGAGTTCAAGTTTGCCAGTCAAGAAATTACCTCGTGGAAGAAGATTATATAAATTGATGCTTAGAAGTAGATTATTGAAAGTTGCTTCAAAAATGAAACAATTGAATTATGATCCTATGGATGTATCATTTAAGAAACTGAATATTCGTGCACAATTTAAAGAATTGCGAGCTGAATTCAAAAAAATACAAGAAGGTCAATCACATGAATATCAAAAGTTGAATAATTCAGTAGGTGCAAAAGATTTAACTGGAATTAATAAATTAGGTTCAAGACCAAAAGGAAATATCAAATATTCAAAACGTCAAAAGGAATTTGTTTGGATACCTACGCATATTTGGCATGTTAAAAGATTTCATATGGTTAAGAAGTACGGGTTTCAAATTCCTTATTCTCCAAATCAAAAATGTTTCAAATTAATGAATAGATGGAATAGATCTAAAAGTGTATGTTTTGATACAAGTTATTTTTCCACCTTAACTGTGACAATACCGGAAAGTAATGATGGAACAGATGCATTTGACGAACTTGCAAGTTCTTTAATTGGGAAGAAGAAAGTACTGGCTAAAGTATTAAACGGCGAGAAGTCATATAATGGTATGATTTATAATGATGGTGTTCAAATTTGTCCTGGATTCATATACATGAATAAGACATTAAGGTCGCTCTTGGTTAGAGTATATCCATCGGTATATGTCAAATTATTTAATTCATTAAAAGATAAAATTCAACAAATTGAAGGGGCTAATATTTATGATTGCAGATATTCTTTGGGATCTATTGAAATGTCTGGACCTTTGAGCTTAAGGTCATTAAGTAAATTATTTCATTTCACTGATTTATCTCCTGAAATGCGTGACGTGTGGGCAAGTTTGACAGAGATTAAAGACAGTGATCTAATACCAATAGGTACTACTTTTACTTTCAATTTACAAGACCCGCGTATTTGGCAACGTCCTACTAAATTTCCATTCAGAGCTTCCAAGGACCAGAATATTTATGATTTAATAATTGCATTGAATTCCAATTCCAACGTTGACAATGATGTTGTAAACAAATTGTTCAGCGTCGAAGGTAGAACTGCATCTTATGATAAGCAATTGCTGATTAAACAGTTAGGTAAGTTCTATGCCAATCCAGATAAAAAACCGAATGAAATTTCTCATAGTCAGATTCCAGTAGTATTGTCGAAAATAGATACACAAAGATGGGTGTTTGTCCTTCCGTGGTATTGGGTGGTTCCCTTTTGGATTCAACTTACTAAAGTCACTGATGTCAAGCCAGGAGGTTCAAAACAAATGATACAATTCCAGTTTGAAAATCATAAGTTGAGCTTCCCCGAAGATTATCCATGGTTGTTTGATGGTTGGGCAATTAATGAATTGGTGGGCGAGGCAAACAAACTCAAGAATGATAAATTACCAAAAAGTCAAGTCTCGGTTGATCAATCAGAACATAATGTGTCAAAAATATTCTCCGGTAATAAGTGTGATTGGCACACTTTAAGAAACTTAAAGTACGTTTCCAAATTTGCTGGTGTAGATGGCAAGACTGCAGAAAATATTGAAGCAACTTTTGCTAGCTATAACGGGCCTGATAGAGAAATTAAATCTTTACATGATGTGATTCAATCGGTTAAGGCTTTAGAGAGCGAAGTGGAGAATAAGACAGAACCAATAGTTGAATTATATGACAAGAAGAATGAATTCCATCGTGCATTTTATGACAACAAATATGAAATCAAACCATTTGCCAATGTCGTACATACAAAACTACCAGTTATTCCAATAAGTCTTGCAATTTTAAATGATGGTACAATTGAAGATAATGCTAGAATATACTCAACACCAGATGGTGATGATTTTACTTGTGTTGGGTTTGTTACTACTGGAAGTATGAACTTGAATATTGGTAAATGTACTGGTGTGGGTTGTATCATTGCTCAAGAATGGTTAGTTGGTAAGGATATTTCCAAGTTATATGTTAGAAATCCAGGTAAATCAAAATCATATGTAGTTAAGTTCACAAAGTTATAGAGAATGTGTATCAATACAATTGCAAATATTTTTGAAACTTTACACAACTTGTTCGTGTACTTATACTCAAATTGGTATTTAACACGACCGTAATTGTGAGATGAAGAAAAAAAAAGAAAAATTTCTACTCGAGTATAAATACACCTGGAAGGTATCAAATTTTTTTTTAAAATATTTTTTTTCCCCTTTCTTCTTTTTTCTTCTTCATACTTACCTAGAGAAATTACAGGAGATCAAGAAGTCTTGTAATCGTTGTTATGATAACATAGCATTCACTTTCGACATTGCACATTGCGTCATTGGGATGTTTTATCTAATAACGCCAACTTTCATTTACGGCCTGATTCTTCTGAAGGGTGGTTTCTTTGGGGTGGGATGAAACTTCTTTTGAGGTTGATTCTTTACTTCTTTGAAATTTTCTTGGATGAGGATGATGGTTAGAAAGTGTGGGTCTTTTAATTTTTGATTTATCATTTTTTGTTAATATCGATTAACTTCTTTGAAGTTTAAGATAGGTATTTATGAAGAAAAAGAAGAGTTCTACATCTTTATATTATTTTTTTAAGGTATTGTTAAGTCAATTCGATTTCAATATTTTAAAAAGAAAAGAATATGGATGTAAATATTACAATCTCTATTATGAGTACACATGCTAGTAGGGTATGCAACAACTACTTCATTAATTACTCGTGAAATGAATGTGGGTTGTCTTGTTGATGGTGTGGAACGTCTTGGTCGGCTTGAACCAATTTCGAGTGCTTCCATATCTTCATTAAAGACTCTTTGAATAAACTGACATTATAATCAATAATGGTCAATGATTTCTCTTGATTGGATTCCTGATCTTGATCAATCTCTTCAATGGTTTCAACCATACCATGAGCCTCTTCTTCAACACCATTCATTCCTTTTCTTTCATCACTCCGTATTAATGCGACTAAGGCCAAACCACGAATCATTTCTTTCAAATATAGTACTGATCCATTAGATAAATGACTTATGGATTTCAATTCAGTCGGAGCATTTCTAACATGCTTATGATTGGTACTATTATTATTTCCATTACTTTCATTCTTATTTTTGTCATTTTCGACATACAAATCGTCCAAATCAATAGTTATATCAATAAACTCAGCACAAACTTCATATGTTTGTATATCAACTGGAGATGAATCCGTGGCAACGTATATCTTTGAATTAACATCAAATAAAAACACTTTATCAATAGAAGAATGTTCCACCAAATTATCAAGCATGTTCTCTAATGATGGCAATTCTGGAATTAATTTCTGAACAATTCTAGAGAATGCTTCATAAATGGAATGATTAAAAATAGAAGTCAAATAGAAACTCAATTCAACACCTTCAACTCCCAAGTCCAACAACTCATCCCCTGTTCTTTGCATTATATCTCTTTGAGCATCAATACGATAATCTTCACTCAATCCATCAATTTTATGAATCAACACTTCGATGTTTATATTTGGATTCACCTTGTATGCATAATCAATAATCATCAGTAAATTAGTAATCGCATTCAAATATTCATCTTGAGAATCAATAACATAAACTAAAGCACCAACTGATGAAAATAATCGTTCAGAATCATAATTCGGTTCGAAATAGTTTAATTGCCCTGGTAATTCCATAACTGATAAATCAATTAATGATGAAAATTGTTCTGTCGTAGGTTTGGATGTACTTTCTAAATATAATGTATCGTATGGTTGCATATTGTGGAAAACAACTTTACAAATGGAAGACTTACCACTTCTTCGTAATCCCATCAATAAGATAGTGGCATTTGTATCTCTTGGGTTTGGTATAAGAGTTGCTTCCATGATGTGTCAATCTGTTATCTATAGTAGTAGTGGCAGTGGTGGTGTTATTAATGAATGTGGCTTATGAAAAATATGAAAAAAAAACAAAAAATGATAACGTCAGAATGAAAAGAGAGAGAAAGAAAAAAAAAAAAGTTGGGAGCAATACTGTATCAATATTATATGAGTGAGTGTAGATTTTGAAAATTTGTTTGGAGCCGTCACTGTCGGTTCAATCTCTGTGTGATTTTCTTCTTCTTCCTTCTTCTTGGGCGCGCGCAACAATATTTTCTTTTTTTGTTTTCGTCACTCCGTCATTTATTCACCATACTGTTTCGTGTAAAATCTTGTTTCTTATTTAGCAACCCAGCCCCATGTATCAGGTTAGAACGACATCAGATCGCCAAAAGTTTAAGTATAAATGATACACAAGTAAGAGTAATGCAATTAACAAAATTATAAGAATAGAATATACATAAACTAATAACAACTGTACATTATTAAGAAAGAAACAACTTATTGTTTGAATCTATGGAGTTAAACGTTTTGGATCTCTTGGGAATAAGGAAGCACGACGGATGTTTTTCAAGTCTAAGAAGAACATGACAACTCTTTCTAAACCAATACCACCACCAGCATGAGGTGGACAACCGTAAGTGAAGGCATCAACATAATCACTCAAACCTGGAACATCTGGGTTGACTTCATGGGCTCTGATTCTTTCTTTTAATAATTCTGGGTCATGAATACGTTGAGCACCAGACAAGATTTCTTCACCTCTCATAAAGAAATCATAAGAGTTGGAGTATCTTGGATCTTCGGCATCTGGCATGGTGTAGAATGGTCTAACAGCAAGTGGGAATTTATCTAAAATGTAGAAATCAGTATCGTATTTTTCACGAACCAATTTACCCAACAATTTTTCATTTTCAGTAGACAAATCTTCGAAATCATCAACGTCTTTACCAGCTTCTCTCAACATGGCAATACCTTCTTTGAAATGCAATTTAACCATTTTACCATCCTTTGGAATCTTGAATTCTTCAACTGGGAATTGTCTTCTGACAGCAGCAATTTCCTTGCTGAATCTAGTCTTCAATTCAGTAAAGATGAAAACAAACAATTCTTCCAAAACTTCCAATACTTCGTCGTAATGTTGTTCAAATGCCATTTCCAAATCTAAACCAGTGAATTCGGTCATGTGACGGTGGGTGTTGGAGTTTTCAGCTCTGAAAACTGGGGCGATTTCAAAAACTTTTTCAAAATCAGCAGCAATTAATTGTTGTTTGTACAATTGTGGAGATTGGGCCAAGAAAGCAGAACCTTTAAAGTAGTTAATTTGGAAAACGTTAGATCCACCTTCGGAAGCAGCAGCAATGATCTTTGGAGTGTGGATTTCAGTAAAGTTCTTCTTGATTAAGAATTCTCTAAATAATTGACAAACACCGGATTGAATCTTGAAAATGGCTTGGTTAGTTGGAGTTCTCAAGTCAATAACTCTGGCATCTAATCTGGTATCCAAGTTAACACCTGGTAAACCTAATTCTTCAGCTTCTTGTTCAGTTCTGGAAGCATCTTCAATCAACAATGGTAATTGTTCAGGAGTTTCTTGAATGGTGTAGATTTTAGAAATGTGGATTTCGACATCTTGGACAGTGGCAGATTTAATCTTTTCTTCAACCTTGGCAACTTTACCTTCAACCAAAACGATAGATTCTAAGTTGATAGATCCAGTCCATTTGACCATTTGTTTAGAAACAGCATGGGAATCGGTATCCTTGTTGGTTTTCAACAAAGCTTGAATCAAATCAGTTTGTTGTCTCAAGGTCAAGAAAACCATAGTGGCACCTTGTTGTCTGGTTTTGTGAACTCTGGCTCTGAAAATAACATTGTCACCATCATTGGCAGTAGATAAATCTTTAATTTGAATACGTTTTTCATCAGCATTTCTTGAAGAGGAGTTTATAAGTGGTAATTTACCATAATTTTCTTTAGCTGGATCATTGGCAGCTTCAGCTTCTCTAGCAGCTTTTTCTTTAGCTAATTGGGCTTCTCTTTCGGCTTTCTTGGCAGCCTTTTCCTTTTCCTTCAATAATTTCTTCAAGGCTTTCTTGGATAATGGTTGACCATCTTCACCCAAAATGACTTCTTCACCTTCTGCTGGTTTCTTGGTAGTTTCGGTGGTGGCTGGTGCTGCTTCTTTAGCAATTGGTGCTGCTGGGTTTTCTTGGATAGACAAATCGTCTAATTTCTTTTCAACTGACATAGTTAGAACGTGGAACTAGATAGATTAAAAGAGAAAGGTTCTTTGGTATACAAAATCTGAAAATAATGAAAATGAAAATTTTTTTTTTCTGTTCTTTTAGTGGTAAGGAGCAAGGGGAACAAAACCTGAGCGTCACCATACAGAAAAAGCGACTCATCTAAAGGGAAAAGAGAGAAAGAAGTATTAAACCAGAAGTATAGTACAATGAATCATCAGTAAATTATTATGAGGTGTCTGGTGAAATGACTATTTACTCTATGTATCTATATACTGAGTTATTGATTTTGCTGTTCTAACTCTTTGGCTTCTTTAAGTTTTTGTTGTCTTTCTAATCCTTCTTTAATCATACGTTCTCTTCTTTCTTCTTTTGTCTCAGTGTACTTGTATTTCTTTTTACTTGACAAAGCAGCTTTACCGCTAGCATCTTCCTTTATCATGTTTTCAATGGAAACTTGTAATTGATCAAGTTTTTTGAAATTCTCTCTAAATCTATCATGAGAAATCTCAGTAATATACTTCAAGTATTCCTTATTTACAAAACAATTCAAATCATCACTTCCGAGATCTTGGAAACCAATTGGAATATCTAACTTTATACTGATTCTAATAGCAACATTAAAATTATTACCAATACCTGATTCTCTAAATCCATTGTTCATCGCCAAAATATATAATTTTTGTGCTGTTTCTTCATCTCGACACTTTACGTGTAAGATTAATGCTTCAAACTTGTATAATATACTTCTCGAAGTAGAATCAGTAGGAAACTTGTGTTGATCATACTTGAATGGGATAGAATTATACCAATCATCTAAATCTTTTGGATCATGAGTAACAAATAACCAATGACCATGATTACCTTTTGACACAATAGAAGTAGAATCTGCTGCTTTAACACCTTCAAGAAAAACAGATACTCTTCCAGAACATGATGAGGTGGTAACCATATCCTTGTGTGAATTTATGACATTGATGATAGGAATACAAAATTCATCGATGGTACCCTTTGGTGAAGCATCCAAGTTATCTGGACCATTGGTTGAAATCTCCAGTAGAATACTCTTTTTCTTTTGATCAAATGAGTTTTGCATAGAGGTGGTGGTGGTGATGATGATGATGATGATAAAAATAAGAGAAGAACTGAAAAAAAAAAAATTGTTGCACAAATAATTTTTGTCTTTCTCATTAACGCAAATCCTAATGAGGATATACATTTTATATATTCTATATACATTCTCCTTACTTCAATGCCATTAAGAATTTTTCTTCGTCTTCTTTGTTGAACTGGAAAATTGTTTTCAAAACTGGTAATAATTGTTCACGTTGTTCCTTGTGTTGGAAAAAGCCTAACAAAACATTCTTTAAATATGCAATATTCATAGCTTGTTCTTCCTTCTTTTCTGGAGAAACTTCATGTTTGACTTCTTCATGTGATGTTGTCAAGGAATTCTTTCTATCTTTCATGATCATATACTGTTGATTTAACATCTTGAAGTTTTTGGACAATCTTTCGAATCTTAAGGTATTATCTTCATTTAATTTCTTCAAGTTGCTATTATAAGTTTCAAGTTCCTTTATCTTGATGCTGGAATTGTTTAATGCGGTTCTTAATGTATCAATTGTCGAGGTCATCTCTTTAGCCATTTCATTTTGGTCATCCGTATCTATGTCCTTAGATGCTTGTGTACCAGTCTGCAAAACAGATAATTTACTCTCTAAGTTTTCTATCTTTACTTTATAGTCCTGAATCAGTTCTTTCAATTCATCAATTTCGCGTTGTTTTCTTTTGACAATAGATACATTTGATCTTTCTAGTTCATTCTTGTCATCCAAGATACTTGCAATCTCGACCTTCGACTCTTGTTTTTGTTGTTTTAACATCTCTTCAGCATCAATCAACAATCTTCTCATGTTCGATGTTTCTCTTGTTCTTTCTTGCAACATGTTTCTTGCCTCAGTTAAGTCATCTTCTAAGCTCTCAATGCGCAAACTGTATTCTTTTGACTTCATCATAATTTCTTCGTGCTGTTTCTTATACGATAATATATCATTAGCAGAATTGGATTTGTCTGCAAGAACATTATCCAACTTAGTCTTTGTCTTTTCTAAGTCATTCAATACCTGTTGTTTCTCTTGTTGTAATTTGGTCAATTGTGCGTTTAATGATTTCGAATTATCCATCAATACTTCTTGTTTAGTTAATAATTCATTTTTGTCCTTCAACAAGGACATAGAGTTGGATTGCATATCATTATTACTCTTTGTTAACTGATCAATTTTTGCAGTCAATGTCTTTCCAGAAGATTGTAATTCTTCAATTTTACCTTTCAAATCATTGATATTATTATCCTTATGGGTTATAGTAGTTTTCAAAGAAGCAATCTCCAATTTCAATGCGGAATCATTGGTTTTAAACTTGGAAAGTTCACTAATTCTCTTGTCTAATTTTGATTTCTCCTCGAGTATGTTATCAAGTTCTTTTGTTTTGGAATCTAGTTTTTCTTCTGTGGTCTTTAATTTCTTGTTCAACCCTTGAATTTGTTTTCGAAGTTGATCCTCTGATTTCTTGCTGACAGCATCATTTTCTTCTGACTTTTGGATAGCAGATTTTAATTTTTCTTGTAAATCTTTGTTCTCTTTGGACTTGGAGCTAAATTTGGATTCCAAATTCTTGACTTTCAACGTTAACGACTCCAATTCGGTGGCAGAACTTACTGAAGTATTGGATTGCTCCTTTTCCTTCAATTCTTTCAACTCGGTTTTATAAGTGACTAATTCGTTACCGATATCTTTGACCAGGTCCCTTAAGTCTTCAATTTCGTCCTTCTTGTCCTGTAGTTCTTCTCTTAAGGTGGATATTTTTCCACTTAATTCTTGAACTTCATTTTCTTTGTCTGACAACTGATTCTTCAATTCTGAAATTGTAGAGTCCGTAGATGGAAGTGAGACTTCGTTGACATCAGGTATTGATTCTTTTTCAGTGTCTTTTATTTCATTTGATTCACTCTTGGACTCGGCAGTATCTTCAGCTTCAGGTTCTGTAGTTTCAACTTCAGCTGGTCGCGTTTCTTTCAATAAAGCAATTTCACGTTCTTTGTCGGTTAATTCAGACTTTAATTTACTAATTTCAGATGTCTTCTCTTTAACCTCTTGGTTCAAAGTATTCAATTTATTGCTTTTCTCGTCGATGTCTTGATTCAATTTATCATTAGTGTTATTGATCTTTTCCAACTCATCACTCATTCCATCGAGTTTCTTCACTAATACGTCATTTTCCTTCTTCACTTTTTGCAACTCCTTAAGATCGTTAGTCATATCTTTGTTGCTCTCTTCTAATTTGATAATTTTAAAACTCATGCTATTATTATCTTTGGTCAATTTCCTGATCTCAGTATTCAACATCTTTGTCTTTTCATTCAAACCTTCTAAATACTCTACCAATGCTCTTCCTTCTGAAATCGAACTTATAGGGGTATTTTCCTGTAAAAGTTTCTCGAATACTTTAATTATCTCATTCTTCTTCTTTTCCACTTTATAAGCATCTAACAAAACGGGATATTTTTCTTCATACTTTGCAAATTTTTTCAACTTGGATCTAATAGGTTGTGGAAGGTTATCATTTTCAGTGTCAGTGCTTCTTCTCAGAGTAGTATTAGTGGTTACTTCTCCAGAAGAAGTCGTGCCACTCGATGGTGCTGGGGTAGTTTCTTTCGAAGTGGATTCAGGACCTGGTGTTGGCACTGGGGTGGTTACTTTTGATTCAGGTTCAGCAGAAGATGCTGTTTCTGACATATCTTCGTCCTTTGGTTGTGTCAATTGTGATGCGTCTGGTGTCTCTGTGGCTAATATTTTGGCACTTCTTTCTAATTGAGTGTAAGATTCGTTTTGCCTAGTTGATTGTGGATTCTGTGTTGGGTCTGACAAATTATTTAACACATCCTCTGAAAAGTTCTTAAGCTTTGAAAACATTAATGGATGTTATGAGTAATGCCAGTATGACTTCACAATTGTCAATCTTATAAGTTATCTTTATCAACGGAATTGATAATCTCAAAGAAATACAAAAAATTAAAAAAAAAGAAAAACAAAAAAATGAAAACTAAAAATGTTTGATCTGTCAATAACGAGAACAGAATAGCAAGGACTCGCCATAAAATTTGTCGGCTCAAAGAGGCGACACACAAACGAATCAATTCTGGAAGTCGTGTACGATGGCCAAAGATTTCAACATAGTCGATTAGAATAACCTTAATAAATTGTACACCCAAAGAAAAACTGATTGCCATTTCTTTTTCTCTTTCTGTTTGAGTATTCATCTATTTTTTGCAGATTTACCCATTATTAATAACACAATATCTATATCAACTTCCTTCACATGACATCAAACGATACAAGGCTAACGATATCAAAAATCCGATTTAACCTAGAAGAGTTAGAAAGTTTACTTGAGGAAAGAAATAATATTTATGATTTGGATTTGACACCCTCAAAAAATGATAACTTTGAATTGATAAGTTTATTACTGAAGACCGTCAAGTATTTTAAATTTGTTACCAAAGATATAGATGATGATATTAACTCTGATGAAAAGGAAAATATCGGATCTGAACTTGAAGAATTGGTTCTGAAGTATAACAGTATATACGATGAACTTTCGGAGGACTCAAACCTCGATGTATCCGAATTCAAATATTCATTCACTCGATCGGTAACAACGACGACGACAATGTCAAAAAATGGTGACATTCCGTTTAATAATGTTCATAAATCAGTACGTTTCAAAGATACACCTGATGATAATGATGCAAGTGAGTTAATGGGTACACGACACGTATTTAAACCATATAAAGACGATCCTGATGAACAGGAATCTTCAGAGGAGCTCTCGAATCATCAAATGTTTGCTCAGCATCAACAGACTATGATGAGGCAAGATCAAGATTTGGATACTTTGCACCAACTGATCTCACGTCAATTTAGCATGGGTCAAGATATAAACCAGGAATTAGATGACCAATTAATAATATTGAATGATTTGGAACAAGGTGTCGATCAATCATTAAGTCGATTAGATCTTGCTAATCGAAGGATAAGAACTTTTAGAAATCTCATGAGAGAAAACGGCAGCCTCGTCACCATCTGTACACTATCGATTATTTTGATCTTATTATTGGTGGTGCTCAACTAATTTAGTGACAACTCCTGGTTGGTTATATTTTATATATATTCTTATATTCTGATTATATAAACTGTTTACAATTTGATAGATCGTTTTAGTTATGGCATTCTTCGATTCGATTATCTTTCTTGTGTCGAGTATCTTCATGTGTGTATTTATTGCGACGGTGGTATTCTTTCAAGAGTATCCTTCTTCTATTTAAACTAAAAATTAAACTCATCATGTTCCTCCTCTTCACTATTGAAAAACCAAATGAAAATAATAATATCACTGTAGACAATTAAACCACCGATTATACTCATAATTGTAGCTCCTATTTCAATCAAGCCGCAATGAAAAAAAGTTAATGGTAATGCAATCCCACTAACAATTAAGAATCCTGTTAAATATTTTCCAAATTCTTGTAATGGAGATTGGGTCGAATCGTTTCCATTTCCATAGTCATTGAATGTTAAGAAATTGTAATCCCTTGCCAGTTCTATTGAATTGGTTATTAAATTTGGAAGTGGAGCTAGAAGGAAAATTAATATAACCCATAATGTGTGATAATTGTTATACAAGGCACATGATAATAATATTAATAAAAATCCGGAAGCTAAAAATGCTGATAAAAATATGATCTTATTTAATGGATTCATTCCTGTGGTTAATACTATGTATTAGATATGTAATTTGATAATTAAACCAGAAAAGTGGCAAGCTATAAAAAAAAAAATCAAAACAAAAAAAAAAAAAAACAAGGTGATCGAAAATAAGAAATAAATTTGTGGATGAATGGACAGTGATTGACTGAAGTAAATTATATACTGGTAGTAAAGATGGAGATGTTTAGTTTGATCTGTATTATTCGGTTGTGTATGATTACTTCAAACAGTCTGTAATTTATCTATTGGAGAACAAAGATTTTTTTTTTTTATTTTTCTGTTCGGCTCTGGTTTGACCCATTTTTCAATAAAGCTTTATCTTCGCCATTGCTTGGTGGGTGTACCAAAACAGAGCAAGCTATGGATTGATTACGCTATTTTTTGTATATTTTTACTTATATTTACAAATACTGATAACACAAGATATTGGTTTTACTATTAACATGGCTACTCTCAAACAACACGTGGCTACTCAATTTTAACATTCTTTACATCTTCTTCTTCCTTGGTCCATTTCAAAGAATCAATTGGTCTCAGTTTAGTTATTTTCGTGACAATACAGTTACCTTCGCCGTCACATTCAGTTTTAACTTGAGTATATTTTACTTCGTTGGTGTCCAAGTCAGTGTAGGTATTTGACTTGACCAGGGTACTAACAATATTCTTACTGAAATCTTCTCCTTTACTATCTGATAACTGTTGCAATTGCTCTTTTCTTTGAGCCAAAGTCTTCTTTCTTTGTTCCAATTGTTCTTGATACTGTTGGTTTTTCCATTTCAAGTAGTTGTCGTAAGAATCAAAAAATTTTCCTTTGTCCTTCAAATCGTAAGTTCCTGTAACATTCGAGTTAGTATTCTCCTTCATTGCATTATAAAAATCCTCTTTGGTCAAAATATCACCACTCAAGTACTTGTTCTTAAAGTTTAACAACTCTACTGGAACTTCACTGTTTGGAAAAAGACATCTCCAATAACCTTGGTCATCCCAAACAGATTTCCCGTCCTTATTCAAGCATTCGTTATAATAACGAATTGATGGGCCCTTATAAGAATAGTAACCAAACGGAGTTGAGCCATTCTTGAAGCTACCTGTAAGGTTTCCAAATTGTTGCAATGGGAAAGCATTCCATAATTCACCAAAAATTGGGTGTGTGCTTACCTCAGCGTCATAATTACTTCTCTCTTGATAAAAAGATGGATAATTCCAAAAGGCGATCTCTTCGTCATCTTCTTTAATATGACCTTTATTTCTAAGTAATAATGAACGAGTCAAGTCTTTTGCTTTCTCATTTAAATCATCCCCGATATGTTTCGAAATTTCATAAATAGAAGATGATAATGAGCCTAAGTTAGTTAAAATCTTATCGAGACTTTCAGTATAATTGTCTTTATCAATTTTATCTGGCTTGGATAATTCTTCGTCTTTCTTATTGGACATTTCTAGGTGATATAGTTTATAAGTGGAAAAAAAAAAACCTGAAAAGGATAACTGAATCGATGGCAAATCCCGCGTTAAATATTACTTGCTGTTTATACACTCGGAAAGGAAATGATCAAAGAAAATTTGAGCGCTACCTCCTTTAGAGTTAACGCTAAAACTAAGAAAAACTGTTCTATAATATTCGGTCAGTTTCTATGAGTTTCAATATAAAAAAAAATATATACACGTGTTTCTATTTACAATGAATCCAATGCTTTGTTTAATCTTCTCCTAAATTCTTGTTCTCCCATCAAATCGATAAAATGTGGAATTGACAACCCTGATTTACCACCACTCAAAGCAAACCTTAAACTCATAAAGATATTCTTTTTTGGAACACCATTTTTACTCAAATTGGTCAATGTCTCTTCATATCCATTGGCTAATGCATATTCTATAATGTACCTAGTTTTATCATTTGGTACCTTAACCTTGGAATAATCAACCTCTTGAAAAAGATACATATGATCTGATTCAATTTCATTGATAGTAGTAATATTATGACCAATGTACTTCAATAATTTATACAAGTATTCTTTGGACTGGCTGCTGAATTCATGGAAATGTGGATAGTACGCTTCAACAATTTGATCCAACTCCTTTGGGTCTTCTAATTTCTTAGTCAAATGAAGTTTATTGAAATGGTATAATTTCAGATCATTGACTTTAGCATTCCCTTTGGTTAATTGATCGACTGAGAATAAATTGGTTATTTCATCTAAACTCATAAACTCATTAAATTTCTCTCCGTTTTCTCGAACTGGCGCCCATCCAAACAAAGCAACAAAATTGATTAATGCCTCTGGCAAAATGCCTTCATCTTTCAATTTTAAAATGTTCAAGTCACCACTTCTTTTTGATAATTTTTTATCTTTCAAAGAAGTAAGTAATGGAATGTGAATGTATTGTGGTGGTTCCCAGTCGAATGCACGATACATGGCGATATGTTTTGGTGTAGAAGGTAACCACTCCTCTCCTCGAACAACATGGGTGATTTTCATCAAATGATCATCAACAACATTAGCAAAATGATATGTCGGCATACCATCGTTTTTCACAATAACAAAATCGTCGTATCTTCTATCCTTTTCATTATACTGTGGTTGTAAGTTGAGTTGGCCATGCAAAAGATCCCTAAATGGTGGATATTTATCTGGTGATTTAAATCTGATAACATATGGTAGTTCTTCAGACTGATTAGCCCCAAGACATTTCCTGTCATAGGTAACATTTGTAGGTGGTTTCAATTTCTGGGCTGATTCACGCAAGTCTATTAATCTTTCTTTGGAGCAGTAACATTTATAAGCCAATCCTTTATCCAACAACTCATCTGCAAATTTCTTATAGATGTCTTTTCTGTCAGACTGTCGGTACGGACCAAACGCACCTCCTTCTTGTGGACCTTCGTCGACCTTTAATTTGCACCATTTAAGTGTGTCAAAAATATTCTGCTCTGCTCCTTCGACTAACCTTGTTCGATCGGTATCTTCAATTCGTAAGATAAATGTTCCGCCGGTGCTTTTGGCTAATAAGTAATTGTATAAAGCTGTTCTTAACGATCCAAGATGAAGAAAACCAGTTGGTGATGGTGCAAATCTTGTTCTGACTGGTGCCGTGGGTTGATTAGACTCTGATCTAGTTTGTTTCGATAGTTCTGCTAAAGAACTCTTCAATAGAGACAGATTATGTGAATAGTTTCTAACAAAGCGTACTAGTTGTTTCATAAAATATTGGAGAAATGATTGAGTTATTGAAGATTCGTACGTTTTGAAAAATAAGAAAAAAGGAAGAAGAAAAAATCAAAAAAAAAGTCCACCATTACTCCAGAAAACACGAGAGAGAGAAAGAGATAAAAAATCCTTATTGTGTAATTGGTAGCATAAACTTGGCCTAAAATGCAATTTTACAATTTATTAATACAACTCTAGTATACATATAAAAGGAATGGAGGCTATTGATACATGCATATTTTAGACAGCAAAATTCAACAAAAGTTGGTTTTTGTCACGTTTATCCTTGTGGTCATCGGTAATGTAAGGTCCAGTGAAAATACAATGAACTACCATGTCAGGATGATAGTACAATCCAGTTAACAATTTTGGTGTAACCAAGAAATATTGTGATCTGTTGTTCTGACAAGCAGTATGAACTAAATAACGATGTGCCATCTGTTCGTTCTTAGGGTCCATACCTTGATTGATTTCATCAACAATTCTAAATGGAGCATCTGTTAATCCTTGTAATGACATAATGAAAAAAATAGTTGAAACTGCCCTCTCACCACCAGATTGTGACTGGTGGTCTAATACTTTCAATTCTGACTCTTCTCTAAATTTGACAAGAATTTGTAACTTCCAGTCCTTAAATCTGTCCAGTTTAGCTAATTGCACTCGACCATCGCTGGCAACTTTGGTGAACCTCTTCTTAAAAGCAACCGATATCTTCTCAACTAATTCTGACAATTCACTTTCATATTTTTCTTGAAGATCACTAATTTGTTTATCCAACTGCTCTTTTTTAGACTCAAGCTCTGGCAAATATCTTTCTGCATCTTTGATATCCTGTAATTTCTTCTTCAAAGCATCAATGGAACTTTTATCCCCACCAGTTAAAAGCGACAACTCGGCTCTCAACAATTCAATCTTCAGAAGTATAGTGGCTTCCGTGAATGTTCCATTTGTCACGTACTCCTCTGCCAATTCGGCCAAACGAGTTCTCTCTTCATCAGTATAGGCTTGGTTTTGTCTTTCAATTTCAACATAAGCATCACTCTGCTTGATCTCATCGTATTCTCTCTTGTACCGATTATAATCGTCTTTCAATTTCTCTTGCATTCTTCTCAATTCACGTACTAAAGATTCAGCCGCACTCTTCCTATTCTTGAAGTTAATCATGCTGATCATTTTAAGTCTAGCTTGATTATCCTTCTCTGCCATTTCAACCAATGCACTAGAAATAGAAGCAGAAGCATCACCAAAAATATCATACTTCTGTTGAATCTTTTGTTCGTATGCGTGTACTTTCAGTGAGTAATCCTTATTGGCGTCTTCTTCTAATTTCTCTGCTCTTTCTTTCTTGAGTGTAATCAGAGTTTGCAAGTCGTTCACTTGTTGAGAAATTTTAACCAATTCCTGTTGTTCACTTTTGACGGCAAGCATTTGTTGTTTGAGCTCATTTCTTTCACGAGAGTAACGTTCGGCAGCACTTCGATGACTTTCATAGACTTTCTTTCTCTCGTCAATTTGCTCGTTTAGCATTTCAATCTCTCTCTTAATAGAATCCTTCGCTTCCTGTGACATACCTTGTACAGCAAAATAGTTTGATCGAGAAATCTTTTCTGTGACATAGAAAGATTGTTGGGAACCATATCTTGATCTCTGGATATTATACAAGGTATCACCAGCAACAAACTTCATGAACGGTATTTTACCTGATGGTGGTGTATTTGTCAATCTCTTCACTTGCTCATTTGACAATGGCTGGCTACTTACTGGAATAGTATGCAACTTAGAAGTATTGTAAAGCATTGATAATACCTCCTTAGGACCTGTTATAAAATCGGATAGATATCCATCAAAGCCAAATGATCTTAATTCTTGTTGGTTGTATGTTGCGGTTGGATTAATGATAGAATTCACCAATCTTATTGGTGTGTTAGAATTGTTTTCTTCTGAAAATCTACTAAGAAAGTCGAGATCTGCTTGTGAAGTGACTGTAAATGCAAACAAAGAATTGTTGTCAATCACCTTCTCAATGGCAGCAGCATAGTTAACATTTGTCACATTACAAGATACAACAGGAGCTTCAAAGTATCTTCCTTGTGACTTTGAATTTGATCTTAATCTTCTGTGTGCTTCATAAGCTTCATCACGAAGTCTATACTTGGTGCCCTGTCGAGCAGCACCTACTAAAACATCCAATTTGTCCTTACTTTGAAGTGTTCTTTCTGCAGTTCGCTTTTGGTGCTCCAAGTTAGTTATTTCTCTTCCAATTTCATTCTTAAGACTACTCTCTTCTGTAATTTTGTCTTCAAACTCTCTCATTTCGTGTCTCTTGGCACTTGCTTGGTTAGCTAATTCACTTAATTTTTCTTGGTCCACTTCGGGAAAACACAGCTTCTTTTCAATAATCCTTTTAATCTCTTGTTTAACTTCTTCAAGTTCTCTCTTCTTCTGTTCAGCCTTGGTCCTATAGTATTTTGCATTTGCAATCAATTCAGCAATCTCATTTGCACACTGCTTCTGTGTCTTTTTGAACTGATCAATTCTCACATCATAGCCTCGAACAGCTTTTTTGATTTCTTCGTATTCTTCTGATTCTTTAATAATTCTGGATTCTGTTGAGGAAATTTCATCTTCTAATGGTTTAAAATTAGCCTGGAATGACCGAAGTTTATTTTTTGCTTTATCCCTTGCAGCCTTAAGATGAGCTCTTTGTTTCTTCAAGTCATGAAATTTCGCATAGGGAATCAAGAGCGTATGGTTTGAAATCTCTTCGGCCTTTTTCTCGTACTCTTCAAATTTCTTTGCTTCTTCTTCCAATGTGGTCTTTTCTTTTTGTAACTGTGCCAATCTTGTTTTGAGCTCTTCTATCTTATTGATATACGTTTGACAAGTATTATCGTGACCAATCAACTCTTCATGTTTCCTTAATAAATGACCATCACCCAATGTTCTTTCTGTCTCCATTAGCAATTTTTCTGGAGATAAACCGGCAAACTCTGCTACTCTTTCTTGTGGTAAAAAGTGACAAAGATTATCCAACTGAATGTTGAATTCTGATCTTAATTTTCGAACTTTTGTCTCCGTTGATCTTTGGCCATTTATTGTCCAAGCAGATTCTTTGGCGGTAAATTCTCTTTTCACAACAATTGGTGATTTCCCTTCATGGTTCTCCAATGTGATTTCCACAGCTGCACTTTCATGGCCAGTTTTGATCATGGACTTCAAATTCTTACGCTTGATCAATGTTATGTTACCAGCAAGACCGATACAAATCGACGCAACTAATGTACTCTTACCACTACCATTGGGACCAATGATCATGTTTAATGTGGGAGATAAGCAAAACTCAGTATAGGAATAAGTAGTGAAGTTCCAAACTTTAACATTTCTAATAAAACCTGGTCTGAATTTTGCAGGCTCTGATGTCTTTCTTCTCTTGGAAATCGACTCATGTATTTCTGAAGTCATATTGATAAATCGATGGCAGAAATGAATATTCAGTTTTGTTCAAAAAATGATGAATGGGAAAGTAGGAAAAAAAAAAAATTAGGATCAATTTTTCTCTTGTCTATTTCGCGCAACGCGTCTTGAAAATTCTGTTGTGGATTTAAAATCAACCAGAAAGATCAAGAAGGGGGGATAGGGGGCCAATAGACCTGATGATCGTGCTATGAGAATGAATCGTAGGGTATTATAGAATTGATGTTTTCTACCATCTGTGATGATAAATATGAAGCAATTTTGGTAACTTATTCGAAGATGTTTAAGCTTTTTGATGTCCAATATTGTACAAACAAACTACAAGTAGAGATACCAAATTAATCTTTAACTCACCTACTAGTCAGTGTGATGCTTGGTTTTTTCGGTTATTCTCTTAAGTTGTATGTTTCGAGGTTTTCCTGGTTGATCCTTGTAAATATTTCAGGTTTTACAATCGTATTTCCAGGTCGTGTCATGTGTTCAGTTCTCAGATTTTATTTTTTTTTGTTTGCTTGTTGATTTGTTTACGTTTTCGTTTTGCTCACGAAAATTTTTATTTTATGACAGGGTCACCACTATTAGAGATACAACTTTACATTAACAATGGTATGTTGGATTATAGAGAATTAGGATTTGATTTACCAATAGTTTACTAACTTAATATTTGAACTGTAGTCACAAAATACTAAAACTTACAGAGATGCTTTTGCACTTTTCGATAAGAAAGGTACTGGCAAAATTCCAGTTGAACACTTGGGTGATTTATTAAGATCAGTTGGTCAAAATCCAACTTTAGCCGAAATTTCAGACTTACAAAAGACAATCAAAGGTGATGAATTTGATTTTGACACATATCAAGAAATAATTAATAGACCAGGTGGTTTCAAACCATTGGGATTGCCTGAAGATTACATCAAAGGTTTCCAAGTTTTTGATAAAGAAGGTACTGGTTACATTGGAGTGGGTGAATTAAGATACATTTTAACTTCTATCGGTGAAAAATTGTCAGATTCTGAAGTCGATGAATTATTAAAAGGTGTCAACGTTACTGCTGATGGCAATGTTGATTACGTAGAATTCGTCAAAGCTATATTGGATCAATAGATGTGAGAGTACTAGTTTATTCCATGCTGTATAGTTTATATATATATATATATTACAAAATAGAATCAAGGTTAATTTGAATATGATACCTATGTATATTTTTTGTTTGTTTTTCTTAGAGTTTGTAGTCGTTTTGACTGTCAAATCAAAGGGACCATGACTCAAGTGAGTAGACAGAAATGCCACTGCGAAGAAGAACAAAAAAAAATTAAATTGCAACGGTCATTACCACCACTTCCTCCCCCCTCCCATACAAATAGAATAGAAAATGACAGAGTCTATACCCATAACTGCTTCAGAAATAATAAATGAAGGGCCAGACGAAAAGCGCAATGAAAGGTTTCATTTAACCCCTGGCGAAAGAATTCTGGCTTTGGTATCAACAAGTGCAATAGTAGGTGGAATGGCTGGCTTTTATGATGGAGTAAGAACATCTTCCCTTCGGTACTTAACCGAAAATGCTCATAGATTACCGAAAACCGTGGGCGGTTGGTACTTCTATCATAAAAAAAAGAACTATATTATGGTGGTCTCTGGGGTAAAACAAGCATTGAAGACGGGGTTTAAATTTGGTGGAGCAGTTGGTGGATTTTTCGGTATGGAATATTTATTTGATTCTGTAAGAGGAAACACCATTGATTTTATGAACACTACTGCTGCTGCTCTTATAACTTCCACCGTTTATGCTAGATTTAACCAACTAAGTTATATTCAAACTAGGAAGATGATAGTCAAATGTTCAGCATTGGGTTTGTTTCTCGGTTTGGCCCAGGATTACTTAATACATGCTAGAAAAGGAAGAGTCTGGTATTTTGATAAGTACTTACAAGGAAAGCTGTTCGTATAAACGATAATATACACATGTACATATCTATTCTTCTTCATCGCTATCGTCAAGATCGGGTATTGGATATTTCAACAAGGCAGCAATACCAGTTAATTGATTCAATTGAATACCTGATTCGTGTAAACTAGAAAAAACGTAAACTTTTGCACCTAAACTTTTTGCCTGTTCGGTTAAGTCTATGTATTCTCTTCTTTCCTCAATGTCATCACTTCTAAACAAAGCATCTGAAACCATGAGGTACCTTACTGCATCCATATTCAATGCTTTGGTGATCTCTTCTAAACCATACCATGCTCTACCATCATCATCATTCAATGCACGTTGAAAACGCAGTAAAGCCTCTGTTTCTTCCAAAAATTTTGTATCAGCTAGTCTCTTCTTTGTTTGAGGGTCTTCCATGACCTCTTCTAAACCTTGCAAGTAACCTGTTGACGAATGCGCTATCAAAAACTTGTTCTTATTCTTCAATATACTGGAGTAAATTTTGCTTTCTTTCCCTGAATTTTGTAAATTCAAACACTCTTGCATTAATCTATCAAACAATGTTTTGGCTAAGAACCCTGGAGATGCCAAAATAATCACTTTCAATCTATCAAAATCAAAATGCCTTGTCATGGTAGAGATGATCATGTTGAAAAATGAATTCATGGCTTTGTCTAAGTCTCTGGTACCATATTCATTATTCTTTCTTGGGATTGATTTTTCAACCTTGGCTTGCAAAACAGTCATGGAATCAGTAACGTAGCAAATATGTGCTACACCCTCTTGAAAAACAACCGCACCAATATCTGCCTTATTTTCAATAGAACACAAATCACTCAATAACTTCATATCATATTCATCCCAATTGTCTTTGGTGATTGTCAACTCTTTGTTTAATTCCACTTCAGCAGTATGATAACTATTCAAAGGGATGTATTCTTGTTGTACTAAGGATTTCCCGTTGATTCTCATCGTCTGATCGGATGCAATATAGTCAATGTCTTCAACCAGTAATCTTAACTTAACTAAGATCTTCTCCAGCTTGGCTTTACCTTTTGTCAATTGTGATTGGTTTCCTTTTTTGACATTACGATGAGTAAGCAACTGAACTGTATCTCCTTTCTTTATTAAGTTGTATAAATACCATAAATCCTCAGAATCTTCTGGAATCAATGTTACAGCCACATTTTTGTCTTTTAATTTGGCCTTATTCTTAACTTGCATAGTTAACTGTTATTTACAACTTAAATTGCTTTTAAAAAAATATGAATTCAAATAGATTGGGTTTATCTTTTTTGTTTTGTTCTTTTTTTTATTGAAATTTTTTTTTTATGTACACGTCCACTCACACGCGGATCACGTGTAACCAATTACGCTCTTGTAAAAAGTAAAGAAAAAAAAAGTACAGTCGTTGCAGTTTTATTTCGTGCTAGTTTGAGCATAATTTTCAGATCAGTGAGTTAAAATTATTCGCACTATTTGCAAAGAAAAGTTCATATTAAGGCGGTCAATATTTTTGATACTAGTGCGCAAAAAATGTTCATATTACGTGACCTCTATTTGTTCATACTGAAAATGTATGATATATGGTATGAACAAAAAAGGGCAGCTAGTTTGAAAGTATTATTTCCGCTGGTGTGAACATTTTGACTCCATTTACTATGAACAATTAATCTCCCTTACTATAAATTAAATTGTCGCACTAGTATTAATAATTTCTTTGAACTTGGTACGAACTGAAAGTAGAAACACTGTACTTTGTTCCCATCAGGTGGTTTGAACAGCCACTCGCCTACTGTACTATATGTGCATTTGAATAACAATAATTATATAGAGTTTCTATACATCTATTTCACATCGGCCTTAACAATGCTAGTGTTTTTACATAATTCGCCCTTTTCGTTAACCAATTTCTTTGGTTCTTTACCTTCTTCAGTGTAAGTAACTTCAAAGTTTTCATTGGTGGAGAAATGTGGTTGCACAGCTTCCCAAATCTTCTTCTTAGGGTTCAATTGTTTTTCTGGGGTACCATTGAAACCTTCGAAGAAGATCTTGTCACCTGGTTTTGAACCAGCTGGTGGGTTGACAAATTCAACTTTCTCTTCATTGGATGCACAAAGAACCATGGCACATGATTTAACACCTCTCATGGTGACAGGCTTCAAGTTAGCAACAACAACAACATATCTCTTTTGCATTTCTTCAATTGGGATGTACTTCACTAAACCGGAACAAACAATTCTTGGGCCTTCTTCATCGCCCATGTTAATGGTGGACATATATAAGGAATCGGCATTTGGGTGCTTTTCGGCCTTTTCAATAAAACCAACTCTGAAATCAATCATAGATGGGTTTGGTGGGGTTGTAGTAGCAGGTTTGTTCTTTTCAGCATTAGCTTTGGCCTTGGCAGCCTTTTTGGCTTCCTTAGCAGCGGCCTTAGCCTTCTTTTCTTCTTCAGTCAATTCTTTTCTTTGACCTTGGGCTTGACCTTCGGATGGAGCAGCCTTGTCGTTCTTTTTGCCCTTTGCGGCTTTGTCACCTTCGGCACCAGCAGCTGCAGCAGCTGCTGGCTTCTTCTTTTCTTTGATTTCTCTTGGGATATCAATATCGTAATCAATTTTAACAGGTTCTGGAACAGTAACCAAAGTGTTTTGAACCAAATCAACCCATCTAAGAATATGTCTGAATTTGGCAATATCGTCTTTGCTGGTCCATTTGGAGGCCAATGGGAAAACGTTTTCAAAAACAGTTAAATCAGCTGAACTTGGGACATTTCCAGCAATGAAAGTCTTTGATCTTAACGAGTCATTTAATTCGACTAAAGTGTCTTTTTCATCAAGTCTCTTGGACAAAGTTTCGAATTGAGAGCCTAATGCTTTTTGTTCAGCACTCAATTCTGGGAATTTGCTTGAATCTGCGCTTGAAATATCAGCCAATGATACTTTAGAAAAGTTTGCGATAAAGTCGGACATTGTAAATGAGGAAATGATGATTGTTCTATCTTAAGAAGACTATGGAGACTCTAAAATTTCGTAGCTTTGATGAGTGTACTTCTTATTCTGAAAAAGAAAAATTTTCTAACGAAGTAAACTATTGGCAAAAAATACACTACCTCACGTGACAGCTTAAATATATTCACTTAGAAAATGAATCACACTACTCTACACTTATCCAATACTTCACATGTAGATTGATGGGTAATTTTGAGTAATTTAAAGTTGACAAAAGGTAGAGTTGTATATTATTCTCATGGTTATTATCATGATCGTTAGTACTTCAATAAGTTCACTTTATTTTACTGCAAATTTTGAACAAAATTCAAAACTCAAAATTTGATTTTTATTTCTATCTAAAGTTAGAATCACAATTAATTTCAGAATGCCTCCAAAATAAATACCACATCTAGAGTTCTTGTAAATTTATTACAGGTTATACTTTGTAAATTTAAGCGCAAGATATTTGTGGATTCTGACTCAATTAAGCGCCCACCCAAAAGGAGGTTAATGCACGGACGACAGAGTAGAAAAAAAAGGCAATACAAAAGAAAAAGTCTAAAAAAAAAAAAATAATAATTAAAAATGAGAACAAGCTCACATTGATCTAATTCTTACCACGATTGTTGCCTTAAACAATCATTACATAATAATAACGATTATTATTAAATGGGTTTACCCATAATACCAAACAATGAATATTAACCAAGAGGAGCAGGGTAGCATTGTTATATCAAATACGAACAGTAGTAACGATGGCCAAAGAAAAGCAGTATGTTCACTTTACAAAACAAATAAGACAAAATAAAGAAAAACAAACGAACCATGAGACCACCATAGTTGGTAATTGCGTAATTAACAGAACAAGTTTACTAACAATTATATAATTCATACAGAAACGTAAGAAGACTTCTAGAGCATGTAATCACTGCCATAAAACTCATATGACGTGTGATCCTGGACGTCCATGCAAAAGATGTATTCAAAAGGGTCTACAAGCAACATGCGAAGATGCACCGAGAAAGAGAAAGAAGTATCTTGAGGATGTTCCAAATTCATCTTTACTTACAAGCCGTAGCATGAATAGTGTAAACCTGTCGTACGTATCAATAGGACAGCCCACTGAAGCACCAGCACTTCATCAAGACCCAACTATTTCACAACTACACTCGCAACCCCACTTGCACTCACAACAACCACCAGCACCACCACAACAACCACAGACACGACCACCGTTGCCAATATCAACAGGTTCTCACATTGGAATGCAATCCACTGCAAGAGAAGATTCATCTGCCACACCTGCTATGACCGGGACTGATTATTCCCTGAACCATAAGACATACCAAGCAACTATGTTCCAGCATAGTTCTACAGCACCGAACTTGATGCATTCCGTTTCAGAGTACTTTCCTGAACTTTATAATCAGCAGTTTCAACCCCCTGAGCATCCAAACCAAAAACGAAGGACCAATTTCCTATCATCAGCAGCCGATTTAGAATACGCCACTTTATCCAGTATTCTTCATGAAACTTTTGGGCATCACTCAACTTCAAACGAGGGTACGCCGAATTCACATAATTTTTCACCGGCGTTATCACCACAGAATATGGCCACTAATGGGGTACCACCATCACTGCAAGCGCAGGAACACCTGAATCTATCGACAGCGGACCCAACAACAAGTCTAAATTCTACAAACCATTTACAGCTACCAGGAAAGGTTGATTCTTTTCCTCATAATGGTAATAATAATAATAATAACAACATACTGACAAATCATACTACGCCATCTCCGTTGAATCCTACGCGTACTAGTATATATGAAGATTCTAGGTATCCGAAATGTGACGAAACGATTAATCAATATTTCTTGGGAGAAACTGAGTCAGGTCAGGTTGCTGTATTTCCAGATGTACTTACCGCAATCATTGCCATGAAGAACCATGATCCTGCTGTATACATAGAGCGTAACGCTAAACTGGAATTGTCATTCACCATAGGAATACTGCATGAGGATAATGCCAATGGCAACAGTAGAGAGGACACATTTTTTAAAGAACCAGAGGAGATTTACGCCAAAGTGAACAAACCATTCTCATATACTCCAGGATATCACTCATTGATTGCATATTTGCGAAAAAGATTTGACAAACCAATGTTGGTAAAAATGGCTGAGAGTATGGCCACATATCGTCCATCCTTCATTGCTTGTACAAATTCATTGAAAGAGCATGACTTAATATTCATGGAACAATGTTTTCAGAGAACTTTGTTGACTTATGACAACATTATTAAGCTAAGTGGAACGCCGACAATTGTATGGAGAAGAACAGGGGAAATAGCTTATGTTGGTAGTGAGTTCTGTATACTAACAGGATGGACTAAAGAAGAATTGGTTGGTAATGGGAAAAGAAAATTCATTGTGGAATTGTTGGATGATAAATCAGTATTGGAGTATTTCCAGGTTTTTTCTAGAATCGCCTTTGGTGATTTTCTAGGTGCCACAATGACAGAATGTACATTATTAACACCTAATCCCGATGTAAAGATACGAAGTGGTTGTATGTGGACGTTAAAGAGAGATGTGTTTGGTATTCCAATGATGATTGTGGGAAATTTCTTACCAATTCTATCCAATACATGATAATATACTGCAAAATACTTTTAAGCATACTCCAAAAGAATAATGAAAATAACAACAAATAACAAACAAAAACTATATAGATGAAATGCTTACTACACACTGAAAATATAGATTGTAATATTAGTTTAATTTTTTTTTTTCAAAATGAATTCATACCCATGTTGTATTAGTATTTCTATTTCTCCGCAAAAATAAATAAAAAGTGGAAGAACAATAAAAACAAGCGCCAACATAAAGTTAGCAAACAAAAAAAAAGATGAGAAAGTCGACTGATAAGCAAAGGGGGAAAATCAGCTATAATAATAATAATAATAACAACAACAACAACAAAAAAAAAAAATCACGGATACAAATATTTCAATTTGATAACTCTCATTATCCAATTGCTAGATCAACAATAATCAATAATGCCTAACATTTCAATTCCTTCAGGATTGACTCCGAACTTAATTTTTGCCGTGTCAATTATATGCTTGGGATCTTTGCAATTTGGATATCATATGGCTGAGTTGAATTCACCTGAATTAGTTTTATCATGTAAACGATCACAACCAGGGCCAGTTCCTTATGAACAATCATTTTTTGGATACAATGGGTTTAAACAATGTATCCCGATGTCACCAGATCAGATTGGGTTGGCCACATCTATTTTTTCAATTGGGGGACTATTCGGATCATTTTATATTGGGCATTTGGCAGACAAGTATGGTCGAAGAAAATCAAGTTTGTTGCATTGTTTTCTTTACATTATTGGATCGACTATCAATGGGTTAAGCAACAACTATGGTACATTGTTATTGGGCAGATTTATTTCTGGATTAGGAGCAGGATCAGCATTGGTTATTACATCAATTTATATTAACGAAGTTTCACCGGTTGAGACGAAAGGGTTATTGGGTTCAATGAATCAATTTAGTATCAATATAGGGATATTGCTCACACAGTTGTTATCTTTAAAATGGTCTAATAATAATGATTGGAGATGGTTGTTGTTTATGGCATCATTTATTGCAGTGATTAATTTAATTGTTGTCTTGATACATTTACATGAATCACCTGTTTGGTTGGCCAACCAAGGTAATAGCACTCAGGCTTTCACTGTTTTGCACAGGTTGAGAGGTGGCAGCTACTCAGTTGCTACAGATGAGGTCAATAGTTGGAAATCTAATGGCAGCTTTGCGAATGGTACACCAGAAAGCGAAACTTTACTTGAAGAAGGCAATAGTGACTGATTATCTACAGGTGCTGGAGTTTCGCCTGCCGGTTCAACAAATTCTAAACAAAGAGTCACTGTAAAAGATTATGTGACCCAGCCTGAATATAGAAATTCTCTTATCGCTGCTACTGGTATCTTGGTATTGCAACAATTTTGATGGCATCAACTCAATCATTTTTCTATGGTGTTTCGTGTGGTTTCAATTTTCCCTAACCATTCCATTATTATTAATTGTTTGATATCATTGGTAAATGTGTGGTCACATTTGTTTCTGCTACTATAGTTGACAAACTAGGCAGAAAGCCCTTATTATTGTTATCCGTTTCATTCTTGGGATTTGCAACCATTTTGATGGGTCTTGGTATTATTTGGACAAACTCGGTATTGTCAATTATAGGTACATTCACGTACATTACATTTTTTGCTATTGGGTTAGGACCTATCCCATTCTTACTTGTAGGCGAGGTTACTCAGCCGATTGCAAAAGCACTGGCTCAAAGTTGGGGTACCAGTATGAACTGGATAGCCACATTTTTTGTTGGTTATTCATTCCCGGTATTAAAAGAATGGTTAGGTGGCTCTGTTTATTTTATATTCACAGTCATGTGTTTAATCAGTGTCTGGTTCATCAAAAATAAAATACCTGAAACGAGGGGTAAACATTCGTATAATGAAGTATGGGAGCTGAATTGATAGAATCATTTCTCCATTTTAAATTTGTTTATGGCAACAGCGTTAGGGCTGTAACCCTAAAAGTTTATGCGCCTGGTTTTTAGGTGGAGTTTTTCTTTATTATATAGCTAACAAAGTACTGCATAATAAGAATATTTATTTTTCTTTTGCGCTAATAGTGGGAGATGTGCGTGTGTTTGAGTTTGGAGGGTGTGCGAAAGCGTCCAAAAAAACTTGTATGTGTTAGTGTGAGAGAGCGAGAATTGTAGAGTGTGTGGTGGTGCACTCAGCTCAGGCTCTGACCGCACCAAAGGTTTTGCATTCCTAACAAAACATAATTACAAAGAGAAAAAAAAATTTCTCTTACTTTTTCTGGATTTTCTGACTGTATTCAACTAGTTATTAACCAACAATGCCTACTAGATTAACTAAAACCAGAAAACACAGAGGTAACGTTTCTGGTATGTACAACATGATTTAACAGAATAGATAAAGAAAAATAGACAAAGAATGAAGTGATGGGATGTACATTTGTCAGAATATTGTACTTTGAAGTGGAAAAAAAAATTTAAAATCTCATACTGAAAAATTTTTCAACAATCAGATGGGACTAGATCTTGAAGGACAATTGAAACAAGAGGAATACCGAGAAATGGATCAGGGCACAATATATTCGACGTAATGAGTGAAATGTATTTTTGATGAATATTTTCCATCAAGTCATTTTTATAATAGTCTATAAGTTCTTCAAATAGTTTATAAGGTCAATTTTACTAACTATGATTTTTTTAATTTAGCCGGTAAGGGTAGAATTGGTAAACACAGAAAGCACCCGGGTGGTAGAGGTAAAGCTGGTGGTCAACATCATCACAGAACCAACTTGGATAAATACCATCCAGGTTACTTCGGTAAAGTTGGTATGAGATACTTCCACAAACAACAAAACCACTTCTGGAGACCAGAAATCAACTTGGACAAATTGTGGACTTTGGTTGATGCCGACAAGAAAGAAGAATACTTGACCAAATCTTCTGCTTCTGCTGCCCCAGTCATTGACACCTTGGCTCACGGTTACGGTAAAGTTTTGGGTAAAGGTAGATTACCAGAAGTTCCAGTCATTGTCAAAGCCAGATTTGTTTCTAAATTAGCTGAAGAAAAAATCAGAGCTGTTGGTGGTGTTGTTGAATTGGTTGCTTAATTTGGGGGAGTTTTCTTTCTTTCATAATGAAACATAAAGAATATATCATTTTACTGTATATTTAATATATAAAATAAAGACAAATCAAAAGTACACAGAAGTCAAGTTGTAGTCTGCCGATGATTTTAATTGATTAATTTAGAGTTCAAAGTAGTGTGCTATTGTTTCACTCTAATTTGATTATTTTATTTACACGGTTCTTATCGTAGGTCGTGTATTTATTACCAGTTTTGTAATGTTTACATTTGGTATAGATTTGACTCGATGAGAAGCTTCCAAATCAACAAAAAAATCGATTTACAATTGAAAAAGATAGCAAATCATTTAACACGTAATTTTCCCTCTTTTTTTTTTTCTTCTTTCTTTCTTTCTTTCTTTCTTCTTCTTCTTCTTCTTTTATTTGTTTCTCTGTTTATTAGACTAGTGGTGCTTTATTTTGTATTTGCTTTCATTGTACCAGTCAATCATAGTTTCGTAAACATTTCATGATTAGTACAACAAGAAATCTTCTTTCCATCAAACGACTTCTAAACATACACAGATTACAACCACGTACAGTAGCATTCATTCATACAGGACAAATAATGAACTCAATTAAAGATTTAAGTGAAAACAAGTGGCAACCACAAGATGCTTTACCACCTCATATTAAGGAATTGCTTACCACCGGATCAGCACCTTCGAATTACATGTTAGCTTTTTTACAGATCATCAGATCATTAAAGTTTCAAAAAAGAACTGGTTGGTTAGATCATGAAATCCCAGAAGAAGCAACTGAGAGTATTGCTGATCATATGTACAGAATGGGAGTGATATCTATGTTAGTTCCAAAAGGAGTCGATTCAGACAAATGTGTTAAAATAGCCATTGTACATGATATCGCCGAAGCATTGGTTGGTGACATAACACCATATGCTGGAATAACCAAGCAAGAAAAACATCGTCGTGAATTGGCCACCATTAATTACCTAAGTGAAGTTATTAAACCTTACAATGAAGTATTTTCAAAAGAATTGTTAGACTTGTGGTTAGATTATGAAGAAATAAGAAACATTGAAGCAAGATATGTTAAAGATATCGACAAGTTTGAAATGATTCAAACTGCATGGGAATATGAACAACAATTTGGATTGAAACACAACTTAGACCAATTTTATACCTCAAGAAGTGCTATTAAAACCAAAGAAATTGGTGACTTGTGTGATGCATTGTTGGAGAAGAGAAATAAATTGGTCGAAGATTCAAAGGCTAAATAAGTCATATAATACCCAATTTTGGCATTAGAAAATATAGTAATAGATAATGGAATATATATTAAAAATAATATAAATTGGAAATTAAAGTGCGTTTACTTTTCTAGTCTTTTTAGTAATTTCGCATCAAGAAAATTCACGGAAGTGAAACAGATTTCGTCTCCTAATACTTCTAACATTTGATTTTTTTTTTTTCTCTCTCTTTCATTATACCTCCATTCTAAGTTTCTTTACTTTAGCTAGACACCTGCTACCCTACAACACCAAACGAATGTCTTCTACAGAAACAATCGAGAAAACTGAAACAGCGAACAAACCAGAGTTTGGAGTTTCGGGACGTAAAATAGTGTACGACAAGGATGGCAAACCGTATGTGTTGAAACTATCTATTAGTAAGCCTAAATAGACTCATGATTTGTTACTAACGGTAAGCAATAGGTGTCGAACCTGTAACACGTTACTCGACTTTCAATTTGCAACTACCGGTGCAGTTAAAAAACAACAATCAGCCCCACCTGTTTTAGAAGAACCATTACGTCCCAAACGTAATTTGAAGTATCCTCAGGATGAACCACCAGATGTTGCACAACTTGGTAAATCATCTTGGACATTGTTACATTCAATAGCCGCTACATATCCAGAGAAGCCAACCACCAAAGAACAAGCTGATATGAAACTGTTTCTCAGTCTCTTTGCTGGATTTTATCCATGTTGGTTCTGTGGCGAAGATTTCCAAAGATACATTACCAAACATGAACCAGAAACAAAAACACAAGACGATTTGGGGAAATGGTTATGTGAAGCTCATAATGATGTAAACAAGAAATTAAACAAACCACAATTCAATTGTGATTTGTGGAAGAAGAGATGGAAAGATGGGTGGGACTCTGAGGAATAATCCACATGACTTTGTACACGTGCAACAGCAATCATTTTACTTCTGTATATAGAATTTCCATTGGTTCATGGAACAAGAAAAAAAAAAACACAACCTAATACCATAGAGTACATAGAAATTTTGAAATTCAAATCTAGTTTGCCATTTTAAAATACAATCAAAATGTTTAGTAGACAATTAGCAAGAACTATTCAACGTAATAAACAGATCAGACAGTTTTCCTTGACTAATTGGTTCAAGTCATGGAAGGATGCTGCACAATCTCAAAGATTAATTTATCCACCTCCAAGCAGTGAATTCACTACCCAGAATAGAATTATCGACACTTACGTTTCAAGCAAACAAGAAATTTACCCTTATCTTGCAGTGAAACCAACCTTACTTTTAAATTTTACTTATGCCAATCAAGAGAATAACAAGTTCACCAAGACCTTGTTTGATGTTTTGAGTGACAAGAGTAAATACCCAAATAGCCAACCTGTTTACTTAGTTAATATTCTCGCTGATACTGAAGGAGGCAGGGAATTGATGTTGGATTATGTTGTGAATTCAATTCCAAGTATTGTGGTATTGCAACACCAATTGCCAACTGGTAGGTATGTTCCCGACATTCGAAATTTTACCGAACAAGATATAATAGAATGGTTAAAGACAGTATAGGTTGCAGGTACTAGTGAAAGATTATCCTATCAATGACGATGCTTTCTTTGGAAATGCCGATTGGAGAATCTGATTACACTATTGTTAAGTTTTATATTAAAATTTCTATTGTTGTCGTTAGATCTTTGATCATATACACCAGTCAGAATCAAAACCGAAGGGCAAGCAGAAATAATTTACGTGTTTCCTTTTCGATAGTATCGTCCTCTCTCACTATTGTAAGAATAAAAGATCTGATCAAGAATGTACAGCCTGTCCTCAGGGGAAAAGATTTTTCTTTTTATTCTTATTCTTGTTTACATTCAATCAAAAACCGTTTTACAAGAGATTGAGAATGTTCGAAACCGATACAATACTTGCACTGCTGCAAATCAATTTCGATCTACTGTAATTAAAAGACATACAAAATCAATAAATATTTTTATAGAAAAAGTATTCTTGGAGACGTGTTTTTTTGTTCTTGTTGCAAAGTATGCGTCCCCGATGTGACAGTATTTTCAAATAATACATTTGAAATGTCAGCCTTATTCGTAATGATTAGTAATATGACGCCGAACATCACGTGACCACTCAAGATTATAGTCTCTTATTACCACCGGAAAATAGATAATTCCGGTTTTATAATGTGAGTATGACAAATTTTTTTTGATTTTTTTTTTTTTTTGATTTTTAAGCATTTCCATGCGGAACGGTGATTGTTGTGTAACCACAGTTGTTTTATCCAAGATGTTGTAAAACATAAAATTCTTTTTCGGCAATCGATCTTCATTTAAAAGTGGAAAATTAACAAAAAACCAATAACTAGAAGGATCTCTTCCATTCTTTATTGAGACCAGATTGAAAAAAACAGTAAATTCTCATGAACTGTTGGCTTTTTCATATTGAAAGTGCTAATCCTTGTTCATCTTTGGAGCCATAATATAGTGCGAGATCGAAATAGGATTAGAATTGCAAATTCCACACTCTACATTCCTGAAATTCTATTGTCTAACACATTTTTTTCATTACTTCATTAGATCGCTAACGCCTTGTGAATCTAACACATCCACTTGATCAATTAAAAGTTCATTTTCATCTGAATCATATCGATTTGTTAACCTCTCCCCCTCCATTAACATGCCGGAAATTGATAATTACAATATTTTTTTTTTTTTATTGTTAGTGTATGAAGGGCAAACGAAATTTGCGGGTGCGTGACAGAGACTCGTTTTTCTATGTACAGAAAAAATTCAACAGAAAAAGTTACAACTTCATTATAAATATAACCTCAAATATCTTTGAAACCATTTCCGAATTTTCCTCTTTGTTGTGTTTTTCTTATTCATTAACTATTTATTTTATTTTTCAATAGAATCAAGTTTAGAAGGACATTATTTAAGAGGATACTACTACTTAAAATACCAATACTCAACTATTTCTTCACTATTCAAGAAAGATATATATATATTTTGAAAGCCACTCCACTTTTGTTTTATTAAATGACTTCATTAAAACACCCGCAACCAACATCTAATAATAGTATGCCAACTCCAACAACTGCCGCTGCATCTCCAGATTTAGATGTCAACAAGATCCCTATGGTCACACCAAGACCATCCACAGTCAACTTACCACAAAGTATCCCACAACCACCACCAACTATAACACAAGCCATGCGTAATAAGAGTGGGTTACCAGATTGTTTACCTCAAGTCAAGTGTTTAGCTAGAGCCCGAATCCCAACCACTCAAGGTCCAGATATATTTTTGCATTTGTATGAAAACAATGTTGATAACAAAGAACATTTAGCCATAGTATTTGGTGAAGATATTCGTTCTCGTTCATTATTCAAGCGTTATCCTGGTGAAACCCAACAAGATAGAATGACCAGGGGTGCTTATGTTGGAAGATTGACTCCAGGAAGAACCATTGCTGATACTGATGGTACCAATGAATTGAAGTTTGATTCCGAAGGCAATTTGATCATAGATAACTTGACATACACAGACCCAACATTGGTAAGAATACACAGTGAGTGTTACACAGGAGAAACAGCTTGGAGTGCACGTTGTGACTGTGGGGAACAATTTGACGAAGCCGGAAGAATTATGGGAGAGGCTGGTCATGGATGTATGGTTTATTTAAGACAGGAAGGTAGAGGCATTGGTTTGGGAGAAAAATTAAAGGCGTACAACTTGCAAGATCTTGGAGCCGATACTGTTGAAGCCAACTTATTATTGAGACATCCAGCTGATGGAAGAAATTTTTCTTTGGCGACTGCTATTTTGTTGGACTTGGGATTGGTTGAAATCAAATTGTTGACTAACAATCCTGATAAAATCGTCGCTGTTGAAGGTAAACACCAAGAAGTCAAAGTTTTGGAAAGAGTTCCAATGGTTCCATTGAGTTGGAGTAAGAATGGTGAAAACGGTATCAAGAGTAAAGAAATTGAAGGATATTTAAGTACCAAGATCGAAAGAATGGGTCACTTGTTAGAGAAACCAATAAAGATCTAACTGCCATATATATAAAAAGAAAAAAAAAAAAGATAAATACACACATACGATGATGTAATTGGGAGGTAATTAAGGGAATATATATTGATATATATTTATTTGTATAATAAAACGTAAAGACGTGATTTTTTTTAATGTATCTTTTTAAATTCATAAGAACAGAGGATTTATTTAGCAGCCGTTATTAGGATCAAGCAGACTTTTAAATTAGAGAAGCTCATCTCACACAAAAGCTGTCTACCGCGATAAACTGTGAAAAAATTAAAAAGAAAAGAAAGAAACCAAAAGAAAGAAAGAAAAAAATTTTTTTTTCACAATCTTTTATTTGCATCATCAGAACAGCCACAAGTTAGTGTCCAAAATGTCTCCAGCTTCTCAAGATTTGGTTTTAGCTTACATTAACGATTATGTCTCAAGAAACAATGAATTATCAAAGTTGGCTAAGCCGTTAGCCAAGTTAATTGAAGGTAAATCATTGCCAACCATCTCAAACGGCTTGGAAATTATCATTAGTGAAGTCAAGGAAAATAAAGACGAAAGTGAATCTGATAGTTCATCATCTGAAAGTGACTCAGAAAGTGAATCTGATAGTTCCTCTTCTGATAGTGAATCCGATAGTTCTTCTTCTTCTTCTTCTTCATCGGAAAGCGACAGCGACTCTTCTTCTGACGAGTCTTCATCATCGGATAGTGAATCTGAAGATGAAAAGGAAGAAGATAAAGTTGAAAAATCCAAGGAAGAAGTAAAGAGTGATTCCAGCAGTGATTCCAGCAGTGATTCCAGCAGTGATTCCAGCAGTGATTCCAGCAGTGATTCCAGCAGTGATTCCAGCAGTGATTCCAGCAGTGATTCCGACAGTGATTCCGACAGTGATTCCGACAGTGACTCATCCTCAAGTGAAGATGAATCTGATTCAGATTCTTCCAGTTCAAGTTCTGATAGTGACAGCAGCTCTTCCGATAGTGAAAGTGACTCAGATGATTCTTCCTCTAGTGATGATGATGATGATAGCGAAGAAGGAACAAAGAAAAGAAAACAAGAAGACAACGAAGAACCAGAATCCAAGAGAGCTAAAAGTAATACTGAAAGCTCTTCCAGTACAGAATCTATTCCAGCTACCCCTGAACCTGAGTTGAAGCCAGGACAAAGAAAACATTTTTCAAGAATCGACAGATCTAAGATTTCATTTGAAGATAGTACTTTACAAGACAATACTTACAAAGGTGCTGCTGGTACTTGGGGTGAAATGGCAAATGAAAAGTTGATGCAAGTCAGAGGAAAAGACTTTACTAAAAACAAAAATAAAATGAAGAGAGGCAGTTACAGAGGTGGAAGTATAACCTTAGCTTCTGGTTCTTACAAATTCACTGATTAGTTTGATAGAACTTAATAGAGTCATGTTATGCATATATGTATACTAAAGTTAATAATTTATAATAAACAGTTTAAAAACAATAGAACGCGTCTTGCCATTAAGTTTTTGATAAAAGAAATAGTGAACAATTTAAGCTAACAACAGAATCGAAATAAACATACTCCACGCCATAACCTCTAATCTAGTGACATATCTTGCTGATTTTATTGTGCTTGTTCGTTGTCATTTCTTATAGTAAATTACAGTTCCAAATAAACTGTGCGGGCATAATCAAAAGGAAATACACAGAAAAAAAAAAAAATTTATAGAGAAAATTAAAAAAATACAAAACATTCACACTCTCAAGCATATATCCATTTCACTATTGTATTATCTTAAGTAACTATGTCATCCGATAGCGGAAAGGAAATTCAAACCATACTTGATGAATTAACTCAAGTAAAGGGCAGTGTCACACAATTTGTTGCTCAGCTCAATACCATTATTTCAAGAGCACCCACCAGGGAGGATTGGAACAAGCTTAACGAGATTGCTTATGAAGGAGAAAAATCGAACGAATCACCAATGACTCTTAATCGAATAAACCAAGCAATAGAATGGCCAACCAGTGCTATTGCTATCCGATTGAAAGAGCTATTCGAGGATGGTAAATTGCCGTTGATGACTGCTTTAACAAGAGTATGTGTCAAGACTGGTGCCGACCCCAAGGCATGTAATTTTATATTAGACTACAATCCCAAAGTTGATCCCAAAAATGAAATGACATCTAGTAGTCACCAAAAAAATTCCAAACGCATAAAAAATAACTCCGAATCGTATCCGCCAATATTGCCAACACTTAGATCCAAGTCATTGGCCATCCGAGCTGCAACAGATAAGAGTTATAGACGTATTGAAGATTTATTGGCCTCTACAACTAATGATTTCCAAAAGAGCCATAACGGAAGATTGGCATCAAAAGGTAGGGCAATTTTGAATCTTTGTTTAGTTGAAATTTTAGAGCCTTATGCTGGTTTGTCGGACGAAGATATTGATTTGATAACTCACAGATTATTGTCGAACAGAATTTTAGCAAAATTTGCTTTCGGGTATAATTTAGTGGACGGCTCAAAGTATAACTTGTCAGTCGATGCCGATTTTGAAGAAAAGATAGAAGTCATTGGAAATCTTTTTTTGGCACATATTGGTAGTTTGAGAGAGGAGAACTATGATTTGGAAGATTTGAAGAGATTTGTAAGGCTGTTATACGATACCGTAATTACTGAGTATATCGAGAAAAATGATCCATTAGCAAAAGCTTCGTTGATGGAGTTGGATTTATTGTTCAAAAGTATCACTAATTTGAAGTATGCTCCTCACCACAACTTTCAGTATGAAATTCGCGAAACAAATGACGATCCTCATGTGGTAAAGATTTTGGTTGATGGGGTTGAATTGGGGTCAGGTGTTTCGTCTGCAAGTTTGGAAGCTGCCAAATATAGGGCCGCCAATGATGTCTTTGATGGATCTGGCAATGGTATTCGCAAAATTTGGGAGGTTTTGGTTGCAAATGTGCAAGAACACAATGCTCAAGCCAATAATGGAGCAACCCCAGTACCGTTATTGACAAACGGTCCAATGGGGTATGTAACAGGTGTTCCTGCCCCATTAGGCTATTTACCAAATGCAAATGCAGTTGTGCCTCCGCCCCTGATTTCTGCTCCAGTTCCAATACCCCAAGCTCAACTTGCTATTAAAAATTCTACTGTTTCTAATGAGATTGGTGCAATTACAAATTCACCTCATAATCAACAACAGCCACCAACACAATCACAACCACCACCACAGCAGCAAATAAACCCACAACTTCAATCACCACAAGCACAGGAACAGCAACCACAACCACGTGCATCAGCCGGATCGAACTCACCTATGAATCCATACCAACAGGTTACAAGTCAACATCCTTCTGCCCATCCGACTCCTGTGATTGGGCAACAACAGATGACTGTCTCACAACAACCTCAACAGTATGTCCAATATCAACAGCAACCTTACCAAATATACCCACATGCAACTCCGCAAGCACCTTATGGCCAACAGTCTATGGTACAGGCACCACCCCAACATATTTACCAGCAACAAAATACTACAATGGCACATACACCTGTACAAGCAGTAGTACCGATGGGACAACAAGGTATGCGCCATGGTAAACTTGAAGGCGCATACTATGATCTGAATAACATTCTCACACTTCCTTTAGAGATTCCTGGTAATAACTCAGCATTGAGCACTTTGAATACAATGATAAGTCAAGCAAAGATCATGCCACCAGAATATAATGTACACGAATTGACTCCATTATCACAGGACAGAAAATTATTCTATGCTACTGTACAAATTGGAGATGTTTATCTAGGAGCTGGCTATGGATCAACCAAAAAGGAAGCTCGTCATAAAGCAGCTATGTGTGCTTTAAATAATCCCGAAAAGTGTCTTCAAGTTGGATTAACTTTACCTCTGACATTGTGATTATAGTAAAATATCTGTCATCCAAGGTTATATACATGTTTGCAGTATATTTGGTACTTGAAGTTTGTATGTGTACGCACCGTTTTTTTTTTTTTTCGTATGTTTGCATAATATCAAAGATATTAAGATTTCAGGAGGAGGGAGAAAGAGAACGAAAGAAAAAAGAAAAATTATATATGATCTATAGTTTTGTAATTAATAATCATCATTGTTTGTTTTATAAATTTTTGACATTTATCATTAGAATACCATGTCATCTCGAAATATTAATAGAGTCAATTATGCTGATTTAGAGGATGAGAACTTTTCAGATGAAGATGTCTACGATAAGAATTTGGACGCGGGTGCTGATGATGATGAATATAATACGCCATCAAGTAAAAAGAAAGGAGTTAAGAAATCAGCTACAGACTCCAAAAAACGTAAGGCCCAGCAATCAGTTGAATCACTAAAAAAGAATCTTGATGACACCAATTTTTCAGATGAGGAATTACTAGAGTTGACTCCTGATATTCCTGCTGATTATATCCCTGATGCTGTCTCCAAAAATTTTGGTAAGGGTGATTTTTCATATTTGAAGTTGAAACCAGATCATTTCTCAAGACCGATATGGATTTCACCAAACGATGGTAGAATTATATTGGAGTCATTTTCGCCATTGGCTGAACAAGCTATGGATTTTTTAATTACAATTGCTGAGCCGGTGTCACGACCAAGTCATATCCATGAATATAGAATAACGGCATATTCTTTATATGCTGCTGTGTCAGTTGGGCTAGAGACAGACGATATTATCCTGGTCTTGAATAGATTATCGAAGGTGCCTGTGGCAGAATCAATTTTGAATTTCATCAAGGCAGCAACGGTATCATACGGTAAAGTTAAATTGGTTTTAAAGCATAATAGATATTTCGTTGAAAGCACCCAGGCAGATATTTTGCAAATGTTGTTGAAGGACCCTGTTATTGGGCCCTTACGTATACAATCCTCAGAGAATACCGTCACAAGTAATGGCTTAATAACTTCAGCTCAAACTCAGAATGACATTGTGATTCCTGGCACGAAGAAAAATGATGGAGAGAAAGATTCAGAAGCAGGTACAACTAATGAAGCAGAAGATATTTTTGCGTCAGTTGTGGGAAGTAAAGAGGATGATGATGATTTGGATACAGTCCATTCTTTTGAAATTGCACATGATTCTGTGGAAATTGTCAAACGTCGATGTCAAGATATTGAATACCCAGTTTTAGAAGAGTATGATTTCCGTAATGATGCTAGAAACCCAGATTTAGAAATTGACTTGAAACCATCTACTCAAATTAGACCTTATCAAGAGAAATCATTGTCGAAAATGTTTGGTAATGGTCGTGCTAGGTCAGGAATTATTGTTTTACCATGTGGTGCCGGAAAAACTTTGGTTGGTATCACCGCAGCTTGTACAATTAGGAAATCTGTCATTGTTTTATGTACTTCATCTGTGTCAGTTATGCAATGGAGACAGCAATTTTTACAATGGTGTACAATACAACCAGAGAATGTTGCAGTGTTTACTTCCGAAAATAAAGAAATGTTTGCAAGTGAATCTGGGTTAGTGGTGTCAACTTACTCTATGGTGGCAAACACTCGTAACAGATCACACGATTCTCAAAAAGTGATGGATTTCTTACGTTCAAGAGAATGGGGTTTTATTATCTTGGATGAAGTGCATGTTGTTCCTGCCCAAATGTTTAGACGAGTGGTTACTACAATTGCTGCCCATGCAAAACTAGGGTTAACAGCAACCTTGGTTCGTGAGGACGATAAGATTGATGATTTGAACTTTTTGATTGGACCAAAATTATATGAAGCCAATTGGATGGATTTAGCGCAAAAGGGACATATTGCCAATGTTCAATGTGCTGAAGTTTGGTGTCCAATGACCGCAGAGTTTTATCAAGAATATCTCCGTGAGAATGCAAGAAAACGTATGCTTTTATACATTATGAACCCAACCAAGTTCCAGGCATGCCAGTTTTTGATTCATTACCACGAGAAGCGAGGAGATAAGATTATTGTATTCAGTGATAATGTTTATGCATTACAAGAATATGCATTGAAATTGGGCAAGCCTTTTATTTATGGATCCACTCCTCAACAAGAAAGAATGAAAATTTTACAGAATTTCCAACACAATGATCAAATTAATACAATTTTCCTTTCGAAAGTTGGAGATACGTCAATTGACTTACCAGAAGCCACTTGTTTGATTCAAATATCTTCTCATTATGGGTCAAGAAGACAAGAAGCGCAACGTTTGGGTCGTATTTTGAGAGCAAAGAGACGTAATGATGAAGGGTTCAATGCATTTTTCTATTCATTAGTATCTAAGGATACTCAGGAAATGTATTACTCAACAAAGAGACAGGCCTTTTTAGTCGATCAAGGTTATGCTTTTAAAGTCATTACACATTTGAGTGGTATGGAGCAATTGCCAGATTTGGCATATTCTTCAGCTCGCGAGAAACGAGAATTGTTACAGCAGGTCTTGTTAAAGAATGAAGATGCTGCAGGTTTGGAAATTGGTGACGATGCGGATACAAACTTTATATCAAAGGAAAAGAGAATGAGACTTGAACAAGAAAGAAACGGAGGAGGTTCTAGTCGTAGTGCGGGATCATTAGCTGGTTTAGCTGGTGGTGAAGATATGGCTTATATTGAATATAGCAAGAACAAAAATAAGGAATTGAAAGATTCACACCACCCATTGATTCAAAAGATGTATTACAAGCAACAGGCAAAGGCTAAGAAGTAGGCAGCTCTTAAATTTGTCAGACATTGTCATTCCATTTTATAGGTTGTATTTTTATTTTGTTTTTCATTTAAAGAACTAGTATTATAAGAAGTGGAGCGGGGGGGGCAAACCCATACTACATGAATATAAGTTAAGTTGATATAAACTCTCCAAAGTCATCATCGTCGTCATCCTCAGAGTATTGTTCATCTTTGTCACTATCGGTGCGTAGAATTTTATCAGACGTCATACGACTTTGGGAGAACTCCTTTGTTAACTCTCGAACATCGTCCTCCTTACTATCATATTCTTTTCCTGTAGTCTCATTTTCTTCATCTTGTTCTTGTATTACCGTTTTAAAATTCATGATATTAACGGCATATACCATTCTGTCATAGTAATATTGTTGTTGTTCATGTTTAAATCTCGATTGATAAACATTCAAGGCATATTCAAATTGAGCAGCATTTCTTGAACTTTTAAAATTCATTCCTAATGCCACAAATGAGACGTTTTCTGGTGATTTATCATTATAGAATGGATGAAAACCAGAATTTGGTAATTGAACAATTACTTTATAAGTATTATCAGAAATTTGTTGTATTGTATCTGTCCCTTCAGGATTAAGTTTAGTAATTCTTTGGATATCAATATTAGTAGTTGTTCCTTTGGATAAATTCAAATCATTTACAATTGGATTAAACCATGTTTCTCCCCATAACTCATTTCCGTTGTTTTTAAATTCTAATTTGCTTCTCATTTTAATAAATGGGCGAATTATAAACTTGTCATCTTTAGTTTGTTCAAACCCATCCATGTATGAATTAATAGATAGCTCTTCTTCTATAAATTCCAAGGATCCGGACCATAATTGATTTGATTTTAAAAGCTCTATCTCTTTTAGACTTGAAGTATAAGGAATTGAATGAAGGGTTACGCCATGTTTGCATTGAAATAATGATCTTGGTTGATACAATTCAGTGTTTAGTTGGTTTTGTCTCATTGTCACTTTTTTTTAAGCGTTGAATAGTAAAGAAAGATTAATGTTAATAATCTACAGTAATTAGATCAATAACACAACTAATGATGATAGGAAATGGGTGGATTTGGGAAGCACTGATAGATTATAAGCTATACAATATATAAGAAGTGTTAGATATTCCGAGATAATTTAGGGGAATGTATGTTGGTGTGTGTCTGTGTGTCAAATGTTGGTCGTGTGCAAATGTTCAATATCTCTTTTTTTTTTCTACTGAGAAAACTAATGAAAGAAAAGAAGATGAAAATTTTTCTAATATGTTTTGTAATATATCAACCGTTTGAATAATTATTATTACCAACAAACAAAGATGTTTAGAAGTATATTGGGAAAAAACTTGATTCAAAGCGTTTCAGCATTAAATTCATCTCAACAAGTTGTTAGAACTTCTTTTGTTCGTTTCAATTCAAACAATGCTAACCTCGACCAATTAAAAAGCATATTCGGCGACTCAAAATCAACCACTACACAAGCATCGGAATCTACCAATAAACAATCTTTAAACATTGATGATTTATTGAATAGTTCAATTCCAGAAGCAAAATTGCCATCCACAACTTTCCCAACCACATTTTCATTACATGATAAATTTGGATTTGAGCAAAATAGACAACCAACCCCTCGTGAAGTGGCTAAGAACATTCGTGAATTTGGAACTAATGCTGGTAGAACAGTTGACGTTAACTACAACAACATATCTAGATCATTTAACCAAATGAGAAGAGTGGTTAACGAAAATAAAATAAGGTATTTACAAAGAATTCAAAGTAGATATATTCGTCCAGCCAAATATAGAAAACAATTGAAAAGAGAATGGTGGAGAAGAAAGTTTGCTGCTGGATTCAAGGATTTATTACATCAAGTCAATGATGCAAGAAGAAGAGGTTATTAGGAGTAGTTTGTAAAGAAACAAATCTTGTATATATGTATATATTCTTTATTACACATAAATTCTAGTGCGAGAATGGGTCGCGTTAACATTCGCACCAAATTGTATTTTTTTTGCTTCCAGATCATAGTTTGTTCTGGCGGCACTTACTTTTCCTGAGCTGAGCCAATAAGGCAAAACTTTAAAATAATGATCTCTAAACAAATCGACTCTTCTTATCTGCCATCTAAAACAACAACAACAAAAAAAAAAAAAAGAGAGAGAAAGAATTCAACACTGAACATCTTGCATATCTTCTACTCCAGCAAAAAATTCCAATATCACATTTAGATAGCCACGTTTCTCCTTAAAAGAAACTGCCCCCCCCTGTACATACAAATTATACCTATCTCCATCAATCGTTTCTATTTCTTGATTACTTTGATCTTGATTATATTCTATTATTGGTTATCATTCCCTTTTTCTTTCCTTTTCTTTTTTTTTTTTTGCAACATCAAGTTTGAAAAGTCATCTTCCCAATCAACGTGCCCATTGTTCCCAAATAATCATTAATTGATGTCGTCGAGTTCAAAAGATACAATTCCCCCTCCAAGAGGAATACCTGCTATAACTGGTGATATAGATTACAGTAAAGCATTTCATGTTTTTCCAAAAGAATTACAACCTTTCCGAGGGACTATAATTGCATATGGTGCGTCATTATTTTCAACATTTGTTGGATTGCCATTTGATGCTGTTAAAATTCGAATGCAAACTCATAAACAATTCACGGGTTATTTTGATTGTTTCAAGAAAACTTATGTCAAAGAAGGATTAGCAGGATTTTTCAGAGGTTCTACACCCGTACTAATATCAACATCTTTTGCTAAATCTTTAAGCGTTTCATTATTCACTACGGTTAAACCTTATACTTATAGTGTGTTATATGAGTCGCCATGGACTAAGAATCTTGATAATACCAGTCCTTTTCTTAAAAACATTCCTGTTTGTTTCATTTCAGGATTAATATCAGGAGCAGGTGTTTCGGTATTTGCGTGTCCTTTTGAATTCACAAAGATTTATGCACAATTAGAAAGGTTGGTCACCAGTAAATCAATTAAGGAATTATCAAATCTCAAACCAGCCGAAGCACTGAAACCATCACCAACTATTCTCAACCCATCTAAATCAATTTCTACGGCCACAATAGTTAAAGAAATTGTTAAAAGTGATGGAATTACTGGTTTATATTCTGGTTTTAGATATCATGCAATGAGAGATTCTATATCCACTGGTATTTATTATTCAATTTATGAATCTATGAAATGGGCTATGAACAATTTCATCAATAAAGATCCATCAATTTCTTCTCCATTTTCTGTATTATTAGCTGGGGGACTTTCGGGAGTGTTCAGTTGGATCTTAATCTTCCCAGTAGATACCAGAAAGGCATTGATTCAAAAAGATGCAGTGACAAACATCTTAAGAAAATCGCATGGATTAGAACCATTACCTACAAAATCTAAACAAGAAAAACTTCAAGGTAGAGCATATCGTGGATTAGGAATTTCCATTACCAGATCGTTTATAGTCAATATGGTTTTCTTTGGTGTATTTGAATTAGGTATGAAGTACTTATCTTAGAGCAAAAAAATCATATCTTGATAATATTTATGATAATAATGTTACACTTTTTTAAAAATTTTTACATACATGTATAGACACAGATAGCATTTCAACAATAGGATTAATAGACTTTTTTTCTTCTTCTTCTTATTCATTAATTTTACCTATCTCTGGAACGTCCTCTGTCGCTATCATCGTCATAAGGGTTTGCCAGAAACTAGTGATGAAACTCTCTTGTCATGTGATCTGGATTTCGGAGCACTTGCTTTTTCTAATGGCTCAATAATGCTCACTCATAGTCCTCCTTTAATGGTGATTATGAATCTAGTTCTGGATGCAGGATTATCCTTGAATATCTTCCGGACGTTTGTCGCTCCAAGTCAATTTAGGTCCCCTTTTTGATTCATTTTTATTGCATGTTGATTTCATCACCTTCTTTTGTTCCCCATCCG